GCAGCCGCCGCGAGCGTCGCGACGCCGACGTCGGCGTCGGCGTCGGCGTCGACGGGGGCGATGACGAGCTCCTTCGACGGCGGGACGTCGCCGTCGCCGTCGTCGCGATCGCCGCGGTCGCCGCGGTCATCGGCGGCGGACGGGCTCGGATCCGCGATGACGTCGAACGCCGAGGCCGCCGCCGCCGCCGCCGCCGCCGCGCGGTCGAGCGCGGGGTTGAACGCCGCCGCCGCGGGCGCGCGCGGTTTCAAAGAGATCGGCGCCGCCGCGACGCACCTCGTGCAGGTGGCGAAGATGCAAAAGGCGCGGCGCGAAGACGCGGCGCGACACGCGACCGAGCTCGCGACCGCGCGCGCGGAGACGGCGGACGCGAGAGAGGACGTCGTCATGGAGCGGACTCGACGCGACCACGAGCTCAGGCGCGCGCTCGTCGAGGGCGCGGTGTTTTACGTCCACACGCGGCGCAAGCCCGGGTTCGAGCCGGGCAAATACAGGTGCGTTCTATCTCACACTGGTTCCCATACGACCGCGTCGGCGTGGTGAACGCCGATCCTTAAGGACTTTGCCCGGCGCGTCTCTCCGCCCAACCCTCGCTCACAATCCCCGCCCTCGACGCCTTTCAACTCCACCTGACGCCTTTGAACTCCACCCCGACGTTCGCTCGTATGGAACGACCCACAGACTCTGGTACAACGCGTCGAAGAAATCGCTGCAGTGGTCCGAGGGCCGCAGGCCCGGCGGAAAGACGAAGCTGCACCAGTTCGTCCCCGCGAGCTTGGTGCGCAACTGCGTCGTCGGCACCGAGGCGTTCACCCTCGGCGCGATCGACGAGACGAAAGCGCACCGGCTGAAGAGCGTCCTCTCGAGGTCGCCGACCATCGCCAAAGCCGCGGCGTCCGTCGGCGTCGTGCAGCGATCCATCGGACACCACGACCCGCTGCGGTGCTTCAGCGTGTCGCTGTGGTTCCCGGACGACGCCCCCGCGGGGGGGAAGGTGGATAACATCCTCGCGAGCGGCGCCGCGAGCTTAGGGCTGCAGACGATCGACCTGGAGCTCCCGGACGGAGGGAACGGGAGGAGCGTGAGGGAGTGGTGCGACGCGATCACAGCCGCGGCGCTGGAAAACGGCGGCGGCGCGGGGACGAACAACGCGGACCCGAGCGGCGAGGCGGACGTCGCCGCCGCGGCGTTGAAACACATGCAGCTGATGCAGAAGCAGATCGATCTGAAGCGCGGGGAGGCGGGGGAGGAGGACGACGAGGGGGCGACGGCGTCTCCGAGGCGTACTTCGTCGCCGGGGGCGCCGGCGTCGCCGCCGGCGTCGCCGCCGCGGTCGCCGCGCGGGATCGCACGCGCGGCGCCGCCAGCGACGGAGAGCACGCCGGAGAGCACGCCGGAGACGACGCCGCCGTCGAGCATCCGGTTGGACGACGTGATTCCGTTTCCTTCGCCGTCGAGCGCGACGGAGGAGACGGACGGGGAGATCGCGCCCGCGGCGGACGCGCCGTCGTCCGTCGCGTCCGCGAAGTTTTGAGCCTCGAGAGAGTCGACGCGCGTCGGTCGAGTCGTCGTCGCGTCGCGTCGCGGTCGCTCTTCTAGCCGCTAAGCGTGTACACTGACTACTGCGCTACTGATGAATTAAGACGGATAACGCGCCGCGACGCCGAGACGTTGCGTCACGTCGCCGCGTCTCTCGTCGCCTCCGCCTCCGCGGCTTTCGCCTTGGCCGCTCGCAACGACGCGCGCGCGCCGTCGAGGTCGCCCTCACGTTTCTTCGCCAGCGCGTCGCGCTTCAGCGCGAGGCACTCCGCGTCGAGAGCCTCGATCTTCTTCTTCCGCGACGCGACGACGACGTCGTCGTCGGACGCGCCGTGCTCGGCGGCGAGGAGAGCGTCCGCAGCGTCCGCCGTCGCCTCTTTCGCCTCTTTCGCCTCCTCCTCCTCCTCCTCCTCCTCCTCCAACTCCGCCGCCGCGGCCGCCGCGTCGATCGTCGCCCGCAGCGCTCTCGCCCGCCGCAGCGCCTCCCTCGCGCCGTCCACGTCCCCCGCGCGCTTCTTCGCGACCGCTTCTCGCTCCGCGTCCACCGCCGCAGCGGCGAGCTCCGCCAGCCGCGCGTCCGACGCCGCGCCGCCGTCCGCGTCATCGTCCACGTCACCTTCCACGTCATCGTCCACGTCGTCGTCCACGTCGACGGACGACTCGTTCAGCGCTCGCATCGCGTCCGCGAGCGCGGCGGCCGCGGCGTCGGCCGGCGTCGCCGTCGACGGCGACGGCGGCGGCGGCGAGCGCGGCGAAGAAGGGGACGCGCGCGACACCTCCGCCTCGATCGCGTCCGCTCTCGACGCGAGCGCCTTCGCGCGTCTCAGCGCCTCCCTCGCGCCTTCCATCTCCCCCGCGCGCTTCAGTCGCACCGCCTCTCTTTTCGCGTCGAGGCACGCGGCGCGCAGCTCCGCGACGGACGACGACGACGACGACGACGACGACGACGACGACGCCTCGACGACGGACGTCGCGCGCTTCGTCGTCGCCCTCCGTCTCCTCGCCTCCTCCCTCGCCGCGTCCTCCTCCGCCTGCTCCCTGAGGATCTCGCGCGCGAGCGCCTCGGCCTCGTCTTCGGAATCCTCCCCCGGCGGCGCGTTGATGGCCGCCACGAGCGCCGCCTCCTCGAGCGCGAGCGCGTCCATCGGCATGGACGCGAGCTCCGCGCGCAGCCGTCGCTCCAGCGCGTCGACGTCCTCGAGATCGTCGTCGTCGTCGTCGCCGCCGCCGTCGCCGTCGGAGCCGCTCAGCTCCGCGAGGAGCGCGGCGTCGGAGAGGACAGCCTTCTTCCGCGCGCGCGGCGCGCGCTTCGGCGGCGGCGCCGCGCGCGGCGCCATAGTGACGCGCGGAACGTCATTTCGTCGTCGCGTCGTTGAATAAAAACTAACGTCAGGGACAGGACCGCGTGCTCGCGTCGAGTGGACGGATGAAACCCTCGCGTCGTCCGTCCCCAGAGCGCGTCGCGCTGGCGGACGTCATGTTCGGCGGCGGGAAACCCCCCGCGCCCGACAAGGCCGCGGCGGCCGAGTCCGTCGACGCGTCCCTGGACGACCTCTTCTCGCGCCTGCGCGACGCGACGTCGCGCGGCGCGCACAAGAAGGCGCTGCGGATCTCGGAGTCGATCCTGAGCCTCGCGCCGGGCGACCCCGACGCGACGCGATGCGCGGTGGTCGCGCTGAGCGAGCTCGCGCGGCACGACGACGCGATCCAGTGCGTGGAGGACGCGCCCGCGGACGTCCTCGGCGGGCTGACGTTCGAGTGGGCGTACTCGATGTATCGCGCGGGGCGCGTCGCCGACGCGCTCGACGTGCTCGACGCGACGGAGGGCGACGCCGATCTTCTCGAGGAGGACCGCGGGTCGGCGTCGCGATGCGCGCAGCTGCGCGCGCAGCTGCTGTATCGCGACGGGCGATTCGAGGAGAGCGCGAGGATGTACGAGAAGATGTTCGAGGTGCGTGTCATCGCGCGATCGTCGTCGGCGGTCTCCGATCGCGACGACCGCGCGGGTCGTCGATCGACGCGGCGATCGTCGGTCGATCGCGGCCGCGCGCGGCGGGGCGATCGTTCAGACAGGAGAGAGCGGTCGTGTTCGTTCACGCGTCGAGTCGCGATCGTCGCCGCGTCGGTCCATCCATCGTTCAGCGTCCCTCCTCCATCCTCGCCGCGCGCCGCGCACTCTGACGTCTTCCCCACCCACCCCCTCTCCTCCCCCTCCCACCGCGCAGGAGCACCCCGCGGAGATGGCCAAGGTCCCGAACGTCGCGGTGAACCTCGCGGCGTCGCTCGTCGCCGCCGGGCGCGCGTCCGAACTCCTCGCGACGCTGAAAAAAATCGTCGTCTCCCCGAAGGCGTCGTTCGAGCTCGCGTTTAACGTCGCGTGCGCGTGCGTTTCAAACGGCAACCTCCGCGACGCGGACGAGTACCTCGCGCTCGCGCGCGCGCGAGGCGAGACCACGCTGGCGGACGAGGAGCTCTCGCCGCAAGAGATCGAAGACGAGCTTCTCCCGGTGACGGTCCAACGCGCGTACGCCGCGCACCTTGGCGGCGACGTCGACGCCGCGACGGAGGGATACCGCGCCGCGATCGCGACGAAGAGCGCGAGCGACGCCGCGACGGTCGCGGTCGCGGTGAACAACCTGTTGACTATCGTCGGCCCGAGAGGCGTCGGCGGCGCGGAGGCGATCAAGAAGATGGAGAAGCTCAGGCGCGTTCACGTTTGTCGCGCCGGTCCTCATACGACCGCGTTCGCACGGTGAACGCCGTTCCTCGAGGACTTTACTTCCCGGCGTCGTTTCTCTCCGCCCATCACCCCTCGCTTTCCATCCCGAAACAACTCGACGCCTTTCAACTCCACCCCTGACGCCTTTCAACTCCACCCCGACATTCGTCGCTTCGCGTGGACCCTCCCTCGACCCTCAGCGACGACGCGGGGACCCTGCGCGCGGACGTCGCGAGGCACGCGAACGAAGAACAACGGAGCGCGTTTCTCGCGAACCGCGCGATCGCGCTGCTGCACTCGAACCACCTCGACCGGTGCCGCGAGTCGCTCAGCGCGCTAAAACGAGAGGAGGAGGAGGGGCGCTCCCTGCACCACGACGCCGCGCGCGTCGCGTTGATCGACGCCGCGTTGTGCATGCGAAACCGCCGGCCGGCAGACGCCGACGCGGCGCTCGCGCGATTCGTCGACGGACGCGGCGCGACGGACGCGGGCGCGCGCGCGACCGCGCAGCTCGCGCGCGCGCAGATCGCGGCGAGCGCGGGGGAGTACGCGAAGGCCATCTCGGCGCTCGAGGGCGTCGGCGCTGCCTGCGCGACGTCGCCGGCGGTGACGGCGACGATCGTCGCGTTGCGCGAGCTCTCCGGCGACGCGGCGGGTGCGGACGCGGCTTTGGAAGCCGCCGCGGCGACGCCGGGCGCGCCGACGACGCTGGCGCTTCGCGCGGCGGAGCGCGAGCTGGAGAGAGGTCGCGCGGCGGAGGCTGTCGCCGCGTACGAGCGCGTGCTGAGCCTCGGCGCGCGCGACAAAGGCGACAAAGGCGACGAGGACGATCTGAAGCTCGCCGACGCGGGGCTGGTCAAGGCGCGCGCCGTCGCCGGCGACGCGGACGGCGCGGAGCGCGGCGCGAGCGAGGTGTTCGAGGCGCTGCTCGCGGCGCGGGGCGGGGAAGCCCCGGACGCGGACGCGCTGGAGGAGACGCCGCCGGACTCGGTCCTCGCGCGCGCGGCGGAGGTGGAGAGGAGGCTCGCGGCGCGGCGCGGCGGCAAACGCGGCGGCGGCGGCGGCGACGACGGCGGCGGCGGCGAGCGCGCGACGCGATGGAAGCGACGGAAGCGGAAGATCGTCTACCCGAAGGGGTTCGACCCCGAGAACCCCGGGCCGATGCCGGACCCGGAGCGGTGGCTTCCGAAGCGCGAGCGGAGCGGGCACAAGGGGAAGAAGAAGAAGCAGGCGAACGTCAGAGGCGCGCAAGGCGCCGGCGCGTCCGACGCGGAGCTGAGCAAAAAAGAGTTTAGCGGCGGCTCCGGCGGTACAGCTGGCGGCGGTGGCGGGGTGAAGACGAACGCCCCGGACGCGGACGTGATGGATAAGCTCCTGAGCGTGGGCGTGGGGAAGAAGAAGAAGAAGGGCGGGCGGCGATGACACGACGCCCGGGCCCGGGGAAGGATGGGGGGAAGGGACCCCGGCGTTCGTTCGGCGGGGATCGATTTCGACTCTTAATCGTAGTATGGCTTCGCGTCGCGATTTCATGATCATCGTCAGTCGCTACGTGTCGCTACGTGTCTTCTTCGTCCGCGCGCCGCCAAAACACCCCCACCCGTTCACCTCTTCTCTTCTCCTCGACTCCGACTTCACTTGCTCGCGTCCTCGAAGTTCCCGACGAGGTCCGGCACGTCGTCCCCGTCCGCGCCGGCTTGGTACTGCGCCGCGATCTTCTTCAGGTTGGCGAGGTTGTCCGGCCCGAGCTGGTTTATGATGCCCGGGAGGAGATCCTGAAGCTTCTTCGTCTGCGACGGCCCGGACACGACGTACGTGTTCGCGGCGATGCTCGCCTGGACCTTCGGGTTCGTGAAGTGCGTCACGACGTCGTCCTTAAAGATGTTCACCTCTTCGATCCCCGGGATAACGTTCACGCCTAGGCGCTTCAGGGTGTTTTGAAGGCGCTTGTCGTCCGTGGACGTCGTCTTGTGCACCGCCTTCTTCTTCCTGTGAGAAGCGCGGACGTACGGGCGGGAGGATGAGAATGGAGGTGGGGGGGGGCGATGTGGTCAGCGCGCGAATGTCGTCGCGAGGAGGACGCGAGGGAGCGGGGCGGCGGGAGGGAGGGAGGGCGGAGGGGAGGGGAAAATCGCGCGTCCGTCGCGCGAGAGTCGCCCGAGTAGGGTTTCGGCGTCGCGCGCACCTGCGCATCGTCCCTTTGCCACCCATGCGGACGGAGCCCGCGAGCTTTTGAAGCCTTTCAACGTCCATGTTGACTACCTGAGAGCGCGCGCGGAGGCGGTGGAGCGTCAGCGAGACGTCGCGCGGAGGAGGAGGCGTCGAGGCCGGGCGCGAGACGGCGACCGAGATGATGATGAATAATGACTCCGCGTGCGATATTCGCGATGGCGCTCGGAGAAGAGAAGATTTCCCCGCGCGCTCGCGTCAGGGTTTACGCGAGCCGCAGACGCGCGCGCACCTGTTGCGAGCCAAAGATCCGGACGAGTGACCCGCGCTGGGGAACTCTCGCGTCGTCGTGCGGGGCGGCGCGTTGGAAAGAGCGACGACCGCGGCGAGGCGCGCGTTTTACGACCCGCCGGCTCTACCGGTTTCGCCGAGTGCGCGTAGACTCGACGAGTCACGCGTGCGCGACGACCGAGAAGCATCAGATGACAGGGCTACGAATGGGCTGTAAAGGTTTTTCACCCACCCCAAGTTTCAACATTTGATCGTGTCCCGTTTCAACTGACCGAGAACTTTTCTACCACTAGCACCGCAGACTGGGAAAAACGAGATCGCGAGACACGTTAAAATCTGATACGCCAGCGCTCTCACTCTTCTCAGGGTTCACATCGGATCACATCTGCAGCGCCGTCTTCTCGATGTCCACGTCCCCCATCGTCTCGTCCTCCTCCTCGCTCCCCGACTCCTCCTCCTCCGCCGCCTTGGCGAGCTTCTCCATCTTCTCCGCGAGTAACCGATCGTCGCGTTCGCTCACCGCGCGCGCCGCCTCCTTGATCACGATCTTCCCGCCCTTCGCCTCGATCGCCTTCCCCGCCGCCGCGACGGCGAGGTCCACGAGCTCGACGCCCTTGTCCTTGTCGAGCGTCTGCGTCGTCACGACGTACAGCGGGCTCGCGACGAGGCTCACCTTCACCTTGACCTGAGCGTCTTCAGACGAAGATCCTCCGCTCTCCGCCGTCGCCGCCTCCGCCGCGCGCATCGCGTCCTTGATGTGCAGCACGCCGTCGTACTCGAAGCACGTCAGCTCGATATCCGCGCGGATCTTCAGCGGCTGCGGCGTCATCCGGCGGCGAATGTCCTTCACCAGCGCGTCTCTCACTTCGTCGCTCACCGCGCCCGATCCGTCGGGACGCCGCAACGCGTCGAGGATCTCGTCCGGCTTGGTGACCATGTGCTTAAACGCCTCGAAGCAGTGGCCGTACTTCCGGTACAGCGGCCAGCCCATGTGCTCGTACAAGTCCGACAGCGTGGTGCCGCACGTGGACGTCTCCGCGACGTGACGCATGATGGAGTGCACCATCTTCGACTTGTTGTACTTTTCCTCGCACGCGGCGACGTCCTCGGGGGAGACTCTGCGTTTGGAGAGATCGATGTAGCCCTTCTCCTGATCCACGCGCAATACCATGACGGGCTCGACGCGCCCAACCTTGATGAGCTTCGAGACGGAGCGGATCCGTCGGCGCGTGAGCTCGCTGAGCAGGATCATGCCCTCGATGTTGTCGTACTCGAGGAGCTGGACGTACGCGCCCATCTCCGCGATGGACTTGACCTGGACCATGACGACTTGGTCCACCTCTGGGAACTTCTCCTCGTACATGCGCGACCCGGAGGACATGATCGCAACTTTATGATCGAGTTAGACTACGCAGTGGAGGACTAGGCTTCCGTCGACGACGCGCGCCTCGACGTCTCCTTCGCGATCGATCGCGCGATCGATCGTTCGATAGATCGTTCGTTCGTTCGTTCGATCGGCTTCGATCGAATACCCTTCCTTCCCACCCTCGGGCGCGGACCTGCTCGGGTCGAGCGCGCGACGAGACGCGAGGGCGTCTGAGCTCGCGGGCGTGCGGCGCGTGCGCGATGCGCGCGACGACGCGCGGGAGCGGCGGGCGTGGACGGCGCGATCGGGCGACGCGTCGACGCGCGCGCGGAAGTGGCGCGCGAGGCGCGCGCGCGCGGTGTTCTCGGTCTTTTCGCTTCGCTCGAGTGGCGGCGGGGCGATCGCGAGGAACGGGCGAATTAACTCGCGAACAGACCGTCGTTTCGATCGAGCGCTGCAGACTGGTCTTCGTAGACTGGACGGGCGCGGCGTCGCGTCGGGGCTTCTTCGGTCGGGGATCGTTTCGCGGATTCTCGACCCTCGCCGCTTCCCCACTCGCGCGCGCGCGAACGCACGTTCGACCGCGCTCGACCCCCCCCCCCCCGCGCGCGGCTCCGCGCTCGAGTCTCGTCACACCGCGTCGTCGTCGTCGTCGACAGCGAGCGTCATGCGTCCTCCCGCGGGCCGCGGTTTCGGAGGAGGAGGCGGCCGAGGATTCGGAGGCAGGTCGCCCGGCGGCCGCGGCGGCTTCGGCGGCCGCGGCGGCCGCGGCGGCCGCGGCGGCTTCGACGAGGGACCTCCCGACACCGTCGTAGGTGCGCGTCGGCGTCGCGTCGCTTCCGTCGTCGGGCGATCCGCGCGCGTCGCGATCGTCTCGCGCCCCGTCCGTCGCGCGTCGCGATCCCAATTCGATCCTGGGTTTTCTTTCGGGCGGCGCGCGCGGGCTGGCGCCGATGGACGATGATCGATCGATCGATTTTCCTCCTCCATCGATTCGATCCACCGCCGCCGTCCTCGTCCTCGTCCTCGTCCTCGTCCTCGTCGTCCCCCCCGCGCTCACGCGAACGCTCACCATCATACTCGCCAACACTCGCCGCCAACAGAGGTCGGGACGTTCCTGCACGCGTGCGAGGGCGAGGCGGTGTGCAAGCTCACTAACGCCAAGGTGCCCTACTTCAACGGGCCCATCTTTCTGGAGAACAAGACGCAGGTTGGCAAGGTGGAGGAGATCTTCGGACCGATCAACGCGTCGATGTTTACGATCAAGATGGCGGAGGGCGTCGTCGCGGGGTCGTACAGCAAGGGGGACAAGTTCCACATCTCCCCGGATAAGCTTCTGCCCATGGAGCGGTTCTTGGGGCCGCAGAAGGGCGGCGGCGGCGGCGGCCGCAGCGGCGGCCGCGGCGGAAGAGGCGGCGGCCGCGGCGGCGGACGCGGGCGCGGCGGGCCGGGCGGCCGCGGCGGCGGCGGGCGGTTCGGCGGCGGCGGCAGAGGCGGCGGTGGACGGTTCGGCGGCGGCGGAAGAGGCGGCGGGCGCGGCCGCGGGCGATTCTGATCGCCGCGACCGCCGCCGCGCCGCGCGAGCGACCGTGTACATACCGTTTGTTGTAACTGACGACGTGGAAGCATTCACATTCGACGACGACGACGACGACGACGATACCGATACCTCACAGTCTTCTAAGATGGTGTTATGTTCTCTCCTACGTGTCGTCTCCAACCCCGCGATCCCCCAGACCCGCCCGCGTCGCGCGCGCGCCCGAACCCGAAGCGCGCTCGGCTAGACGCCGCCCGACCGATCCGACCGCGACGTCTCCTCTCGCTTCGCTCCCTCGTTCTCATTCTCAACTCGCTCACTTCTTCGCCGCCGCCTCCGGGGACAAAAACTTATCGAGCTGCGCCTTGAGCTGCTTGTTACTCCGGTTCAGGTACGCGATCTCGTCGCCGTGCTTCGCCTCCTCGTCCGCCCTCCGCTCGCTCTCCCGCTTCTCGATCGCCTCGCACTTCGCCTTCCACTCCGCGCACTGCCTCTCCAGGTCAGCCTTGTCCGTCTCCAGCTGAGGGTCGAGGGTCCATACGAGCGAACGTCGGGGTGGAGTTGAAAGGCGTCAGAAGCGGAGTTGAAAGGCATCGCGGTCGGGGATTGAAAGCGAGGGACCCTGGGCGGAGAGAGACGACGGGCAAAGTCCTTAAGGATCGGCGTCCACATCGCGAACGCGGTCGTATGGGGACCAGTGCGATACTAGAACGCGCCTGAAGAATCCGCGCCTCCATGTCGCTCTTTCCCTGCTCCGTCTGCAGCGCCTTCCGCACGCCGAACGCGACGGACGACTCGTACAGCGTCTGATACGCCTGGATCGTCATCCGCATCTCGTCGCGGATCCGCAGCAGCAACAGACCGCGCTCCGCGCAGTTGATCGTCACCTGGCGGATCATCTCGTCGAGGCACTGCGCGTACAGCTCCTCGCGCACGGGGCACAGGCCCGTCTCGCGCGCCTGCCGCGTCTGATGAGGGTCGGGTCGTTCGATTGGTGGGCGACGTGGCGGGAAGTGACGTGATTGGTTAGGTATGTGATGACGTGGATGGAAGACGTTTCATTGGACGAGAGCGCTGCAGCGACGGAGAGGGCGCCGCGCGGAGGCGGTGGCGTGGGAGACGGCGCGGCGCGACGACGGGACGCGCCTGCAGCCGCGCGTCGAGCTTCTCCTGGAGGTTGATGACGTCCAGGCGCGTCGCGGGCGTGGGCGCGACGTACTGCACCCACAGCGTGCCGTCCTCGACGTGCTCGCGCGGGGGGAGGATGCTGTTGAGGATGTCCTCGGTCTGCGTCTTCGCGGCGCCGCCGTCGCCCTTCTGTGATGAACGCGGACGAGCGATCGACGGAGTTGGGGGCGACCGGGGTGGGTCAGCGATCGATCGGCGACGGGGCGCGGGAGACGCGCGCGGGGGGGGCGGCGCGAGAAAGCGCGCGGGGGGGCCCGCGATGAAGTGGCGGGCGTCGCGGCGCGGCGCGTCGAATCGTCGAATCGTCGTCGCCGCGCCCGTCGAGCGACGCGGCGCGACGACGACGACGCGCGAGCGAGCGAGACGAGGACGCCGTTCCAAATTGAGCGCGAGCGCGCGCGCGACGCGCGCGCGAATCGCGCCGCGCGTGGACGCGCCTTCGACTTGTCCGCCCCGACTGGGATCCGCTTATCCTTCGTCGTCGTGATCTGCGTCGCGATGGGGGAGGTGACGCGTCAGCGCGACGTCGAAGCGAGGAGACGCGCGCGCGTCCGGGGCGGACGCGCGCGCGCGGCGAAGCGAAGCGAAGCGAACGAAATGAATGCTCGTTTTCGGCACGGTGGAGCGACGCGCGCGGACGACGCACCGTCTGCGGCTGGTCGTACAGCACGAGCGTGTGCAGCGGAGGAAGCATCCTGCGCGGGTTCGTGCGCGGCCTCGTGCGCCGTCGCGCGGGGGTGGTGTGCGTCGCGTCGCGCGTCGCGCGTCGTTTCCGTCGAGCGACGACCGGCGAATGAGACGTCTCGAGGTCGATAGATTCCGCGCGACAGCATTTCATCGGTCGGTTGAAACGGGACGCGATCAAATGTTGAAACCGTCAGAACGCGCCCGATCGCGCGAGGCCGATCGAAGCGACCCGGAGAACGACGTTGAAAGAGGCCATGCGACCCTTCCCGCGTACGTCGTCGCTTCAAGCGACGCGTCCGTCGTTCGCGCGCGCCACTGCCGACGGCGCGGACGCCGACGAGCACGCGTCGAGAGGAGACGCGCGCGGCGTCGACGGACGCACGAGAGGAGAGCACGCGCGGCGCGCGAAGCGACTCCGCGGGCGCGAGGGGAGAGGCGGGCGACTCCGGCGAGGCGCGCGCGAGGGCGCGTCGTCGATCCGTCCGTCGGGTGAGGCGCGCCGGTCTTTCGTCGTCGCGTCGCGCGCGGGCGTCGAGCGCGAGGGGAGGCGCGCGGCGCGAGGACGCGAGGGGCCATGGCGGACATGTTGAATAACCCGTTCGCTCAGCTGGACGCGCAGGTGCGCGCGCGGACCTCCGCGACCGCGGCAGATCGCGCGTCGTCGCGTCCGTCCTCCTCCGCGGCCGCCGCGCGACGGACGCTCGGACGCGCGGGCGAAGAGCGAAACGATCGATCGCGGACCGGCGCTCGATCCCCCCCCGCGCGCCCGCGCGCGCGCTCGATCCCCGCCCCTCCCGCGCGCCGCCCGCGTCCTCTCGCCCCCTCCGGTCCGAATCTCACCGCCCCGCCGCGCCCTACGCGTCCCCGCGTCCTCCGCAGATCGAAGGCCTCCTGCGCGGCGAGCTCGTCCCCGAGGCGGACGTCAAGGTGATCTGCGAAAAGACGAAAGAGGCGCTGATGAGAGAGGAGAACGTCGTCCCGGTCGCCGCGCCCGTGACGGTCGTCGGCGACATCCACGGCCAGTTCGCGGACCTGTGCGAGATGATGAAGATCGGGGGGAAAGCCCCGGATACCAACTACCTGTTCCTCGGCGACTACGTCGACCGAGGGTACGACTCGGTGGAGACGGTGTGCACGGTGATGGCGATGAAGGCGCGTTCTTCTATCTCACACCGGTTCCCGTACGACCGCGTCGGCGTGGTGAACGCCGTTCTTTAAGGACTTCGCCCAACGTTTCTCTCCGCCCAGGGTCCTTCGCTTTCAATCCCGACGCGCCTCGACGCCTTTCAACTCCGCTTCTGACGCCTTTCGACTCCGCCCCGACATTCGTCGCTTCGAACGACGGAACAACCCCGAAGGCGCGGTGGCCGGGACGCGTGACGTTACTCCGAGGAAACCACGAGTCGCGGCAGATCACGCAGGTGTACGGGTTCTACGACGAGTGTCTTCGGAAGTACGGCAACGCGAACGTGTGGACGTACATCACGGACGTGTTCGATCACCTCCCTCTGGCGGCGACCATCGACAACGAGATCTTTTGCCCGCACGGCGGCTTGTCGCCGTCTCTGGACACGCTCGATCACGTCCGCGAGCTCGCGCGGACGCAGGAGGTGCCACACGAGGGTCCGATGTGCGACCTTCTGTGGAGCGACCCGGACGACCGGTGCGGGTGGGGGATATCCCCGCGAGGCGCGGGGTACACTTTTGGACAGGACATCAGCGAGCAGTTTAATCACGCCAACGGGTTGAATCTCATCGCGCGCGCGCACCAGCTCGTGCAGGAAGGGTACGAGTGGGCGCACGAGAAGTCCGTGGTGACGATCTTTTCCGCGCCGAATTACTGCTACAGGTGCGGGAACCAGGGCGCGATCATGGAGGTGGACGAGAACATGAACCGGGAGTTTTTGCAGTACGATCAGTTCCAACGAGCGGTGAACCCGGAGGCGCGAAGGAAGCAACAGAAGCTGCCGGATTACTTCCTCTAGGCGCGCATCGCATCGCGCGGGTTTACGTTACGGCACGCGAAGGGAGGGAGGGAGGGAGGGACGGGGGAAGAGGGTAACAGGTTTGGATTGTTTTGTTTGGAACGAATGCGACTAAACGAAAATACAAAACCAACGAAACCCGCAGCGAGGCGAGCCCTACTCCTCCGCGATCGCGCCGACGTACCCGTCGGCGTACCCGCCAACGACCGGCTCGTCCCCGAGCTCCTCCGGCGTCCGCACCACGCCGTCCGCTCCCATGACCGCGGTCGTGGGCTTGTACCCCTCGTTGTAGTTCTCGCACCCGAGGTCGCGCATCGCCGCCGACGCGACGTCGACGCAGTCGCTCGGATGATTCCTCTTCGCCGCGCGCAGCAACGCCTCGGCGCGCGTCGCGAGCACCAGCGGGACGTTTTCCGGGTTGCGCACAACCGCGTTTCTGAGAAACATCGCGCCCTGTCGCTGCGTCCCCTTGTGCGCCGCCCCGGCCGCCATGCACTCGACGATCGGCTCGAAAACGCCCTCCGCGCCGCACCGCGCCGCGTTCTCCGGGTGACGCAGACACAACGCCGTCAGCGCGCCCAGACACTGCTCCACGACCGCGTGCGCCGCGTTCGCGTTCGCCTTCGCCGCGGCGTCCGCGTCCGCGTTCGCGTGAGGCGAAGCCGCGTTCGCCTTCGCCTTCGCCTTCGCGTCCGCCGCGCGCTCGCTGAACACGCGCGCGACGTGCGTCAGCACCGCGATGCCCTCGCTCGCCGCAACGACGCTCTTGTTCGCGTCCGACCCCGCGAGCTGTCGAAGGCACGCGGCGGCGCTCTTCGCGAGCCCGGCGTGCGCGGTGGCGGCCCCGCGGAGCAATCGCAACGTCGTCGCGATCCCGCCGCACTCCGCGACGTCTTTGCAGATGTCGTCGTTCACCGCGGTGTTCTTGAGCGCCTGCGCGAGCGACGCGAGCAGGGACAGGTCGGATCCGTCGGATGCGTCGGATGCGTCGGAAGAAACGCCCGCCGAGGAGACGTTTTCGAGCGCCGCGCACAGCGCGCGAGCCGCGCCCGCCTTGGCGAACGCGCGCGCGTGCGCGAACGCGCCCGACGCGGGCTCTCGACCGTCGTCCCCGTTGGTGACCGCGCGCAGGGCGTCGCACGCCGCGCGTAACGCCCGCGCGTCGGTCGTCACGTTAAACACCGCGACCACGGGCGCCTCCACGCCAGCCTTCGCGAACGCGCCCTTGCACGGCTCGTTCCGCGTCGCCGCCGCCGCGACGACGGCGGCGACGGCGGCGAGCGCGGCGGGCGATCCGCCGCGTCGCGCCGCCGCCGGCCACACCTCGCGGACGTGCGCCATCGGGAGCTTGAGCGACGCGTACGTGTCGCGCGCGTCGTCGCCGCCGAGGACGGCGGCGAGCGTCGCGAGCGCGGCGATGAGGTGCGACTCGAGCGACGACGCGACCTCCGCGTCGTCGTCGGCGTCGGCGGCGTCGATGATCGCCTTCGCGACATCTGCCACCGCGCTCGCCGCGCCCTGCACGCCTCCCGCGCCGACGCACGCGGCGCACCACCCCGGGGTCTCCTCCGCGCCGCCGCCGAGGCGCGCTCGGAGCGCCTCCCCCGCGGCGGCGACCGCGTCGCGGTCGCCCGCCTCCACGGCGGCGACGTACGCGCGCGTCGCGATCGCCGCGGGATGTTCGCCTCGGCCGTCGGGCCCCGCGTAGGACGTCTCGACGTCGGAGAGGTCGACGCCCTGGAGCTCGAACTCCTTCATCGCGTCCGCGACCGCCTCGTCCGGGTCGAGGTCGAAGTCGTTGATGTTCGACCGCACGCACTCGTCGAACGCGGCCTGGGAGATCTTCTTGCGCGCGGCGGCGGCGGGCATCGCGGACGACGACGACGACGCGACGGTTCGAGTTTTGGTTGACCGATCCGAGCGAATAAGATCCGACGACGTCCGGGGTTCGGCCGCGTTCGCGCTCTTCCGTCGGACGACGCGCGACGGCGCGGCGGGCGCGTGGGTCGCTTCGGCGACGGTTTCGCGCGCGCGCGCGTGCGGCCGCGCGTCGGGAACTCGCGCGCGCGCCGGGGAAGGAAGGCGCGCGAAGGCTGAGGAAGGAGCGCGCGCGACGCGAGTCGCCCGGGACGGCACGGGATCGGTCGAAACTACTGCGAAACTAGTCGTTGAAACCGAGACTGCGCCTCGCGGATCGGACCATTTTTTTCGGTTTGAAAACGAGAGGGGGCGTCGACGCGCGCGCGCCGTCACAATCACGCTCGCGTTCACCGCTCCCCCACACACCACACATCCACTCTCATCATGTCTGGCAAGGGCGCTAAGGGCCTCTCCGGCAAGGGCCTCTCCGGCAAGGGCGGCAAGGTCTCCTCCAAGGGCGACAAGAAGAAGCCCACCTCCCGCTCCGTGAAGGCTGGCCTGCAGTTCCCCGTCGGCCGCATCCACCGCTTCCTCAAGGTGCGTCCTCCGGTCGCGCACGTTCGACGCGATGGCGCGCGCGTTACGTCGTGAAATCGCGAGGGATATCGCGCGGGGTGGTCGCGCATCGATTCGAGCACGCTCGCGCGTCGTCGCGATCGCGCACGCGACCTCCGCGGCGCTAATCCGGCGCGTCGGCGACGGCTCGGATTATCAGATTTGAACCCGAGTGCCAACAATCAATTTTCGACGTCCCCGCGCTGACGTTCCCCCGCTTCCCCGTCACCGACAGAACCGCGCCGCCTCCGGCGGCCGCGTCGGCGCCACCGCCGCGGTTTACTCCGCCGCCATCCTCGGTGCGTCGATCGAACGGTCCCGAACGCGCCGTCGCGCGAACGGAAAAATCATCCGGCGTTCCTTTTTCCAAGACCGCGTCGTTGTATTTTTTCCCCGCATCCCCGCGCGGGCTCTGACGCGCGCTTCGCCTCCTCCTCCCACAGAATACCTCACCGCCGAGGTCCTCGAGCTCGCGGGTAACGCGTCCAAGGATCTCAAGGTTCGTACGCGCGCCCGATGCCCACCTCGCGCGCGCGTCGTCGCCGCTTCTCCGAGCGAAGATCGAGCCGTTTGCCGTCTGCGTCCTTTTTTTTGAATTTTTTTTCCAACCGGACCCGCCCGCTGACGCGCGCGTCCCTCGTCGTCTCTCTCGCGTCACACACACAGGTGAAGCGCATCACGCCCCGCCACCTCCAGCTCGCCATCCGTGGTGATGAGGAGCTCGACACCCTCATCAAGGCGACGATCGCCGGTGGTGGTGTGATCCCGCACATCCACAAGTCGCTGATCAACAAGTCCTCCAAGAAGTCCGACTAAGCGCCCACGCGCTTCGTCGTTCGCTCTTGAACGATCGATGACGATACCACACGAGCGCGACCCGAGGAAGGGCGCGACGCGCGGTCGACGAGCGAATCCGTTCGTTCGTCGACCGCGCGTCGCGCTCTCTTCGGGCGCCCTGGGATAGCGCGTAGAGACGACGGTCGCCCGCTGGGGGCGCGCGTCCGTCTCCGCGAGAATGGGAGACTTTGAAATGTATGTTTGACGCCACGTATAAAACGATATTCGCGTCGGCGACGTCTGGGGGACCGCGCTCGCTACTAGCTCGCAACGGTTTATCGGGGGGGACCGTGCGTAGACGATCTTGTAACGCCAACTTTGTCGTCGATGCGAACGAATCTCGTGGCCCTACTCCTACGTCTTCGTCTTCTCTCGCCTCTCGATTCGCGTCTTCTATTCTACGCGTCGCAGTCACAACTCGCGAGCGCGTTTTTTCGCGCTCCCCGACGAGCCCTTCCCCGCCCTCCGCTCCTGCACCTTCCTCTTCCTCGCCGCCGTCCTCTTCGCCGCCTTCGCGATCCTCGCGCGCGCGGCCCTCTCCGGGTCCACCACCGCATCGAGCGCCTTCGCCCTCCTCCTCGCGTCGCGTCGAGACGCGATCCGCGCCCTCGTCGCCGCGTGCGCGCGCGAGAAGAGCTCGCCGCGCATCGCGCCGCGCAAAACCTCAAGCGTCTCCTCGGCGATCGCCCTGTGTTCCGGCGCGACGCCGACGACGGCGTCGTCCGCGCACAGCACCGACGGCAGCAGCAGCGGCGGCGCGATCGTCGGGTGTCTATCGAACCCTTCCTCGCCGAGCGACGCCGCGAGCGCGGCGGTCCACCGCAGCGCCGCGGCTCTGGACGCGCCGATCCCGCCCGCGCCGACTTTGCCGACGCGGCGGAAGAGCCACGGCAGCGGCGGCTTGGCGTCGACGGCGTCGTCCTCGGTCGTCGTCGTCGTCTTCTTCTTCTTCTCTTTCGCGGCGGCGGTTTGGGCGGCGGCGTTTAGGTCGTTCTCGTCGTCCTCGTCGTCGTCCGCCTCCAAAGCCTCCTCGTCCTCCTCGTCGTTCTCGTCGTCGTTCTCCGCGATCGGTCGGCGCGTCTGCAGCAGCACGACGGCGGCGAACGTCAGATTTTTCACCGTCTGCTCCGCGAGCTTCTCGTCCACGTCCACCGCGCGCGCGCCGACGCCTTGCTCCAGCACCGCGACGCACGCGCGCGCGATCGTCTCGAGGTTCACCGGGTACGCGTATTCGGCGGCGTCGTCGGAATGTGAACCGTCGCGCCGCCTCGCGAGCGCGGCGGCGATCGCGGCGCCGTTGACGGCGAGGTACCGACCGATCACGCGCGCGGCGGCGTGCTGCACCCACTGGTGACGATGCGACAGCAACGCCTGCGACGCGCGCCACACCGAGTCTTCACTCGCGTCCTCGTCGCCGTCGTCGCATTCGTCGCCCTCCAGCGCCTCCGGGCAGAGCGCGTGCGCCTTCTCTACGAGCAGCAACGCGCGGTAACACGTCTGCCAGTTCACCGCGACGTCGTCGTCGTCCTCCTCGCGGTGAGCCACCGCCGGGTCGTGCTCCGCCAGCGCGGAGACGATCGAATGACGCGCGGCGGCGACCGCGCGCGACGCGTGCGACGGCGACGCCGCGACCGCGATCCCGAGCGTCTGCATCGCCGCGCGTCTCAGGCGCTCTGCGTCGTCGCCCACCGCCGCGCCGCCGCCGCCGACGGCGCACCACCGCGTCGCGAGGTCGAGGAGCTTCTCCCCTACGCCGCCGCCCGCGGTGCGCTTCAACAGGACGCGCAGCGCCTCGCCCGCGGCGGCGCGACACTCCGCGTCTTCGTCCGCGCCGAGCCGCGCGACGAGGGGGACGAACAGGAAGACCGCGTTCGCGTCGACGACGTCTTTAGGGAACCGAGCGACGACGTCGCGCGCGCACCGCAACGCGTTGACGCGGCCGGCGGCGTGGACGTATTCAAAGTTCGCCGCGAGCGACTCCAAGTGCGTTCGCAGGCGGCGCTCGCCGAGAGGGTAGTCCAGGAGGAACTGGACGAGCGCGCCCGCGCACGAACGCCGCGTTTCGTCCGCGTTCGCGCGCACGACGAGCCCGGACACGACGTTCATCGTGTCGTAAATTTCCGGCAAAAGCGGCCGACGCGCGAGCACCGCGCGCATGAGCGAGAACACCGTCGATCGCTGTTCCTCCCGGTGCGTCTCTTCCAAGTCCGAGAACGCGAAGCGCACGATGAAGCGAAACTGCGCGTCCGTGGGCGTGAACGCGGCGTGGCGCTTCAGGAGGTTGTTCAAAAGTTTTAAACAATCCTGCGACAGCTGCGCGTCCGCGCGAGGGCAGTCCTTCAGAAGCGCCATGATCCGACGCGCGAGCGCGCCCGTGCTGCTGTCGAACGTCGACAGCCGCATCGTCGAGAGCTGCGCGAGGCATCGCACCGCGAGCGGCGGGATCGCCGCGTGCGGGGACGACAGCGCGCGCACCGCGAGAGGGACGATGCCTCGGAGGATTTTCTCTCTCTGCGGGCCCAGCGGGGACGCGAGCGTCGTCGGGGCGTCCTCGTTCGCGTCCTCCGCGTCTCTCCGCGGCTCGACGGCCGCGCCTTTCCCGCCGACGCCTTTTTCGCCTGTTCGTTGGTAAAGGGAGAGCGCGCGCGAGCGAGTCGGTGAGTCGGTGAGTCGGTGAGTCGTTTCGTCCGGCGAGGTGAATCGAACGCGGTCGCCGCCGCCGCCGTCGTCGCCGTCGGTCGCTTCCCTTCCGGGGAGAGGTCAGATTTAAAAAGCTCGTATGTTGATGTTGATCCTCACTGGACATCAGCATTGGATTTCGTAACAATCATCCCTCCTCTCCCTCGCGAAAAAATCAGAGACCGCGCCGGGAGAACGCGGAGAGAGAGACAGAGAGACAGAGAGAGAGAGAGGAAGGCGAGGAGAAAAATAAATACGCGACACGCACCCGACATCTTCCGGAGCAGCGCCCTTAGCAACCCGAGCGCGAACACGACGAGGAGGTCAAAGTTCGGAGGCACGTCCTCGTCGCTCCTCGCGAGCGCCGCGAGCGTCGTCGTCGTCGTCGTCTTCGTGCCCCCTCTCTCCGGCGCGTCGTCGTCTTCGTCGTCGTCGCCGTACTTCGCCCTCTTGTACCGATCCCCCGCGTTCAATCCCTTCTCCATCGTCACCGTCGGATCGCTCCCCGGCTCTGGGAGTCGGACGAGGTACCACCCTCGCTCCCACACCCTGTTCCCGAGCTCCTTCTCCCCCCTCGGCGCGGCGCCCAAGGTCATCTCCTTCAGCGACGGATCCGCGCTCGCCTCCGCCGCGCGCTCGTCGCGCGAGACGCCGTCGTTGATCACCGAGTGACACAGCACGAGCGTCTCCTCGACGGAGGCGCGCGGATTGCACAGCACGCCCTTTTGCACCGCCTGAAGCATCGCCTCGAGCTTCCTCCGCACGCTCGGCGCGCTCGCCGCGGGAAGCCGCCTGGTGACGGGCGACAGGAGCTCCGGCAGCGCGCCGGGGCACGTCGCGTGCGTCGCCAACAGCGTCAGGGTTTCGTGCGCGCGGCTTCTCCGAGCTTCGCGGTACGCGCCACGAATCGCCTCCACCTCTCGCTCCTATGGATACGAGCGAACGTCATTGGGTGGAGTTGAAAGGCGTCAGAAGCGGAGTTGAAAGGCGTCGAGGTGTGTCGGGATTGTGAGCGGGGGTTGATGGGCGGAGAGATGCGCCGGGAGAGAAAGTCCTTAAGGATCGGCGTTCACCACGCCGACGCGGTCGTACGGGAACCAGTGTGAGATTGAACGCGCCTCCGCCGCTCGCCCGAAGACGTCCTCGTCGAGCAACGGCATGATCGCCTCGAGCGCGTCCGTCGCGTCCTCCGGGTCCGCGCCGGGGACGCACGCGTCGACGAGCGCGTGGAGCGTCGCGCCGAGGACGTGCGTCATGAACCCGCGGTCGAGCCTCGACGCGAGCAGCCGGACCAGCGTCGGGAGTTTGGCGCAGCCGAGGCCTTTCGACGACGGGACGACGACGGGGCGGCGGGAAGGGATGCGATTGGTCAGCTTTCGATGACGTGTACGTTTCATTGGACGAGAGCGACGGAGAGGGCGGGCGGGTGCCGAGGTGCCGGGTGACGAAAGAAAGTCCTCGAGGAACGGCGTGCACCGCGCGAACGCGGTCGTATGGGGACCAGTCTCACCTTTCGCCGCGAGCGCGAGCGCGGCGCGCGCGGTGTCTCGCACGCCCTGCGCCCTGGACCGCAGACAGTTCGCGATCTTCCCGAGCACGCGCGCGATGTCCGCGTCGAGATCGCGCGCGGGGAGGAGTCGAAGGAGCGAGACGAGCGCGGCGGACGCGGCCGGTCGCACGGTCCCGCCCTTCCCCTCGTTATCCTCCACGACGACGAGAGACTCCAGCATCGGGAGAATATCCTATACAAGCGAACGTCGGGGTGGAGTTCATAGGCGTCAGGTGGAGTTGAAAGGCGCCGAGGGCGGGGATTGAAAGCGGGGGGTGGGCGGAGAGATGCGCCGGGAAAAGTCCTTAAGGATCGGCGTTCACCACGCGAACGCGGTCGTATGGGGACCAGTGTATAGAACGCACCATTCGCAACGTCTCGACGACGACCCGCGAGACGCGCCGTCCGACGACGTTCGAGGCTTCCTCCTTCGCGTGACCGTCGGCGCGCGCGCGTTCGCGTTCGCCACCCTCCTCCTCCTCCTTCTCCTCGTCGTCGTCGTCGTCGTCCCACTCGTGGAAGTTCTCGAGCGTCGTCGCCGCCGCGCGGATGTGCAACGCCTTGCTCCCCTCCACGTCCCACCCGCCTCGCGCCGCGCGTCCGCCGCCCGCTTTCCGCAGCGTCCACGTCAACAGGTCGCGGTAGCCGCGCCACGGGAGCGCGCCCGCGAGGCCGCCGATCGCCGCCGCCGCGGTCGACGCGACGTCCGCGCCGGCGTCGCCGAGCGACGCCACCGCCAACGGCGCGAAGTAGCCGACGACGGTGTCTGGCGGCACGGACCCCGCGCGCGACGACAACGCTCTGAGCGCTTTACACCGCCGGTGCGCCTGCAGGTGCGCCATGTTGAGGAAGAAGTCCTTCTCCGGGTCGTCGTCGTCCGCGAGTTTCGCGGCGCCGGGCGCGGCGGTAGGCCACGCGATCGCGAGCCGTCGGAAGACGCCGACGGCCTCGCCTCGCGTGACCTTATCGGGCGAGCGAAGTAAGCCGCGGACGCCGGGGGCGAGGACGCCGATCACCGCCGCACCGAGCGACGCCTCGGAGGCGGCGGCGTGTTTCAGCGCCCTCGCGGCCGTCGCGTCGAGGCCGACGATCGCGTCGTCGTCGTCGTCGTCGTCGTCGTCGGACTCGTCGTCGTCGGACTCGTCGCCGTCGGACCCGGACCCGTCTTTGCCCGTAACCTTCCGCCGCGCCTCCTCCTCCTCCTCGACGGCGGCGTCCAGGAACCGTTCCAGCGCCGCGGACGCCGCGTGCCTGAGCGCCATGTCCGACCCCCTGAGCTCGTGCAGCATGTGGTGCAAGATGGGCACCACCGCCGCGGGCGGGCACGACGAAAACCAACGCGCGTCGAGCGTTTCGTACGCGCCGAGTCTCGCGTCGTAGTCGGCGCCGTCGACGGCGTTCTTGGCGTCGGCGTGGAGGTTTCTCAATATCGGCGCCGCGACGCTCGCGGCGACGTCGCGCGCGGCGACGGAGGTGAACGCGGCGACGAGCGCGCGGCGCGCGGTTCGAGTGCGCAGGCGACCGAACAGCGGCGCGAGCGCGGCGCGGTGGCGATTCGCCGCCGCCGCCGCCGCCGCGTCGAAACGCGTTTCTTCGTCGTCGCGCCCGGAGGTTTTTTTATCCGACGTCGACGAATTCTTCTCCGCGGATAGACGCGGCGCCGGAGGGACCACCGCGGCGAGCGCGTGCAGCACCTCCGCGATCGCGCTCTCGTCAAGCTTACGCACGGAGAGCACCGGGACGAGCGTGTCCGCGATCGCCGCGGACGCCGCCGCGCGCCCGAGCAGCGGGCCGAGACGTTTTAGGAGCGCGAGCTCTCGCCCCGCGGCGCCGCCGGCGGACGCGCTCGCCGCTCGCGCCGACGGATAAGAGCTCCCCGCCCGTCGCCCTCCGCCGCGCATAGAACGCGCCGCGAGCGCGCGACGCAGCGCGTCTAGGAGCGCGGGCGCGTGATCGCGCAGCAGCGAGACGCTGACGTGCTCGGGCGGCGCGGGATCGGGCTCGGCGACGCCGCGCGTCTCGCGGTCGTTCTTCGCGCGATCCGCGTCGAATCGCGCCGTCTCCGCTTGCTCAACGAGCGACTCCGCGACGGCGATGGCCGCCGCGCGCGTCGCGTTCGACGCCGCCGGCGCGCCCAGCGCGCGCCACGCCTCCGAGAGCAGCGCGCCCGCGCGCTCTCCCCCGCCGCCGTCGGAGGTGAGGAGGACCGCGGTCCGCGCGTCGTCCGCGAGCGCGGCGATCACCGCGAGCGCCGGCGGCGGCGACGCCGACGACGACTCGCTCGCGAGACGCGCCGCCATGGGCGACACCGCGGCCAGCGCGGTGGGCCAGTACGTCGAGTAGTCGAACGACGGGTGACGCGCGAACGCCGCGGCGAGGAAGCGCACGGCGAGGACGCGGATCTCTCGCGCGTCGCGGAGCGACGTGGACGCCGACGTGGACGTCGCGCGCCGCTTCGGCGGTTTCGCGTCGTCGTCGTCCACCTCCTCCTCCTCCTCCTCCTCCTCCGCGTCGAGCTCGGGCGCCTCGTCTCCTTCCTCCTCCTTTTCCTCTTCCGTCGCCGCCCCCGCCGCCGCGGCCGCCGCTCGCGCCGCCGCCGCGCGCTCGCACGTCTCCGACGCCTCTCGCAACAGCTCCAGCGCGATCGCGAGCAGCGGATCCAAATACGTCTTCGCGTGCTCCCCAGCCGCGCTCAGGAGGTCGCCGGCGGCGCGCAGGAAACCCGCGGGTCGGCGGCTGCCGTCGCGCGCGAGCGCGCCGACGTTCGCGTCCGCGACGAGCGCGCGCCACCCCGCGCGGGAGACGGCGTCGCCCGCCGCGGTCGCGACGAGCGCGTCCTGCCACGGCGTCGACGCGGCCGGGAACAGATCGAGATCGAGAACGAGATCGAGTTCGACGTCGGTCGATGCCGGTCCCGGTCCCGCGTCCGGACGTCGTCGCGCCGCGACGGGCTCGAGCGGAGCGATCACGGAATACACGAGAGGGACGATCTCCGCGGGGTCTAACCGCCCGATCCACGCGAGCGCGGCCGCGCGCAGCGGCGCGTGTCTCCCGCTCCGTCGCTTTAAACGCGGGAGCAGGCACCTCACGACGAGCTTCGCGAACGCGGGACGGTGCTCTGGCGGCACCGCCGCCGCCGCCGCCGAGTCGTTCCCGCCCCCTCCGTCCTGAGGCTCGTCGAGCTTCAACGACGTGAGCTCGTCCTTCACGGTGTCCAAAGACGTCAACCTCACGAGCCGCGACGCCAAATCCGGGGTGAGGTGCGGCAAGCGCCAGCTCGCGAGGCATCTCACCGCGAGCGACGCGAGGTCCGGCTCATCCGCGGAGACGGTCCGCTCGAGCACCGCGCGCGTCGCGTCGCCGACGCCGCGCTCCAACGCCTTCAGCGGCTTCCCGCCGTTCAGCGCGTCCAGCAGGAGCTTGAGCCACTCGCGCAGGCCCTGCCGCCACGCCTTCCCCGCGCGCGGCGTGCCGTCGGGTTTCGGCGCGTTGTACGCGAGGAAGAGACGCGCGATCGGGAGCGGGTGCCGGCTCGCCGCCGACGGCGACGCCGCGACGCAGCGCAGGAGGAGCCCTAATCGCGCCCACCGCTCGACGCCTTGCTCCACGGGCACCGTGTCGAGGGCCATGCGTCTCTGAAGCGTCGCCGCGGCCTCGGTGGTGGCGTTCGAACCGGAACCGTCGCCGCCTTCGAAATCGTCCCACGCCGCGCGCTTGCCGCCGCGTTCGCCGCCCGTTTTCGTTTTCGTTTTCTTCGCCTCAGCCGCTCGCGCCGCCGCGGCGTCGTGCGCGTCCAAACACCCGCGCATGGTCTCCGTGAGGTCGCCGAACACCACCGTCCACGCCGCCGCGTGCGTCCGCGTCCGCGTCGTGAGCGCGGCCGTCAGCTTGATCACCTCCGGCCACAGCGTCGCGAGGCGGACGTGCAACGCGCCGGCGGCGCATTTCGTCATCGCGACGGCGGCGACGGAAGAGATTCCGTCGCCGTCGTCGCCGTCGTCGCCGTCGTCGCCGTCGCACACGCCCGCGTCGACCGCGCGCGTCATCGCCGCCACGGAGACTTGCGAGCGCTTCGCGTACTCCATCACGTTCCCGCCCTTGGCGCTCACGTCGTGCGCGTCGCGCGCGTTGATCTCGAGCCAGCGTCTCAACATCTGAGACACGCTCGACGGCGCGTCGTTCACGGAACGCGCGTCGTCGTCGTCGTCGTCGTCGCCGCCGCCGCCGCCGCTCCCGCCGCCGCCGCTTCCTGCCGCGTACCGCGAGATCGCGGAGAGGTACCGCAGCGTCGCCACGCGCAGGTGCCGCGACGGCGCGTCGAGCGTGGCGGAGTGCGCGCGCGTCGTCGCGAGCGCGCTCACGGGAAGAGGAGATTCGTCGCCGTCGCCGTCGCCGTCGCGCGCCGCGTCGAGAAGCTCGGCGGCGGCGTCGAGGACGCCGGGGCACGTCATCGCCGCGGACGCCGCGCGCACGGCGAGCGCGGCGTCGCGAGGGAACGCGTCTTCTTCTTCCTGCGTCACGGCGCTCGCGGTCGCGCGAAAACGCGCGGCTCTGGCGCGCATCGCCGCCGCGAGCACCGCCGCCGCGTCGTCCTTCCCACCCGCGGCGTACGCGTTTTGCGGCGCGTTCCCGTCCCCGCGCCCGTCCTCCGCGTCGTCGTCGTCGCGCTCGAGGACGTCCAGCGACCACGTCAGCGCGTCGTTCGTCGCCGCGCGCGTCTCCGCCGCGTCCGCACAGTGACGCAGCACGCGCAGGAGCGCCCACCGTCGCCGCGCGGGAACGGCGGCGTGCTCCGCGCCGCCGCCGCCGCCGCCGCCGCCGCGGCTTCGCGCTCTTACCTCCGCCGCGGCGTCGGGCGCGGCGTCCCTGATCATCGCCGCGTCGTCGTCGCCGTAAGCCTCGCGCAGGACGTCGCACACGTCCCCGAGGAGCGCGGCGGCGGCGTCGGCGTCCACGAGCTCTTCCTCGGACGCGAAATCGTTCGCGTCCGAAGACGCGGCGTTCGTCAACCGCCTTCGCGAATCAAAATCATCCCAGCCGGCGTTGAGCGTCTTCGTCAGCGCCGGCGCCGCCGCGGGGAGCAGCGCGTACAACGCCGCCGCCGCCGCGGGCTCGCCGTCCATCGCCCTCGCTCGCAGCGCGCCTAAGAAATGGAACGTCGCGCGATTCGGCGCCTTGCTCACCGCGCTTCCCCAGCGTCCCGCCGCCGCGCCCACCGCGCTCGGGCCTCGACTCGCGCCGGCGATTTTATTATGCGCGTCGACGAGCGCCAGGCACACGCGGTGGACGCCCTCGGCGAGCGCTTGCCACGTGGACGCCGACGTGGACGCCGACGTGGACGCGCGCTTCGAAGCGCGCTCGAGCGCGGGGAGCGCGGACGTCGTCAGCAGCGCGAAGATGGGGTCGTAGTCCTCGACCCTCGCGCCGCGGTACGCCTCGACGGCGGCGGCGACGACGCTCAGACTCCTCGCCGCGCGCGTCGTCGTCGCCGCGGCGTCCTCTTCTTCTTCTTCTTCTTCGTCGTCTTCTTCTTCTTCGTCGTCGTCGTCGGAGCTCTCGTCGCCGGAGGCGTCGTCGCCGTCCTCTCCCTTCGCCTTGACCGCCGCGCACGCCCGCCTCGCCGCTCTCAACGCGCGCGACCACATCGCCGCGCACTTCCCGCGTCTCGTGTGCTTCGCCAACGCGTCGATCGTCTTCTCCGCGACGTCGTACGCTCTCGATAACGCCACGTCAGCGTCGGTTTCGCCGTCTCTGCGCAGGACGCGCGCGGACGGACGAAGGACGCGTCGAAGCACGCGCGGCGCCCTGGAGTGCAGCCCGTGCGCGGCGCCTTTCATGCTCTCCGCGAGCAGATGCCCGGCGGCGTCGACGTTGTTTTCGATTTCCTTCGCCGTGACGTCCCGCCGCGTCGTCGTCGTCGTCGTCTTCATCGTCTTCGTCGTCTTCGTCGCCACGTCACCATCCATGTCATCACCCTCCTCGGCACCCTCCTCGGCACCCTCCTCGACGTCGACGTCCACGTCGACCAAAACCTCCGCCGACGACGACGTCGCCTCGTCCAGAAGCGCGTCCACCCCGCGTCGACACGCCGCGTCGGGCGCGGCGCGAAACAAAAACGCAGTCGCCTACGAGCGAACGTCGGGGTGGAGTTGAAAGGCGTCAGAAGCGGAGTTGAAAGGTTCCGAGGGCGGGGATTGAAACCGTGGGACCCTGGGCGGAGAGACACGCCGAGAAAAGTCCTTAATAATCGGCGTTCACCACGCGAACGGGGTCGTATGGGGACCAGTGTGAAGGAGAACGCGCCTGCGCGGCGAACAGCCGCACGTGCGCGCTCCTGTGCCGCCGCAACTGCCGCGTGAGGTCCAACGCCCTCGGCAAGTCCGTCGCGAGCTGTCGCTGCATCCACTTCAAGATCTTCGCGAGGCACGCGAAGACGTGCTCTAGGAGCTCCGGCTCTCGCTCGATGCCCGTGCGGCACAGCCGGGCGAGTCGATTCGTAACCGCGGAGAGATGCGGAATGAAATCCGAGCGGAGGTCGCGCGCCAGCGCGGCCAAGCACGCGAGCAGCGCCTCCAGCGAGTGCTTCGCCTCGTGCGTGAGCCTGCTCAGCAACTTCTCGACGACCTCGTCCTGGTGCAGCACGAGCATCGCGAGCGAGTGCGCGCGCGGGGAGGCCTCCGCGGAGAAGGCTGAGAAATCCGCGCCGCAGCAGAGCTCCGCCCACTGCGCGAGCGCCTCCTGGAAGAAGCACGAGCTCCCGTGCAGCGGCGCCGCGCGCAGCTCCCCCGCGGCTCTGTGGACGTCGACGTCCACCTCCGCGACCCTGCGCGCGAAGTTTTTGAACGCGAACGCGCGCTGCTTGGGCGGTTTGCGTCCGAGCGCCGCGCGCGCGTCGTCGTCGTCGGACGACGACGACGCGTCGCCATCGAAATCGCCGTCGTCGCCGCCGCCGCGCTTCCGCGCCTCGCTCGCGAAGTTTCCAAACTTCGCGGCGACGAACTTGGCGTCGTCCTTGCGCGCTTGCTTCTTGCTCGTCTTCAGGTCCGGGTCCGCGAACCCCCTGCGGCGCTTGTTCGTCACCTGCTTCGCCGCCTTGCCCTTCTTCGCGCCTCCACCAGACTTTGGCGGCATCGCGGACGCCGACGCCGACGCCGCCGAGACGCGCGCGCGCGCGTCCGGGGACGCCTCCGACGCCGCTTCCGCGCCGCGCGATCGACCGGTGCGCGCCGCTCGGTCTGCGCGTCGCCCCTCGGCCCTCGCGCGGTCGTCGATTGGCGCCGCCGCACGACTGAGCAACAACGAGAGCGGAGTCGGCGCCGGCGCCGGCGCCGCGCCGGCGGCGTGATGATCCGGTCGGTCGGCCTCGCTGCGCTCCGGCAGTGCTCGGACGAGACGACTGACTCCCGCCGCCGCCGCGATCGACCTCTTTCCGCGGCGCCTCGCACGCGCAGGCCGGCCGCGACGCGATACCACCGAACTAAGGGCCCGCCATGGTGCGTCGACGATCCCTCCCGCGCGGTCGCGATCGGCGCGCTACGTCTCGCGGCGCGCCGATCGCGCCGCGGACGCTCGCGCCCAAACCCTACGACGATCGATCGACGATAATAATCTGTGTCTGTCTCTCGCGCCGCGTCGCCGGCGCGAGTGGCGTCGCTCGACGGCGGCCGTTCGCGGGTCCCTCCCACCCCGCGCGAACGATTCGCTGACCCTCCCTCCCTCCCGTCCCTTCCTCTCAACCCTAAACGCTTCAGGCGTCCAAGTTCTGGGGCGGCGACAGCTCCGATAGCGGATCGGACAGCGGATCGGAGTCCTCCTCCTCCTCGTCAAACGGGTCCGGGTCCTCGTCCTCCGGGTCCTCGTCCTCCGGGTCGTCCTCGTCCTCGGAGTCGGACGCGGGGCCGTCCAAGTACCTCCAGGCCGGGTCCTCGGACTCCTCCTCCGATGAGGGCGTCCGCGTCGTGCGAAGCGCCAAGGACAAGCGCTTCATCGAGGCGCGCGCCATCGCGGACGAGATGCGAAACAAGATCAAAAACAACGACTGGATCTCGCTGCAGACGCTGTTCGACAAACTGAACAAGCAGCTCGAGAGGGTCATGCGCTTGCAAAACGAGGTCGGCGGCGGCGTCCCGAAGTTCTACTACCGCGCGCTCGCGACGTTGGAGGACGCGATCGAGGCGACGTTCGCAAACAAGCCCGCGATCAAGAAGATGTCCTCCACCAACGCCAAGGCATTCAACGCGATGCGGCAACGCTTGAAGAAACACCAGCGCGACGACCCCACCGTGGAGGCGGGGATCCGAGCCGCGCACGAGAAGATGGAGTCCACGGACGAGGACGAGAGCGAGCCGGAGAGCGACTCGGACTCGGACGCGGATGACGACGACGACGAGAAGGAGAATAAGCAATCCGCCGACGCCGACGACGGCTTCGAGACGGTCGGGAAGGGCGGGAAGACCAAGGGCAAGGGCGCGGCGGCGGCCGCGGCGGCGCAGCCGCCGAAGGAGCTCGACGTCATGACCGCGCCGAAGGAGAAGATCACGTACGAGATGGTGGACAAGAAGCTCAAGGACATCATCGCCAGCCGCGGGAAGAAGGGGACGGATCGTCACGAAAACGCGGAAAACCTCGCCTACCTGGCCACCGTCTCCACGTGCGCGTCGCAGGAGATCGAGTCGCTCATCATGCTCATCAGCGCGCAGTTCGACATCTCCGGGAGCATGTCCGCGCACATGCCGATCCCGATCTGGAAGCGGTGCGTGAACAACCTCCTCAGGATCGACAAGCTCCTCTCGGAGAATAAACAGATCACGCTCACGGAGGACGTCGAGCCCCAGCCCAAGCCTCCGCCGGAGGACATCGTCGCGGGCGCGCCCGTGCAGCTCTGGGGGTCTCTGTGCGCGTTCACCGAGCGTCTGGACGACGAGTACTTCAAGTCGATGCAGTCGATCGATCCGCACAGCAAGGAGTACCTGTTCAGGATGCAAGACGAGTCGCTCTTCATCGTCCTCTGCGCCGCCGTCGTGCGGTACTACGAGAACCGCGACGACGCGACGGAGATTCACTGCAAGCTGTCGCTTCGTCTGCTCGAGCACCTGTACTACAAGCCCGAGCCCGTGTACGAGGCGCTGAGGAAGTTCGCGACCGCGAAGCTCGAAGACGCGGACGCGCTCGAGGCGAAGCTCGCCGCGGACGCCGTCGCCGCGGCGGCGGCGGCCAAGGCGAAGGAGGAGGCGAAGAGGATCCGCGATAAGCAGGCGGAGGAGGAGGACGAGGAGTACCTCGACGACGAGGACGCGGACCAGGCGGAGGCGAAGGAGGCGCAGGAGATTCCGTACCCCGCCGGGTTCAGGTTCCCCGCGCCGTCGCTTCCGGAGACGCTCAAGAAGCTGTCGCTGACTATTTACAAAGACGGCGACACGCGAAGCAAAGCGCGCGCGATGCTGTGCGAGATTTTTCAGAAGGGCCTCGTCGGCGACTTCCGCGCCGGCCGAGACCTCATGCTCATGTCGCACCTGCAAGAGAACATCTCGCACATGGACATCTCGACGCAGATCTTGTTCAACCGCGCGATGGCGCAGCTCGGCCTCGCCGCGTTCCGCGGCGGGTTATTCGCCGAGGCGCAGTCGTGCCTCGGCGAGATGTACCAAGGCGGCCGCGTCCGCGAGCTCCTCGCGCAGGGCGTCACGCAGTCCCGCTTCCACGAGCGCTCCATCGAGCAAGAGAAGCTCGAACGCCGTCGTCAGATGCCGTTCCACATGCACATCAACCTCGAGCTCTTGGAGTCGGTGCACCTCGTGACGTCCACGCTCGCGGAGGTGCCGTACATGACGCAAACGTCCACGCGGCGGGCGCGGTCGACGAATAAGCCGTTCACGCGAATCTGCGATAACTACGAGCGGCAGACGTTCAACGGCCCGCCGGAGAACGTTCGGGATAACGTCATGGCCGCGGTCAGGTTCCTGCTCGACGGGCGGTGGTCGCACGCGAAGGATATCATCCTCGGGTTGGAGGCGTGGAAGCTCCTTCCCGGCGACGCCGCGCCCGTGCTCGAAAAGGTTGTTAACCGCCTCAAGGAGGAGGCGATGCGAACGTACCTGTTCCAGTTCGCGGCGCAGTACAACTCCGTGTCCATGGACGTCATCGGCAATATGTTCGACCTCGACCAGAAGTCCGCGCACTCCATCGTGAGCCGAATGATCATCAACGAGGAGCTGCGGGGGATGTGCGACGCGGTGACCAACTCCGTCGTGATGTCGCACGCGGAGCCCACCCGTCTTCAGTCGCTCGCGATGACGTTCGCGGAGAAGTGCGCGGTGCTACTCGACGCGAACGAGCGCGCGCTCGAGCTGCACGTCGGCACCGGCGGCGCGCAGCTGTTCGATTACGACGACGACGGCGGCGGCGACGGCGGGCGACGCGGCGGTCGCGGCGGCCGCGGCGGGAGAGGCGGCCGCGGCGCGGGCGGGGAGTGGGAAGACGACGGCGGCGGCGGTCGCGGCGGGCGGGGCCGCGGCGGAAGAGGCGGGAGAGGCGGTGGTCGCGGGAGAGGCGACCGCGACGGCCGCGACGGCGGCGGGCGGCGCCGGCAGGAGAGCTACTCGAACTTCTCCACGCGACGGGGCGCGGAGGGCGACTTCGCGAAGCGCGGCGGCGGGAAGTTTAAGAAGGATCCGAAGGAGGACCAACGCGATCCCACGGAGCGGATGGTCTCCCTCAAGGCTGGGAACTGGAGGCGCTGACCTGACGACGAGTGCGAGTTCTCGCCGCCGCTTAGAAGAGTACGCTAGTACGCTGATACTACAAAAAAATACACGTTACCCCTACGACGAACGCTACCAAACGAAACGGGTCGACGCGGGACGTTACCGAGACGACCTATCTCGTCACCTATCTCGTCGCCTACGACGCCTCCGGCTCGCCCTCCGCGGCGGTCGCCGTCGCCGTCATCATCCCGTCGAGAAACCCGCGCTGAATCTCCGCGTTGCTCTTCTCCATGTTTTGCATCACCAACCCGCGGCATATGTCCCACTCGAAATCCCCGCCCGCGTACGCGGTCCTCACGTCCATGACCCGCCGCGCGATCGAGGGGTCCGCCGCGGTGAGCTTCTCTAAAAACGCGTCGCCGTCCTTCACCGGGTTGGCCTCGAGAAAATCGAGCAGGAACGCGTGCACGTTCGTCACCCGCGCCGCCTCTCTCGTGCCCTCGTTCGAGTCCGCGTCGTCGACGCCGTCCGCGCCGTTGCTCGTGCTGATCTTCGGCGCCGCGGTCTCGGTCTGGTCGATCACGATCCACGTCGCGACGTAGGTGAACAGCGCGGTCAGGAGTCGCGATGCCTTCTTCTCGGGCGTCTCGCCCCCGAACGCGCCCGCGGGGACGAACATCTTCGGGTCGTCGCTGAACGACGCGCGGGATGGCGGCGCGTGGGCACGCGCGCGGGGGCGGCGGCGGTCGCGGCGCGTCGGGACGGAGATGGAGGGCGCGAACGACGACGCGCGGAGGAGGGACGCCATGCTGCCGCGCGGCGTGGAATAACACTGAAGTTTTTTTTCTCCACGGCGGACTTTTTCCAGACTTTTTCGAACAGGCGGGAAGAAGCCACGACGGCGGCGGGGCGCGCCACTTCCCGAGCGCGCGCGACGACGAGCGCGCCTCGATCGCGTCGGATCGCACCGCGCGGACTCTACATCGCGCGCGACGGCGAACCCGCGCGGCGTCATGACGGACGCGAACCAGCTCCCGTTCGAAGGCTTGGGGCGAAGGCTTGGATCCAAGGCTTGGGGCGAAGGCTTGGGTCTCCTAGGGCGGCTCCCGTTCGAAGTCCTCGCGAACGGCGTCTTCGCGACGCTGGACGACACCGAGGTCGCGGTGTTCGCGCGGACGAGCGGCGGGTGTTTGAATCTCGCGAAGCGCGCCCGGCGCAGGCTCAGGCTCAGGTACATGAACAAGGAGAACTTCGTTCACTCCGTCGAGAGGCTGCGGTGGGCGAAAGAGTCCCTCGGGCTGGAGTGGGACGAGCACTTAACCAGCCTCGCCGCGGGAAGCGGAAATCTCGAGGTCTTGCAGTGGGCATGGGAGAACAGTTGTCCTATCTGCGCGGGAGCTACATCCAACGCCGCCGGGCAAGGCCGTCTCGAAGTCTTGAAGTGGCTACGGACAGCGAAGACGCACCCGGGGGCGCTCACGAATACGAACGACGGGAAGTGTCCTTGGAGCGCTAGATCCTGCGCCTTATCTGCTGAGGGCGGGCACTTCGAGGTGTTGAAATGGCTGCGTGCGAATGGATGTCCGTGGGACGCTTCGACGTGCAGCGGTTCGGCGAAAGCGGGCTCCCTAGACATGTTGCAGTGGGCGCGGGAACACGGTTGCGAATGGAGTGCGCGAACCGTAAACGACGCCATCAGCGGAAAGAGTGTCGAAGTTTTAAAATGGGCGGTGTTGAACGGCTGCCCTTGGGATGACAGTTCGTGCCAGATGATTGCAGAGTTGTCGAGCGGTGGTATCGAAATGATGACGTGGGCGCGCGAACACGGGTGTCCGTGGGGTAGAATCGATATCTGGGGCGCAACCGAAAGAGCCGCTTGCCGCCGGGATATCGAAATGTTGACGTGGCTTCGCGAGCGTGGGTGCCCGTGGAGTCGTGATACTTTCGGAGGGGTTTCGTCGAAGTGGCATCCGAATCCGAAAGACATAGTCATCGTGGATGGAACAACAAAAATCGAGATGTTTGAATATTTACGCGCAAACGGATGCCCTTGGACTGCGAATGCTGCCAAGCACGCTGCCGAAATCGACGACTTTGAAGCTTTGAAGTGGTTCCACAACGCGGGGTATCCTTTCTCTTTTTGGGCTTGCACGGCGGCAGCCGGGCGAGGTAATCTTGAGGTGCTCAGATGGTTACACGAGCACGGTAAACCGTGGAACTGGACGTGCTGCGCTTTCGCAGCAGGATGCTCATCATTAGAAGTCTCCGAGGACGAACGCATCGAGGTTCTGAAATACGCACTCGACAACGGCGCAGTCTTTAACTACAGAGCATGTTCTCACGCCGCGTATCACGGGAACCTAGAGGTGTTGAAGTTCTTACGATCGCGTGGGTGCGATTGGAACGAGGATACGTGTGCGTACGCCACACATCAGTGTAACTTACACGTGTTGAAGTGGGCACGAGAACACGGATGCCCGTGGGATCACAGGATTCTTCACTACGCCGTGGACAGTTTGAGAACCGAAAACAAACGGGAGTTGCTCGCGTGGGTACTGACGAACGGGTGCATCCTGGCAAATTTAGGAGAAAGCAGAATCTACTACGAAGTGATAGAAGAAGATAGCGACTTTGGATATCTCGACAGCGAAGAGGAGTACGACATTTCCAGCGACGAAGACAGCGATGACGACAGCGATGACGACAACTCGCTCGACTTTGATCTATTCGATTAGACCAAAGCGTTCGACGACGACGTGACGAATGACGATTTCATTTCATCTACTACGAAACCTCAACATCACGCCCCCGCCTGCATCGGCGGCGGTGCCGCGCACACGTAATCCAACAAGAACACGCTCGCCTCCGCGGTCGCGGCCAAGTCCTCGTGCATCGCCGCGAACGCCTTCGACAACCTCCTCAGCGCCGGCAACAACTGCTCGCTCCCCCCCCCTCCCCCGCCGCCGCCGCCCGCGCCCACCAGCGCCCCCACCATCCCCCCGTGCGCGGCCGCGTGGATCGCCCGCCCGTGCGCGACGCACAGCTCCCTCGCCCACCGCAGCATCAGCTGCGCGTGCGGCCCTCGCGTCGCCCTCGCCGCGATCGACTCGATCAGCGGCGAAAGCAACGCGGGTGGAAAATCCCGAAGCGCGCCGGCGACGGCGTCCGGCGGAGTCTTCTCCAGCACCTCCCGGACGAGCGCCTCGTCCTCCTCCGCGCCTCTCAGACGCAGCGCCATGAGCAGCGCGACGCGCGCGTCGCCGTGTCTCAGCGCGCGGCGCGCGGCGGCGGGGGTCACGTCCTCGCCGAGGTCGGTCGGATCGAACGCGGCGCCCGCGTCCTTGGCGAAGACCATCACGCCCTCCGTCGTGGACGCGGCCCATCCTTGGCCGGTGGGCGCGAACGCGACGTGCTTGCATCGGATCGTCTTGCGCTTCTTCTTGCCGTTGTTCGCGTTGGAGGATCCCGCGGCGTGGGCGCGCGCGCCGGGGATGTCGTTCGCGTCGTCGTCGTCGTCGTCGTCGTCGTCGTCGTCGGGTAACAGGTCCAGCGGCCCGGCGTCCGTGACTCTGCTCGAGTCCAACCGCTCGATCGTCCCGTCCATGGCTTTGCTCTTCGACAGCGAAAACTTCCTCAGCAGCGACGTCCCCTCGACGTCGTACATGCACACGCTCTTGCCGTTCCCTCCCGCCATGAGCAGCGCGCCGTCGGCGCTGTACGCGAGCGTCTTGAACGCGCGGCCGGCGTTTACGTTGGCGCCCGAGCGCAAGTCGCCGATTGTCTTTCCGCCCGCCATGTCTCTCCTGCCCTCGATCGTGCCCTCCAACCGCGCGTCGTCCGGTTTCCACAGAAAGATCTGCCCGTCCAGCGTCGCGGCCGCGAGCTGCTTGCCGTCGGGGCGGAACGCGACGGCGAGGACGTCGTGCGCGTGCTGGAGAACGTCCGTCTGACCTCGGCCGTCGTAGACGTCCCAGAGCCTGACTGTCTTGTCCCAGGACCCGGACGCGAGGAGCGGGCTCTCGGGGGAGAAGCACAGCGCGTTCACGGGGCCTTGGTGCCCGGCGAAGATGTCCAGGAGCCGACCGGTCTTGAGCGACCAGATGTGGATCTGGAACGTGTCCAAGGAACCTGCGACGAGAGTACAGAGAGGAGGGGGCGCGGGGTCAGCGAGCGAAGCGGAAGCGGAGGGGGGGAAGGGGAATGCGGGGCGTTCGCGTCCTGGCCGCCGCCGCCGCCGCCGCCGCGGATGGAGATCAGATTTAAAAAGCTCGTATGTTGATTTTGATCCTCACTGGACATCAGCATTGGATTTCGTAACAATCATCCTGTCCCATCCGCGCGCGGCGACGCGTCGAGTCCGAGTCGAGGAAACGAAAAACGAAAACGAAACCGAGAGAAAAGATCCAACGAAGAAAAGTCTCGGGCGCGTTTCGCGCGCGCGCACCCGCGCACACGATCTCCCCCGAGGGATCCACGGCCAGCGAGACGAACTGGCACGGGTCCGGCGACGTCAGCGTCTTGAAGTTCCGGTACCGCATCAGGTCGAACGCGCGCACGGTCCCGTCCATCGACGCCGAGAGCACCGCGTGCCCCGACGGCAAAAAACACACCGCGCCCACCGGCCCCGAGTGCTCGTCGAACGTCACGAAACAGCTCCCCGTGGCCGCGGACCACACCTTCACGGTGTTGTCGTCCGACGCCGTCGCGATCAACGCGCCGTCGGGGGAGTACGCGCACGCGTTCACGTCGTAGTAGTGCCCCTGCTGCTTGTACACGTACGTCTCCGACTGCCACTCCCAGACGAGCAGTTGTCCCAACTTGGCGCAGCCGAGCGCGATCCACTCCCCGGTCTCGTTCCACTCGCACGACGTCACCTTCTGCGTGGATATGGAGAGCGTCTGGAGGTGGTTGAACTCGCCGGTCGCGAGCCTGTGGAGCGTGAAGACGCCGTGCGCGAACCCGGCGCACAGCATCCCGCTCCTCGCGTGGTACCGCGCGCAAGAGAGCTTATTCGGCATGTGGAAAAAATGTTTTCCGCGGAGACGCCACCGCCGCCCTTTCGGTTTCTTCTTCTTCGCCGCCGCCGCCGCTTCGCCTTTCTTCCTTCGCTTACTCTTATTACTACCGTTCGCATCGTCTTCGTCTTCGTCTTCGTCGTCCAGCAGCTGCCACTCGAACAGAGCGCCGTCCTCGGATATCGTGTAGCACGAGAACCCGTCGAGTTGCGCGCAGAACGCGACGGCCACCAGCGGCTCGCGGTGGCCGCTCAGCGTCGGCGGCGCGTACCCGTCGAGATGATTCGCGCTGTATATCCTCGCCGTGAGGTCCTTCCCGCCAACGATGATCCACTGGCTGTCGCCGGACCACGCGAGGCACGTCGCGTCGTCGTACATGCCGCCGTACGTGCGAAGGAGACGGAACGGCGCGAACTCTTTGAGCATCGTCGGCGTCGCCCAGATCTGGACGAGCTTTCCGACGAGGACGGCGAAGGATTTGCCGCACGGGGAGAACTCGCACGCGGTGACTTTGCCCTTGAAGTTCATGTGGTGCAGCGTGACGCGTTTTCTGCGACGACCGACCGACGAGAGGCGTGGGAGGTGAGAGACTGGACGGTTGGAGGAATTCGATGCGAACGACGACGCGAACGAACGAACGACGCGAACGAGACGTCCTTCCTCCCCGCCGCGCGATGCCTCGTCAAGTCGTCGTCCTCAACGACTCGCGTCGATCAGTTCTCAACATCGAATTAACTTTTATTGCTTTTCGTCATCGGCATCGCGGCGCGGGGACGCGGGAGCGGCGGCGCATCCGAACGAGGGATGGGAAATCGCGTCGTCGCGCGAGCGCGCAATGAGTGACGGGCGAGGACGCACCGAACGTTCACGAGGATCGCGCGCCCGTCCGTGTCGAACGACAGCATATGATGCCCCGACGGCGACACCGCGACGCATCTGATCTCCGTCAAGTTCTCGCACGGCAGCGTCGTGGACGACGACAGCTGTAGGTCCACCTCGGAGACGCGGTTCCCGACGCTGCTGATGAGATGGTGCCCGCGCAGGCACAGGTTCCCGCCGCGGTACGGCGCGCCGAGAAGGTTATTGAATCGATAGTGCGCCATCGCGTCGACGCGCGCGCCCGCCGCGGTCGGGTGTGATGCGCGGTTCGCGGCGCCCTGCCCCGCGCGCGTCGCTGTGGACGTCGGGGCGGCGGCGAGCGACGAACAGAAGTCAGAATAATCTCGTCAGCCGCCGCCGCCGCCGACTCCGAAACTCAACGACGGCGCGCGTCGCGCCGCGGTTTCGCTCGTCGCGCGCCATTCCGCGGGACGCCGCGCGCGCGAAAGCAGGTCGCCCGCGCGCCGCGTCGAGAGCGATGGCGAAGGCCGCGGCGGCGACGGCGCGCGGGAGCAAGCGACGCGCGGCGTCGGACGCGGACGCGACGCCGTCGTCGGGGAAGAAGGCGAAGAAGAATGCGAAGAAATCGAAATCGAGCGCGAAGAAGCGATCCGACGGCGACGCGCACGGGTGGCGCCCGCTCCCCGTCCGCCTCGACTTCGGCAGCGCGTTCACGCGCCACCTCTTCGTGCGCGTCCCGTCCGCGAACGCCGCGGAGGGCGCCACGGAGGGCACCGCGCTGTTCGTCGCGGCGATCCCCCTCGGATGGACGCGCGCGCATCTCCGAGAGCTCTTCGAGGAAAACTTTGGCGCGGTCGAGGAGACGTCGCTCGTGACCTTGGACGCCGCGCCCGACGTCGCGGGCGGCCTGGTGCGCTTCGCGTCCGCGAGCGGCGCGAAGAAGGCGCTCGCGGCGAGCGTCCGCGGGGGCGACGCGCTCGACCCGCCCGCGTCGCTGGCGCCGACGTCGATCGGCCTGGAGAAGTGGGTCGGACATCATCGACACGCGCGGCCGGGGAGCGAGGTGCGTTCTATACACTGGTCCCCATACGACCGCGTTCGCGTGGTGAACGCCATTCCTTAAGGACTTTGCCCGGCGTCTCTCTCCGCCCACCCCACGGTTTCAATACCCGCCCTCGGCGTCTTTCAACTTCAACTGACGCCTTTCAACTCCACCCCAACGTTCGCTCGTATGGAACGACCCTGAGGCGTTGGGGAGACGGATAGACGAGTGGTTCGAGGCGTTCGAGGCGGAGGAGGCGAGGAAGGAGGCCGCGGCGAAGGCTGCCGGGGAGGGAGACGACGGGTGGACCGTCGTGGAGGCGAAGCGAGGAAGGAGGAAGACGACGGATGATGAGGGCACCGCGGTGGGCGGGATCCGAGCGGCGACCGCGGACGCGAGGCGAACGGCGGGGCCGACGCCGAGGGAGAACTTCTACCGGTTTCAACAGCGCGAGAAGCGCCGAGGCGAGCTGTTCGAGCTGAAGCAGAAGTTCGAGGTGGACAAGGAGAGGGTCGCGAAGCTCAAGGCGAGCCGCAAGTTCAGGCCGTTGTGACGCGGCGCGATCTCGCGGGCGTTGGCGCGCGCGACAGCTGTGTGACCAGACTCCTTTAATCACGATAAAAGAATTCTCGACGATCCTTCGATCACATCGCGACCTGCTCGTCCTGCTCGCGCTCCAAGATGTCCAGCTCCCCCCGCGTCACCTCCATCTTCCGCTCCAAAACCTTCAGCGCGTTCACGACGATCTCCTCCGGTCGCAGCGCGCCCGTGGACTCCACCGTGAAGTGAAACGCGTCCTCCTTGGCGCGGATGTCCACCAGTCCCGGCTTCCCGAGTTCCTCCGCCTTCTTCAGACACTCGCCGTCGTACCCGTACTGAGGGTCGAGCGAACGTCGGGGTGGGTGGAGTTGAAAGGCGTCAGAAGCGGAGTTGAAAGGCGTCGCGGCGTGTCGGGAGGGATTGAAAGCGAGGGACCCTGGGCGGAGAGAAACGACGGGCAAAGTCCTTCAGCAGAAACGGCGCGCGCGACGCGAACGCGGTCGTATGGGGACCGGTGCGGTAACAGAACGCGCCTGATCCGGCGCGTCGACGACGACGCGCCTCGTCGCCTCGTCGTAGCGGAACAACGCCGTCGGCGACGACTCCACGAACGCCATCTTCTCCTCCTCCGTGAGCGTCGCCATCAGCTCCTCGTTGATGGTGATCTCGGGCTCGAACCGATACGTCGCCGTCGCGACGGGCTGCCACTTCGCGTGGTCTCGCCCCACGCCTTTCCTTGCCACGCACCGCATGTTGATCTGCTGCCCTCTCCGCAACTTCACGATCACGACGCCGGGGATGTCCGGTCCGTCGTCGGGACCGCGCGCCGCCGCCTGCGCTTCGAACTCCATCGCGCCGCCTTTACCCTTGATGGACTCTCCCGGGTGGTAATTCACCGGCGCGACTCTCGGGTCGTAGCACACGAGATCGTTCGACGTCACGTCCACCGTCTCCGCGCTCGCGCATATCCCCGTGTTCAGCTCGAAGTGCACGTCCGTCACGCTCTCGTCGTCGCCCGCGTAGTCGTACGGGAACTCCATCTCCACCGCCTTCTCGCTCAGCAGAGGGATCAGCCCGAGGCGATGCGCGATGAACTCGTCGCACAGGCAACTCGTGTTCTCGATCACGTCCACGAGGTCGATCGCGAGCGTCGGGACCTCCGCGATGATGACGCGCCGCAGCGCGTTCGCGACGGAGGTGTCCGTGTGCAGTAGCGCGAAGCGGATCTTCTCGTGCGTGAGCTCCTGGACGACGATCGACGGCGAACGCTGCTTCGGCTCCGTCGTCGGCGCCATGACGACGGATTCTTATACACGACGACGACGGCTGGAAAACTCTTTCTTCCTCGAGGGCCGATCGCGCGCGTGATCGACGCGCGCGAAGACCGGGTTCGATCGAGCGCGGGGTGGGCGCGCGTCCTGGGGTCCCCGCGGAGAGTCGCGCCGCGACGGATCGGTCGATCGGCGTGGTGCGCGCGCGAGCGAGTGCGGCGAGCGCGCGCGCGGAGAGGGTTTCACGTGAGAATCGGCGCCGCGGCAAACTCAGGTGCGTTCTATACAAAAGTTTTTCACCCATACTCGTAGCATAGACCGGTTTCAACACTTGATCGCGTCTACTTTCAACTGACCGGTGAACTTCATGGAACGACCCTGAACGTGAACGTGATCGCGAGCGCCCCGGCGAGCGCGCGCGAGCGGCCGCGGCCTCGCGACATTTCCAGTCCTTCTCGCGAGGCCGCTCGGCCACTCCGCGCCGCGCGAACGCGCCGAGTCACGGTCCCGCGCCGCCGCCGCGGACGCGCGCCGACGCCCGCCCGCGCGGAATGGCGTTAGGCTCCGGGAAGCTCCGAGCGGCGACGAACCGCGTGAGGTGCGCGCGCGGGGACCGAGATCGACGCCCGCGACTCCAGGATGGATGCCCACTCCGTCTCGTCATCGTTCGAACGTTCGGTCTTTCACGCCTTAAATACCCGTCTGACGCGCGCGTCCCTCGCGTCCCTCGCCTCCCGCGCCCTCGCCCTTCCCCCCCATGGCGTGGCCCCCACCCCAGGACGTCGCTCGCGAACAACACGAACGAGATATGGACGGACCTGATCGGCATACAGCAGAGCAAAGACGCGGGGACGAACAGCGCGATCGAGGCGTCGATCAAGGTTCCAGGACGCATCGGCGGCGCGGGCGTCGGCACGGGCAGGAGACGTCAACGCGACGACGCGATCATTCACCCCACGGAGGCGCTCGTCGCGCTCGCGCGTTTGCAGAGCGCGCGGAATTCGGCCGCGGGCGCGGTCGTGGAGGGCGACCGCGGCGTGTGCCGCGTGTGCGGCGGCACCGGACACCTGACGTCGATGTGTAAGAACGAGTACGCGATGTTAAAAGACGACGACGACGCGGCGGAGGACTCGGTCACGGACCTGAGCAGCGACAGCGACAGCGACAGCGGCGACGGGGGAGGGAGGAAGCGGAAGCGGAAGAGCGGCGGCAAGAAGAAGAAGCGCAAGAAGAGCCACCGCAAGAAGAAGTCGAGCGGCAAGGGGAGAAAGAAGAGCTCGAAGAGGAAAAAGAAAAAGAGGCGGCGGGACAGCTCGAGCGACTCGGACTCGGACTCGGACTCGGACTCGAGCTCGAGCTCGAGCTCGTCGTCGAGTTAAGGTTAAGGTTAGTAAAACGGTGCAACAAGACGTACGTAGGGACTAGTAGTGGCATCGCGTCGTCCTTCACGCCTCCGCGGCGTCGGCGTCGGCTTCCTCTCCGCCTCCGCCGCCGCCCTCGCTCCCCTCGCCGTCCTCGCTCCCCTCGCCCCCGCCCGGTCGTTGGTTCTCCTTCCCGAGCTTCTTCAGCCCAATCTTCGTGAGGTACGACGGCGCGTCGTGCTGCGCGAGCGCCTCCACGTTCGCGGTGTCCCCCGAGATGTTCCACAGCGCCGCCTGCGCGTGCCACCGCGTCTGCGAATCTTTCGTCTCCAACAGCGGAAGGAGCAACGTCAACGCGCCGTGGGACGACGCGATGCGCGCGGCCCAGTCGCCGCGCGTCGTCATCCGTCGCAGGACCCCGGCGGCGAAGGATCGCGCCTCGATCATCGCGGGCGTCAGCGTGGGTTTCTTCGGCGCGGCTTTTTTCTTCTTTCCTCCCTTCTTGCCGCCCTTCTTTTTGCCGCCTTTTTTCTTTCCCTTCTTCTTCTTCTTGCCGCCGCCGGCGTCGTCCTCCGCCTCCGCCTCGGTCGCGCCCGCGTCTTCGGTCTCTCCCGCGTCGTCGCCTCCTTCGCCGTCGTCGTCGCCACCCTCGCCGTCGTCGTCGCCGCCGCCTTCGCCGTCGTCGCCGCCTTCGCCCTCGCCGCCGGACCCTTCCCCGCCGTCGCCGTCGCCGTCGTCGTCGTCGTCGCCGGAACCCTGTTCTTCGTCGTCCTCCTCCTCCTCCTCTACCAACCCGTCGCCGTCGTCCGCGAGCTTCTTCTTCTTCTTCTTCGGCTTCTCCGGGGTCGGCTCCGCCTCCTCCGGGACCGGGTCCTCGGGCGGCTCCTCGCGGACGAACCCCTCCGGTAGCCCCGCGGCTCCCGCGCACAACATCACCAGCGGATGAATGCCCCCCTCGTCGATCACCATCTCCATGCGACGCATCTCTTCTTCGCTCGGCGTCACCATCATCGCGACGGACACGTTCAGGCTCTCGCCCAGGTTGTGCGTCAGCACGGACGACTCCGCGCGCGAGTTCATCGTCGGCAGGGCGAGCGCGTCGAGCTTCGCGGGCGCGGCGATGGTCTTGAGCGGACTCGCCGCCGCCGCCGCCGCGTCCGCCCCAGGGTCCTCGCCCGCGCCGCCCGCTTTGGCTCGCTCGCCAGGAGCTCCCGCGTCGCTGCCCCCGCCGCCGTCGCTGCCTCTGTCGTCGTCGTCGTCGTCGTCGTCGTCGTCCAAGCTCGCGCCCGCCATCGCCCTCGCGGCGGCGGCGGCGGGGTTATTCTTTTCCTCGTGCGCGCGCATCTCCTCCTCGTACTTTCGCCGCGACTGCGTGCACACGTTGAAGATGGTCGCGCACGCGTTCGCGCGGCACTGCAGCGTCGCGGTCTCTTTCTCCTCCCACATCACGCGCACGAGACCTCTTATGATCTCCCTCGTGGAGATGGCGTCCTTGACCTCGTCGAGCTCGGACATCTCCCGCACCACCGCGGACGCGGCTTCTCGTAAATTCATATTCGCGCCGTCGTCGCGCCTGTCCGTCGCGTGATCGACGCAGTACTCCAGCGCCTGCGAGCGCTTGAACACGTCCAGCTTCACCGCGTCCGGCCCGTTCTTCTTCGCGTTGTCGCCGTACCCGTGCGCGACGCACTTTGCGAGAACGATCACCGCGTCTTCCTTGGCGTCAAACGCCGGGTTGAACGGATCTCGAACCACCTCCACGACGTCGTCGTATCCCGCCTTGACGATGTCTTTGATCGTCTGCCGCCGCGTGCTCTCGCACTCTACCAGCTTCCGCAGCGTCCCCACCGCGCTCCGCTGCCCGCTCGTCGAGCGCGTGCGCGAGCTGAGGCACGCCAGCGCCGCGCGGTGCCCCTGTGCGGCGGCCACAGCCTCGCACATCGCGACGTCGCCCTGAGGGTCGAGGGTCCATCCACACGAGCGATGATATCGGGGTGGAGTTCAAAGGCGTCAGAAGCGGAGTTGAAAGGCGTCGAGGTGTGTCGGGATTGTGAGCGAGTTGCGGGCGCAGAGACACGCCGGGAAGTAAAGTCCTTAAGGATCGGCGTTCACGACGCCGACGCGGTCGTATGGGAACCAGTGTGAAGGAGAACGCGCCTGCGCGAAGCAATACACGAGTCCCATCCCCGCGCCCTGCGCGGCGGCGTCCTCGCTCTGCTTCGCGGCCGCGACGCCGGCGAGGAGCGCTCCCGCGTCCATGATGGACTGCTTCGTCCCGACCGGGGAGTCTTTCGTCAGGCAGTGGCTCCACAGGTGCCCGAGCGCGGCGGCGCGCGGCATCGGCACGGGGGGCTTGGCGTTCGCGCGTCCGCCCACCTCGCACAGCACCGCGAGGTCCATCGACTGCTTGAAGTACTCCGGGGTCATGTGCGGCGGGCACGGGAGCTCCTTGGGCTCGTTCTCGTCGCCGTCGCCGTCGTCGTCCGCCTTCTTCTTCTTGCCTTTCTTCGCCATGACGACGGGAGAGGATGAGGAGGAGGAGGAGGCGCTTCACCCGCTTCTTCTGCGCGCGGCGCGCGGACGAATCGATCGACCGATCCGAGAAATCCAAATCGAGAAGCGTCCGCGACCGACGCGCGCTCCGCTCGGGTCCTCCTCTCCCGCGACGGACGTCCGCGCCCGCGGCGGTCGTGTCGTGTCGCGCCGCCCGGCGAACGCGACCGCGACCGTCCCGAGGCGTTTCGCGCTCGAGCGCGCGGTCCGCGCGCCTCGCCGAGTGACGCGTCGTCGAGGGAGGGGGAAATCGCGACTCGTGACGGGACCGGACGAAGAACGCGAACGTCAGCGTCATCGTCATCGTCGCGCCGAGCGCGACGAGTCGCGCCCTCGTGCCCTGCGCGAGGGCGCGAGCCGCGTCGCGCGCGGGTCACAACGCTACACACGCGCGCACGACCATCATGAGCCAACAGGCGAGGATCGACGAGATGACCATGCGGATCGAGGTGCGTCCGCGCGCCCCGCTCGGCGCGGTCCCCGCGCGCGCGATCGATCGCCGCGCCCGCTCGCCTCCGCGCGCGTCGAGGGGTCCTTTTTTTGTCCTCGCGCGCGATCGACCCCTCGATCGCGCGCGTCCGTCGTCTCTCCCCGTCGCGACGGGACGTCCGCCTGACCGCTTCTTCGCTTCTTTCCCCTCCCCTCGCGTCGCAGAACCCGAACCGCGTGGTCGGGTCGGGGTACATCCAGTTCCCTCCGCAGCGGCCGTTCGCTGGGCCGCTGTTGACGCAGCCGCCCACGGTGTCGGTGCGCGCGAACGAATCCTCCTCCCTCGCGATCCCGCGCGCCGATCGATCGTCCGCGTCGCGTCGACGACGCCGGACCCGCGTCGGCCGCGACGCGCGCGCGAGATCGCCGCCACCGCGCGCCTCGCGCGTCTTAATTTCGCGTCCGCGCGTCGCGCGCGCGCGTCGACCGCGCGGCGCGCGCGGCGGCGTCCGACGCGCGCGCCGCGCCGCGCCGATCTCGCGCGCGCGCTGACGCGGCACCGCGCGGACCCCGCCGAGTTTCTTTCGTCTTCCTTCTCGCCGCTTCTTCCCTCTCGAGCTTCTGACCGACGATCCGTCCCATATCGCCCCTCGCCGCGCGCGACGATCGACGCGCGCCCCTCGCCCGCCGCAGCAAAACGACTACCCGGACGAGTGGAAGAAACCCGCCGCGCCGCCGCCGCAGCGACCGCCGCCGCAGCAGCAGCAGTACCAGCAGCAGCAGTACCAGCAGCAGCAGCAGTACCAGCAGCAGCCGTACCAACAGCAGCCGCCGCAGCAGCAGTACGGACAGTACGGTCAGCAGCAGTCGTACGGAGGGTACGGCCAGCAGCAGGCGCCGCCGGTCAACAACTCGTATCAGCAGTCGCTGCCGACGCAGTACCAGAACAGGGCGCCGCCGCCGCGGCAACAGCAGGCGGGTGGGCAGCAGCGGGCGATGCCGCAGCCGGGGGGACGGCCGGGGCAGCGACCGGGCGCGCCCGCGCCGCGCGGCGGTCGCGGCGGCGGACGAGGACAAGGACAAGGACAACGGCCGCCTCCGCCGCAGCAGCAGCAGCAGCAGCATCAAAACGGGCGTCCGGGCGGCGGCCAGGCGCCCCCGCGGAAGATGCTCCCGGGCGCCGTCGTGGGGTCGCTGGTGGCGGCGGGGCCCGAGCCGGCGAAGGTGCGTTCTATACACTGGTCCCCGTACGACCCCGTTCGCGTGGTGAACGCCGATCCTTAAGGACTTTGCCCGGCGCTTCTCTCCGCCCACCCCTCGGTTTCAATCCCCGCCATCGACGCCTTTCAACTCCACCTGACGCCTTTCAACTCCACCCCGACGTTCGCTCTATGGAACGACCCTAAGCCGCGGACGCCTCCGATTCGATCCGCGGCGCCGGCGGCGGCGGCGGCGCCCGCGGCGGGCGGACCGCCGGGGGATAAGCTGTCCAAGTCCGCGGCGAAGCGCAACCGGAAGAAGTTGCGCGAGGGGGGCGCGGCGGCGTGATGATCGCGATCGACGTGACGACATCGCCGACGCGCTCTTCGTCGCTTCGTTTCAAGGGTGGATCGGTTGTTGAGATTTTTTTTCCATCTTTCCGTCCGTCCCCGTCCGGTCCGTCGTCGTCCGTCGACCGACCGCCGAGGGCGCTCGAGAGGTCGCCGTCGACGCGTAGCGATGTCGCGGTGGCTCGATTGATTATGTGAATGAAGAGGAGATTCCGTCGAGAACGCGCCTTATCTCGTCGACGCTCTCCGCCGCTCGTCCCGTTCTATCAGATCTGACTCGTCACCTGTGGAGTGTAGTTGTAGTAAGTACGAAAGTAGCTCGCGTTCTGTTCATACAGTACAACGGCGTCATCACGCCGTCTCGCTCATGAACTTGGCACCCCCTCGTCACTCGTCGGCCGCGAGAGGCGCGCACCTCGCGTCGTCTCCGCGCGCGCGCGAGCACGACGCGCGCCGCGCGCCGCGCGCGTTCGATCGGCCGCGGCGCGAGCGAGAGAGCGACCGGCCCGGCCGCGTCGTTGTTAGTTAGATCTTACCTTTAGATCTGAGCGAGCGACCGCGCGAACGAGGACGAAGCCGCGCCGCGATGCCTCCTCTGTCCGCCGCCGCGGCCGAGGCGGCGAAGAAGCTGAAGGAAGCGCGCGACCGGGCGGAGGCGAACGCGAACCGCGCGCCGGCGAAGCGCCCCAGAAGACAAGCGCCCCGGCGCGCGCGCGGCGGCGACGCGCCCGCGCCCTGGGGCGACGCGGATTCCTCGGGCTCCGAGGTCGACGGATTCTACCGCGCCGCGCTCGGATGGCTCCTCTGGCGTCGCCCCGAGGAGGGCGAGCTCCCGGAGATACCCACGTCGTTCGCCGACGCGCGCGAGTACGTCCGCGCGTTCGAGCCCGCGCTCGTGGAGGAGACGCGAGAGCAAGTCCGCAAGGAGTGGTTGGAGAGCGTCGCGGAGAAGCGCCAGTATCAGGCGCGTTCTGGTTACACTGGTCCCCATACGACCCCGTTCGCGTGGTGAACGCCGATCCTTAAGGACTTTTGCCGGCGTGTCTCTCCGCCCAGGGTCCCTCGCTTTTAATCCCGACACGCCTCGGCGCCTTTCAACTTCAACTGACGCCTTTCAACTCCACCCCGACGTTCGCTCGTTGGAACGACCCTCAGACCACGCTTATCGGGCTGGGGACGAGCGGCGCGTGGCGCGTCGCGACGCTTCGGTGCGCGAACCGTCGCGAAGCGGAAGCCATAGGCGCGCTCTGCCCGTCCAACTCCGTCGCGGTGCTGTGCGAGCGACGCGTGGAGGAGAGCGATCCGTGGTCGAGGCACGCGGAGGGGTCGTCGCTGCCGCTCGCGTGCGCGGGGTTCGTCGAGAGCGTCGACGCGAAGGAAAAGGACGGCGACGGCGTCGTCAGGTTTCACTTTTTCATAAGCGACGAGGCGCACGTGCGGACGGATTCGAGCTGTCCGAACTGGAGGGAGTGGCACGAGAGGTATCGACAGCGCGAACGCGACGTCTTGGAGCTGTTCGAGGGCGCGAAGAGGCAGGTCGTGGACGCGAAAGGACGGTCCATGCACGTGTTCGAACGTCCGCCCGAAAAAGGAGACGACGAGGAAGAAGAGGATGGCGAGATCGCCCCCGCGGCCGTCGACGTCGACGGCGCGAAGAGAGAACGCGAGAAGAGCGTTTCCGGCATCGGAAGAAAGTTCACGCTGTCCCCCGCGGGCAAGCTCCACAGCGCGGTGCAGCGGTTCGAGGCGCTCCATCACTTCGCGGCGAGGCTGTACGGGCCGATGCGCGCGGCGATGCTGTCGCCGCCGCCGGATCGCATGCCGAAGACGCGAGACGTGGCGCCGCCGCCGCTCGCGCTCGAAGTGGAGTCCCAGCCTGAGCTCGCGGGGTTTCTGAGGAAGACGTTCAACGCGCCGCAACTCGCGGCGATCAAGTGGGCGGCGGCGCACACGCTGCGGAATTACGACGGGGACAACGCGCTGACCGCGACCGACGTCGACGCCGCCGCGGGGCGGGAATCCGCGTTTCCGTTTACTCTGGTGCAAGGCCCGCCCGGGACGGGGAAGACGCACACGGTGTGGGGCATGCTGAACATCATCCACTTCGTGCTGTACCAGAGGTATTACCAGAGCTTGCACCGCAAGGTGGAGCTGGACGCCGCGCGCGCGTCTGGGGACCTACGCTTCGCGCGGCAACTTTCGGAGGCAATCTCAAGAAACGGCGGCGACGCAGGCGACGACGACGACGACGACGACGACACGACCGTCCGCGAGCTCTTCGACTATCTCGCGCGCGAGACGGGCGTGCAACTCGGCGCCAACCTCGGCGTCCGGAAACCTCGCGTCCTCGTGTGCGCGCCGTCGAACGCGGCGATCGATAACCTTCTCGAGCGCGTCGTGAAGAAAGGGTTCATCCGCGGCGACGGTACCGCGTACCGACCGAACATCATTCGCGTCGGCGCCGACGACGCCATGGGCGCGGACGCCGTGAGCCCACTCTACGCGGGAGAACGCGTCGAGATGCTGATTCGCATGGGCCCGGAGAAGTGGGACGCCGCGTATCGGAAACAGGCGGCGTTCGTGGAAGCGGCGGGGAAGGACATCGAGTTCCTCTGCGCCGCGCACAACAAGGCGGCGAGAGTAGCGAGAACCGGCGGCATCTCCGGCTCGCTTGGCGGGCTCGTGGACGAGGAGGTCATTCCAGCGGACCCCGCGGAGGCGGCGGCGGCGAAGGACGCGCGCGACGCCGCGGCGACCGCGCGCGTCGTCGAGCTGTGTCGCCTGTACGAGGAACGGAACCGCGGCGTGATGGACATGGCGCGATTCGCGTGCCTTCTCTCGAAGCTCGGGAAGCTGGGCAATCAGTGGAAGAGGGAGGCGAAGAACAAAGGCAAGATGGGTCGAAGGCTACGAAACGTGCTCGAGGCGTCGTTCGTGGACGAGGCGGAGATCGTGTTCACGACGCTCACGAGCGCGAGTCGTCGGGTGTTTCAAAAGCTCACGCACGGGTTCGACACCGTGTTCGTGGACGAAGCCGCGCAGGTGCGTTCGATGCGCGCGTTTCGTTTCGTTTCGTTTTTCACCCGTCCCTCGGTCTCGGTTTCAATGCTGTATCCGATCGCGTCGATCCCTTTCGACTGACCGATGCACTTTTTTCGCGTACCTCTGGAACCGCCCGCAGTCGTCCGAGGTGGAGACGTTGATTCCGTTTCTTCACGGCGCGCGGCGGTGCGTCCTCGTCGGGGATCCGCAGCAGCTCCCGTCGACGGTGCTGTCCACGGCGGCGCAGGGGGTGTCGTTTCAACGGTCATTGTTCGAGCGTTTCACGTCCCTCGGCGCGGAGGCGGTCCTCCTGAGCGTTCAGTACCGCATGCATCCGGAGATTCGCGCGTTTCCGTCGAGAGCGTTTTACGAGGGGCGCCTTCGCGACTCCGAGTCGGTGATCGCGGCGCCGCCGGAGAGCTATCACGCGTCGTGGCCGCTGCGGCCGTACGTGCTCTTCGACGCGAGCCAGGGCAAAGAGAAGAGGTCCACGGTCGGGTCGGTCTCGAACCCGTACGAGGCGCTCATCGTCGTGTCGCTCGTGCGGCGGTTGGAGCGGACGTTGTGGCGAAAAAACGGCGAAACCGTCGACGGCCGCTGCGCGATAATCACCCCGTACAAGGCGCAGCGGAGCAAAATCCGCGACGCGTTCGCGCGCGTGTACGGCGACGAGTCCGCGATGCATCGCCTCGGGATCGTCGTCAGCACCGTGGACGGGTTCCAAGGCCAAGAGGCGGACGTCATCATCTTCAGCACCGTCCGCGGCGGCGCCGGCCGCGGCGGCATCGGGTTTTTACAGGACGTCAAGCGGATGAACGTCGCGCTGACTCGCGCGAGAAGGTCGCTGTGGATCGTCGGCAGAGTCGACGCGCTCGAGGGGAACCCGATGTGGAAGGACTTGGTCGACGACGCGCGCGAGCGAGGGTGCGTCGTCCCGGACTCGGAGCTCGGGGACGTGTTGGAGGTCGCGGGGGAAGACTACGACGGCGGCGGCGGCGGCGGCGGCGGGGGCGGCGGCGGCGCTCGAGGCGAGTGGATCGGAGGCGACCGCGGCGTGGACGCGCCGCGCGCGTCCGCGACCGCGTACGCGCTGCCCCCTCCGCCGCATTAGCGTTTTCATCGCGCGAGTGAGTAGCTTTCGTCGCCGCCGCCGCCCGCGACGCCGTATCTCGCTGCTCCAGCACAGACACTACGCGGTTCGCGTGTAGTTGTACTCTCGCGCTCGTACGACCAGCCTGATCTGCAGTGCGACTCGAAAAACCTGCAGCCTCGCCGACTGGCATTAGAAGGAGTGCGGACGCGGCTCTTCGCGGCGAGATGGCCGGCGGGGGACGGCCGCAGCGGGAGCGACCGCAGCCCGCGAGGTGCGCGCTCGATCGCGACGCGCGATCGATCGACCCTCGCGCGCGATCCGCCGCCCCATTCGTGTCCCTCGAGGCGCTCGGCTTTGTTGTTTTTTTCGTTTTCGATTTCAGCCTCCTCGACGCGCGCGATCGTTCGATCGTCGCGCGGTCCGCCCCCGTCCCGCGCTCGATCCGATCCTCACGCGTCCATCACCCTCCGTCGTCGCCGCCGCGCCGCTCGCCAGGTTCGAAGCGGGACCGGCGCCGCCGCCGTCGGTGCTCGCCGCGCGCGCGAGGGGCGACGCGAGCGCGTCGCACCCCGCGGGGCCCGCCTCGGCGGCCGTCGCCAGCGGCGGACGCGATGGAGTGACGAAGCGCGCGTCCAAGCCGCCGGAGACGTTCGAGGCCGGCCCCGCGCCGCCGCCGTCGGAGCTCCGCAAGCGCGCGGCGGCGATCGCCGACGGCGACGCCGCCGCCGGCGGCGGCGGCGGCGCGAAGACCGAGCCGACCGCGCCGGGCGGCGCGGCCGTCGCCGCCGCGACGCGCGGCGCCGACGACGCCGACGCCGACGACGCCGACGACGACGCGACGACGTCCACGCGCGCGCTGAGCGCGGAGCCGTCCGACGCGCACGACGCGGACGACGCGGAGTTCGTGATGGACGCCACGATGGAGGACGCCGCGGCGGACGACATGGAGACGTTCGAGGAGGAGCTCGAGCGCGCGCCTCTCGACGCGGACCTCGTGCGAGCGGAGGTGTCCGCGCTGACGCGAGAGAACGACCTGCCGATCGGCGACGTGCTGCGATCGTACGGCGCGCCCGTCGCGGGGTCGATCGTCGACGGCGGCGGCGGCGGCGACGACGACGATGACGACGACGACGACGACGACGACGACGATTACGGCAGCGACGACGGCGACGACGCCACGGACGACGACGACGCGCGGGCGTTCGCGGACGGCGCGGAGGTCGATCTCGTCGTCGGCGCGCCCGACTCGCGTCGGCAATCGCTCACGGTGGCTGGGATGACGCGCCCGCCGCCGCCGGCGCTGCCGCCCGGGCACGAGCCGATCGTGTACGCTACGCGCGAGGAAGCCAGGGAGGCGGCGCTCGCGGAGGCGCGGAGGATACACTACGAAGAGGAGGTGCTGGATCGATCGTACGACATCGTGACGCGGCCGCCGCGGACGAAACCGATGCCGTCGTTCCCGGAGCCCTCGAGGAACAAGACGCACTGGGACCACCTCCTCGAGGAGATGAAGTGGCTCGCGGGGGATTTCGTTCGCGAGAGGAAGTTTCGAATGAAGCTCGCGAAGAAGGCGGCGCACGCGGTCGCGCGGTCGAACCTCGACCTCGAGTCCAGGGTGATCAAGCGACGACTGGACGAAGCCGCGGCGGCGAGAAAAAAAGCGAGACGCGTCGCGAGCGAGGTGATGCAGTTCTGGATCAAGATCGAGAAAGTCGTCCGGTTCAAAGCCCAGAGCGCGATCGACTCCAAGCGCAAAGAGGTCATGGACAAGCACCTGGACTTCATGATGCAGCAGACGGAGAGGTACTCCACGATGCTCGCGACAAAACTCGGCGGCGACGCCGACGCCGACGCCGCGAACGCGAACGCGAACGCGAACGCGAACGCGCCGCCGAAACGCCTTCCGGCGCCGCCGACCAAGGACGCGCCGGACAGCGGCCACAGCGACAGGACCGCGATCGTCAAAGGAGAGGGAGACGACGACGCGGACGCGGAGGAGTACCGCGCGGACGCGAGCGAGCTCGAGGAAGAGGACGACGAGGCGACGCTGGAGGAGGAAGAGCGGCGAGCACGCGCGGCTGGGGAGGACGAGGACGCCGACGAAGAGATGGCGGACCTGAAAGCGGAGGCGGAGGTTCCGATCGAGGAGCTCCTGCGGCGGTACCGCGAGATGGAGGAGGCGGCCGCGAAGGAAGAGGAGGGCGGCGGCGACGGCGTCAAAGAAGAGATCGCGGGCGCCGAGGTCAAGTCCGAGATCGAGCCCGCGACGGAGGCGCCCGAGGACGACGAGGAGGAGGACGACGGCGAGGAGGCCACCTTCGCGGACATCGTGGACGATGTCCCCGCGGCGGCGGCTCGACGCTCCAGGCGCGGAGGCGACGACGACGCTCGCGCTCCCGCTCCCGCTCCCGCTCCCGCCGCCGCCGCCGCGACGAACGACGCGGACGCGGACGAATACGTCGCCCCGGAGGGAGGATCCGACGACGAGGACGACGAGGCGACGCTGGAGGAGGAGGAGCGGCGGGCGCGCGCGGCGGGGGAAGAGATGGACCACGACGAGGAGATGGCGGATCTGAAAGCGGAGGCGGAGGTTCCGATCGAGGAGCTCATGCGACGGTACCAGGAGATGGAGGCTGCGCACGCCGCGGCGGACGCCGGCGCCGCCGCCGCGGAAGAGGAGGAGGAGGAGGAAGAAGAGGAGGAAGTAGAGGAGGAGGAGGAAGAGGAGGAGGAGGAGGAAGAAGAAGAAGTCGGCGTCGACGCGCTCGGGGACGAAGAGCCGGAGATGACCGAGGAAGAGAAGGCCGCGTCCGCGGCGCGTCGGTCCGCGCTCGACGCCATCGCCGGCGACGCCGCGACGCTGCGGCCGCAGGGGAACACGCTCGCAACCGCGGGACAGCTGTGCCGCGTCCCGTTTCTTCTGAAGCACACTCTCCGCGAGTACCAACACGTCGGCCTCAACTGGCTCGTGAGCTGCTACGACAAAGCCCTGAACGGCATCCTCGCGGACGAGATGGGGTTGGGGAAGACGATCCAGACCATCTCTCTTCTCGCGTACCTCGCGTGCGAGTGCGGGATCTGGGGCCCGCACCTCATCGTCGTCCCGACGTCCGTGATGCTGAATTGGGAGGTTGAGTTCAAAAAGTGGTGCCCGGCGTTTAAGCTGCTGACGTATTTCGGCACGGCGAAGGAGCGGAAGCTGAAGAGGCAAGGCTGGAGCAAGCCGAACTCGTTTCACGTGTGCATCACGACGTACCGCTTGATCACGCAAGACCAGAAAGTGTTCCGCAGGAAGAAGTGGAAGTACCTCATCTTGGACGAGGCGCACATGATAAAAAACTGGCGGTCGCAGCGGTGGCAGACGCTCCTCAACTTCAACAGCAAGCGAAGACTGCTGATCACCGGGACGCCGTTACAGAACGACCTCATGGAGCTCTGGTCTCTGATGCACTTCCTGATGCCGCACGTGTTTCAGTCGCACAGCGAGTTTAAGAACTGGTTCTCGCAGCCGCTGACGGGGATGGTCGAAGGCGGCGAGGGCGTCAGCGCGGATCTCGTCTCGCGGCTCCACGGCGTGTTGCGACCGTTTTTACTGCGGCGGCTCAAGTCGGAAGTCGAGAAGAACCTCCCGGGGAAGACCGAGCACGTCGTGCACTGCGGTCTCTCTAAGCGTCAACGTCGGCTGTACGAGGAGTACATGGCGAGCTCGGACACGTCCACGACGTTGTCCTCCGGGAACCTTCTGGGGATCATCAACTGTCTGATGCAGCTTCGAAAGGTGTGCAACCACCCGGATTTATTCGCGGGACGACCGATCGTGTCCGCGTTTGATATGCTCCCGGGAGTGACGCTTCGCGTCCCCTCGATCGTCGCGAACGACGCGCGCGAACGAGAAGAGGACCCGCGCCGCGCGCGCTTCTTCGCCCCGCGCGGGTTACACTTGCTGACGATCGAGGACCTCAACGCGGGATCCCCCGCGACGGCGTCGGACCCGCGCGACGTCGAGGAGTGCTTAGCCCTCGGCGGCGCGTACGCGCGCGCGATGGAACCCCCGGAGAAGCTCGGAAGGACGACCGCCGCCGCGGACGCGGCGGTGCGCTTGTTCGCGGAGGTTCGAGCGGTCAGGGCGAGGGAGGAGCGACGCGCGGTGGCGCGGCGCATCGCGCTCGCCGCCGCCGCCGCAATGCGCAGCGTGCCGATGTACGGCGCGGACCTCCGAGCCGCGGCGACGATCCCGCATCCCGCGCACGCGTGCCACGAGATGGCGGCGACGCACGGCGCCGGGCCGTTTGCCGTCGCGCCCGCGCTGCTGGAGCTCGTCAAGTCTCCCGCGCGAAGAGCGCTCGAGTGCGCCGATCTCGTCGCGCAGTTTATGTTTGCCATTCCGAAAGCGCGAGCGCCGCCGCCGTCGATGACGTGCGGCGCGCCGTCGGCCTCGATCAACGCCGCGGTCGCGGAACGCGCGGCGTGGTCGCAGAAGGTGGGCGCGCCCGCGTTGACGCCGTTGCGCGCCGCCGCGGTTCGACAGCAGCTCTTCTTCCCGGACCGAAGGCTCGTGCAGTTCGACTGCGGGAAGCTCCAGGCGTTGGCGCAGCTCCTCCGGACGCTCAAGTCCGGCGGGCACAAGGCGCTCATCTTCACGCAGATGACGAAGATGCTCGACATCCTCGAGGCGTTCTTAAACTTGTACGGGTACCCGTACTGCCGCCTCGACGGCAGCACGCGACCGGAACAGAGGCAGATCTTGATGCAGCGGTACAACACGGACCCGCGTCTCTTCGTCTTCATCCTCAGCACGCGATCCGGCGGGTTCGGGATTAACCTCACCGGCGCGGACACGGTCATCTTCTACGACTCGGACTGGAACCCCGCGATGGATCAGCAGGCGCAGGACCGCGCGCACAGGATCGGGCAGACGCGCCCGGTGCGGATTTACAGGATGGTGTGCAAGGGCACGATCGAGGAGAACATCTTGAAGAAGTCGATGCAAAAGCGCGAGCTCGATCACTTCGCGATTCAGGCGGGGAACTTCAACACGGAGCACTTCAGCAAGCTCAACGCGGAGAAGGGGAGGCGCGGCGGCGGCGGAGCGAGCGGCGACGGAGACGACGACGACGGCGCGGGCGCGACCGCCGTCGTCGGCGGCGAGGCTGGGTTCGCGGCGATGAACATTTTCGACAAGGCGATGTCGCGGACGACGGCGCGGCCGGCGGACGCCGGCGGCGGAGAGAAAAAAGGCAACGGCGGCGGCGGCGGCGGCGACGACGACGAGGTCGTGCGTCTCATGGAAGAAGCCCAGGACGACCAAGACAAGGCGACCGCGGCGCAGCGGAACAACGAGGACAACGACGAGGCGCACGACTTTGACGACGACGTCAAGGAGTCGAACGACCCTGACCGCGACGACGACGAGACGGGTCGAACGCCGAAGGGCGCCAAGCCGGCGAGGTCGGGCGCGAGCGGCGGCGGGGGCGCGAGCGGCGGCGAGGGCGCGAGCGGCGAGCCGCCCGGGACGCCCGCGGCGACGACGTCCGGCGCCGGCGGCGACCTCGCGATGGAGAAGATCAACACGAGTTTGGAAGGCGACGACGCGTTCGCGAAGGAGATGCTCCAGAAGGTGCGGCAGAGCGCGCAAAAGGGGGAAGGCTTCGAAGCGCGGCTCGCGCCCGTGGAGCGGTACGCCGTGCGTTACCTCGAAGAGACGGTCAAGATCTTGGACGACGTCGACGCCGCCGCGGACGCGATCGCGGCGTACGAGGAGAAGGAGTGGGAGCTCGAGCAGATGGAGAAGCAGAAGGCGGCGGCGGAAGCCGCGGGAGAAGACGAGGAGGACCAGCTCGTCATCGAGGGGTGGGACACGGGCGCCGCGGACGAGGAGTACAGAGCGAAAGTGTCCGCCGCGGAGGCGGAGGCGCAGGCCGCGATCGAGTGGGAGCGTCAGGAGCAGGAGCGCATCGAGGCGTACTACGCGTCGTTGGCCGCGCCGCCGCCCGCGCCGGCGCCCGCGCCGCCGGCGGAGGAGGAGGCGGAGGAGGCGGAGCCAAAGGCGGCGCCGTTGAAGGTGAAATTCACGCTGAGGGCGCGGGATCCGTTCGACGCGGTGGCCGAGGCGGCGGCGTCCACGGGCAGCGGCGGGACCGGGACCGGAACCGCGCAGCAGCAGCGGCAGCGGCTGCAGCCGCCGAACGCGGACGACGCGGCGAAGGCGGCGGCGAAGAAGGAGAAGAAGGAGAAGCGCAAGCGCGACGACCCCGAGCGCGAGGAGCGTCGTCGGCTACGCAAGCTCGAGAAGGCCTCCGCCGCCACCGCTGCCGCCGCCGCGGGGGGATGTGGAGGGGGATCGTCGGGGCCCGGCGCCGGCGCCGCGGGCGTGATGACCATCTCCCCCGGCGCCTCCGCGGACCCCTCCAAACCTGCGGCGGCGGCGGCTGTCGCCGCGGCGTCGCGGTCCGTCGCCCACCCGTGGTAGGGATCCCCTCACTTTCCCGTATCTTCGTTCGTTTTCGTTACATATCATGGTCTACACGTTCGTTTCCGCCGGTTCCGTCAGATTGTCGACGCTATCTCGCGACATCGTCGCGATTTACTCTGCCTATTTCATCGCTTCGTCTTGCGTTTCTTCTTTGGCTGCGTCAAGGCGATCTCGTCTTCATCCCGAGCACCCTCGGCATCATCTCCATCTCCCTCCGCACCGCCCGCGGGCACTGTCGCTGTCGCCGTCGCCGTCGCTGTCGCTGTCGCTGTCCACTCAAACTGCTCCGCGATCTCCGGCTGGTACTTGGTGAGCGAGTCCTTGAACTTCTGCGCGTTCTCCGGTTGGTTAGCGATGATCCACCTGATGGCGCTGTTCAGGTCCCGGGTCTCCTTCTTGACAGTGCCGGTGCCGGGATCGGTGTAGATGAAGTAGGTTCTTGCCTTGTTGCTGCTGGCTGGGCGTCTCAACTCTCTGCTCCAACCCTGGAGCTTCACGATCAGCGCGCGCACCTCGAGCTTCTCCTCGAGCAGTGGCGCGAATTGCACTTTGAGCTGTGCATCGGTGCGGCGAGGGAGGAGCTCCGGCGCAGTGAACTTGCCGTTCTCGACGCAGCCTGTGTGGTACCGTTGCTGGGCGTCTAACACCTCCTGCGTGAGCAGCTTGGTGGTGTCCCGGTCGATCGTGCCCCCGGGGAAGATGCACAGCCCTTGCTTGGCGTCGAAGATGTACCCGTACTCCTCGTACATGGCGCCGCGCATCTTGATGAAATGCTTGACGGAATCTTCACCGCCGCAAGCCAAGCCGCCGTGCAGTACCGCGTGTTCGTGTCCCTTGCGAACGATGCCGATGATCACGTTCGCCGCGTTCACGTCGTGCATCGTGTGCTTGACGTGGTCCGCGTTCCCGGTCTTGTCGCACGTCCGCCGCGGTGGGAAGGGCAAACCCAAGCCATGATGCTTTCCGAGCTCTTTCTTTCTTCCCGAACTTTCGCCCGGGGGGAGCAGTGGCTTCGAGATGATCCCGAAGAGGTCGGCAGCCGTGAAGTTCAACCCCGTCGCACGCAGAAGTTCGGCTTGCAACTCCTCGAGGCTGAATCCGCGGATGACCCCGTCGACGATGATCTGGGTGAACGACTCGCCGCGGGATCGCCACGCGCCCGCGGCACTGCAGAGGTCGTTGTCGGGAAAGAAGACGCCTTTGTGCGGGTACGCGCGGGTTACCGGAAGAGCCGCGGTGTAGATGAACTCCTTCACGCGGATGCCGTGCGTGCGGATGCCGCAGCCGAAGCGCGGCGCGTACTCAGCGTCTTTGAGAGACTTTTCGGTCATGTCGAGCGTGTACTGGCCTTTCCGCTCTTTCTTCTTCCTCGCCACCGGGAACGCGCCGTGGACGACTGCACCGGTGCCGTCTCTCCATCTCGGGCGGGCGAGGATGTTGATGAACCAGTCCAGCTCGCTAGACGTGAAGTCGCAGAACGCGAGGGAGAAAATTCCTTCACCCAGCGACCCGTCGCCGGCGACTGTCGCGTCCATCCACGACGGCGTGGCGGTAAGCGCGAGCGGGAACAGCGGGTCGTCCTCGAGGTCCTTGGGGAGGATGACCTTTTTGCCGCGACGATTCGTGTAGAACTTCTCCTGGAGCTTCTTGTCGCCGACGGGCGTGGTCGTGATGGCGTACTTCCAAGACTTTGCTCCGTTCGAACACGTGGCTTCGAATTTCTCGATGAAGTCGGACTCCATCTCGGCGCCAGGTCTGGGTACGGTCTTCCACTGCACGTTGTGGAGGTTGGCGCGTTGAAGATCGGCGTAATCGCGATTTGTCGTCTGAAGCGTAAAGCGGCCAGATTTAGCATCGAAGGATGCGTCGCTGCACATCGCGCCGAACCAGTGCCCGAGCTCGTCCATGGTGTCGATTTCGTACTGTTCGACGATGAGCTCGAGCGTCTCGTTGCCCTGCGCGAGCGCGCCGGCGGAGAACCAGAACGGCAGCGGCCAGTCGTGCTCGAGGTACGCCTTCGCGACGCCGCGCCACGGCGCGTCGATCTTGTCGACGCGGGCGCGCTCCTCGGGCGTGAGTATGCGTCTCTTCAGTTCTGCGGGCTTGGGAACCGATCGGGAGGCTTCATCCTTGGCCTCGTCAGCCGCGCGTTTCTTCGCGGCGGCGACCATCGCGTCGTGCTCTGCTTTGATGTCTCTGACGCACTCGTCATCGGACAGCGGGTCCGCTTCGAACGCCGCGCGCAGTTCGTCGATGGTTTCGTATCTCAGCTTGAACGCCTCCTGCTCCTCGGCATCTCGCGCGGCATTCGCCGCGCGAGATGCCGCGGCGGCAGCATCGTCACGCCTGCGTTCATCGGGGGATTTACGCTTCTGCCGAGCCACCTTGCCCGCGTCGTAGTTGCGAGTTTCGACGCTGTGCATGTCCTGAACCACCGAGTGGGCACCGCGCGTCACTGCCTTTCTCGCCGCGGACGGCGTCCTCGCTACGGACGGCCGCGGCGTCGCGGACGTCATCGGCGCCGCGGGTGTGACGACGAGCGCGGACGGCTGCAGTCGCGGCGACGATCTCCGCGGCAGAGGAGGAAGCTCGCTCAGCGACTCGACCGCGAGGCGCCTCTTCGCGGGCGGAGGAGGCGCGGAGTCGTCGCGACCGACGTCACCGTCGCGTAGGCGGGTCAAGGCGGCGTTGAACGCGGGAGTCATGTACTCTACCGGGTCCGCGTCGAAACCAGCGCCTCCGCCTCCGCCGCGACCCCCCGATCGCGTGCGCGAGGAGACGGGCTGCTGCGCGACCGCGCGCGTCGCCGCAGGCGTCGCCGCGGGCGTCGCCGCGGGCGTCGCCGACGTAGACGTCTGCGTTCTCGTCGACGCGCGGAGGATGTACCGGGGCGTCGGCGCAGGCGTCGGCGCGGGCGTCGGCGCGAGCGTCGGCGCGGGCGTCGCCGACGTCGACGTCGGAGTTCTCTTCGGCGCGCGGAGGATGCACGGGGACGGCTTGACAGCCGTCGCCTTCTGAGCTCGGCTCGAGCCCATGCGCGTGAAGTCACGAGCGGCGTTCATCGCGGTGTCACGGAGCGCCGCTCCGAGACGTCGACTGAGACGACCGGCTGCTCGAGCGGCCGCCATCGCGCGTCGGGAGATGCCAGCTGTGCGAACTCGAACTCGGGTGCCTAACTTTCACCGCGGGCGGGCTCCTGCCTGTCCGCGCCGTCCACACCGTCCACGCCGTCCACGGGCAGGTGCTAATGGAAGCTCACGAACGTCCGCGAGGTGCGCGTCTTCGTCGTGCACGTCGCCGCGACGCGCGCGCGGTCGTCCCTTGTCGCGGAGCGAGGATCTGAGAGAGGACGAACGCAGGAGGAAAAACTTTCTCAAGTTCCGGACTCGCGGAAGGCTCCGGACTGCGCCCGTCGCGAGCCCACGCGAGCGGTTAAAAACGCCTGAAACGTGTCGCGGGACCGAAACACGTCGCGCAGAAATCGAAACACGCGCGAGCGAGGGCGATGTGGATGTTCCCGAGCGAGCCCGGAGTCGGCCGTGCGTCGTCGCGCCCGAACCATCGGCATCTCGCGAAAAGTGCGCTGCCGCGAGAGATGCGATTGCTCATTTTCCGCGAGCGAGGGAACGAACCGGACACGAGCGCGCGCGTGTCGAGCGAAACGCGCTCTGAAGCCGTGTGCGCACCTTCGGAGTCCCAGTCTTCGCTGCCTTGAGAATCTCTACTCAGCGCGTGCGGTGGGGTGGCGCGCGCGGAGTGCTGATGGACGCTCGCGTGAGACGGCTCAGAAAGCGTTTCCCTGCCGTGTCGGTCCGAAAATCACGAGATCGCGAGCGACAGCTGTCAGTCAGGTCGACCGAAACTTCCCTGTCTCCTTCCCTGAATCGTCGCACCGGTTGCGTCGCCCTCGGGATCGACTGGGCCCAGAACTTCGATCATCAGTCTGTTCCGTCTGCATCACTCAAATTACACCGTTCCACCTCTTATCTACCGCGTCGGGCTCCCCACGTCTTATATCGCTCGCGTTATGACTTGACAAACTACTCGGGCGTGTGCGTGTCTGATTGTTTTTTTGTGCGGGTGACTCTAACAAGTGGAAAGGCGGCGAGGACGTCGTCCTCTGCGCGCTCGTGAACGAATTCGGCGGCGGCGCGTGGAACGTCGCGTCCTCCGCGCTGTCCGCCGCGCGGTCGATCGATAACGTCCACCGCGCGCCGATCGCGTGCAAGGATCGGTTCAGGAGGCTCCTCGCGACGCACGGCAGGGCGCTGGGCGGGGTGGACGCCGGCGGCGTGGGGGCGGCTCCCGGGACGTTACGCGTGACGCCGGAGCTGACGCGCGCGCTGTTGAGGAAAGTCGCGCGCGAATCGTTGGGACCGGGACCGGGACCGGGCCCCGGCCCCGGCCCCGGCCCCGAGGGCGCGGCGGCGTCCGAGGAGGAGCCGCCGGCGACGCCGCCCGCGGTGGTTCGGTTGCGGGGCGCGGTGCAAGCCGTGCGCGCGCGCGCGGGCCCGGGCGGGGCGATGACCGCGGAGCTCACGAGCGAGGTGGTGGCCGAGATTCGAGCGCTGTTCGAAGCGACGGGCGGCGCGTGATGGATCGATCGATGGATCGATCGCGCGCGCGTCGGGGGAACGACGCGGCGCGCTCGCGGGAGAGGACGAGAGGGGGAGGGAGCGTCTTCTGTATTTTAGCGAACCGAGATAATACACCGTATTTGATGACGAGAAAAACGCATCGGCCGACGAATGCGATACGACGGGTCCGTCCGCGTCCTATCCGCGGCGGTCCCCTCAGGTCACACCTCGGCGCCCGGCGGCTCGGAACCGCTCGGAACCTCCGCTCGCGCGCCGCCCGCGCGCGCTCGCGGGACCCGTCGTCGCGCCGAGCAGAGCCTTCGCCGCGCGCGCGTCCTCTCGAGCGCCCGCCGCGTCCGCGATACGCCGCGCGTCGTCGAGCGGCGAGCGCGCGCGCGACCGCGTCGATACGACATCGCATCGTCGGACGCGTCCCGGACGCGCACATCAGATCGATCGAGATCGATCGTTCGCCGCGGTCTTCGCGTCCGCCGCCATAGCGCCGCGGCGATCGCACCCGCAAGGGGGGGCGGACACGTCCCCCGGGTCGCTCTCCCCCGTCGCGAGGCTCCTCCACGTCGCCTCGACCGCTGGAGCCGGCTTCGATCCAGCTGGCAACATGGCGGCAGCGAACACCGCGCACAGCGTCGGCATGATCGCGGCGTGGTATTTTTCAAACATCGGCGTGATCCTCCTGAACAAGTACCTCCTCTCCGTGTACGGGTTCCGTTTCCCGGTGTTCTTGACCACGTGCCACATGGCGATGTGCGCGCTGCTCTCGCTCATCGTCCGCGCGTCCGGGATCGCGCCGAGGCAGAGCGTGAAGAACCGAGCGCACCTTCGAAAGATCGGCGTGCTGGGGGTCATCTTCGTCGCCTCAGTCGTCGCGGGCAACGTCTCCCTGCAGCACATCCCGGTGTCGTTCAACCAGGCGATCGGCGCGACGACGCCCTTCTTCACCGCGGTGTTATCGCTGTGCATCATGCGACAGAAGGAGACGATGCAGGTGTACGCGACGCTGGTGCCGATCGTGTTGGGCATCGTCGTCGCGTCACGCGCCGAGCCGCTGTTTCATCTCTTCGGGTTTCTCGCGTGCGTCACCGCGACCTTCTGTCGCGCGCTCAAGTCCGTGATCCAGGGGATGCTGCTGTCGAACGAGAGCGAGCGGATGGATTCCATCAACTTGCTGCTGTACATGTCGCCGATCGCGCTGTCCGTGTTGTCCGTGGCGTCCACGGTGATGGAACCCGAAGCCTTCGGCGTGTTTTACGACAACTGCGCGGAATCGCCGCGGTTCTTCTTCATCATCACCCTGAACTGCGTCCTCGCGTTCAGCGTCAACCTGACCAACTTCCTCGTCACGAAGTGCACGTCCCCGCTGACGTTGCAGGTGCTCGGGAACGCGAAGGGCGCGGTGGCGGTCGTCGTGTCCATCTTGTTGTTTAAGAATCCCGTCAGCGTCGTCGGCATGTTCGGGTACGCGGTCACCATCGTCGGCGTCGCGTGGTACAGCAGCGCGAAGAAGAAGGCGCCGGGGGACCGACGCGGGAAGCGGGAGGGCGTCGGGAATTCGGCGCTGGGGGGTGGGAGGATGAGCGAGAAGGTGTGATGGAGGACGCGCGAACGAGCCCGGCCCCTTTTAAACAAAAAACCTAGGTTAGCGGAGGACGATTTATTTTCGAGCGAAGAAACTTCAACTTCATTCGAACGATCGTTCGCCGCCCGCGCGCACGTCGCGACGTTCGTTCTCGCGTTACGTGCTGCATTACATTCTTCGTCTCTAGCGCCGCGCTCGACGTGTGATCGGTCGGTCATCGAGGCGCGTCGATCGAAACTCGATGCTTAAAACGCGCCTCGTCCTCCCCCCGGGTACAACCCTGCCTCGCCCGGCATCCGCTCGTTCTCCTTCCCCGACGCCCACTTGATGTAATCCGGGCTCTCGCACGCGGCGTACTCCTCCGCGAGCCCCTCCACGACCTCGCGCGCGTCGTCGAACTCCTCTAACCCGTCCGCGAAGATCGCGTGTTGCTCGTATTGGTCCAGAAACGCCTTGCGACGCATCAGCTTATCGTACTGCGTCAGACACTTCGTGAAGAGGTGCCTGATCGACGTGTGGTTCGCGAGCATCAGCCCGCTGACGCGGTGCGCGGTCTGGACGTACGGCGATTTCCGAGACAGCGCGACCTGGATCGACGCGGGCCCCCACTCGATGAAGTTGGCGAGCTTGCGCTCTCGGATCCTCTGCAGAGACTTGTGCACTTGCGTCGGGTCCACGTCCCCTTGGATGATGTTCAAGATGGAGATGTACTTGGACTGCGAGAAGTCCTTCCCTCGAGAGTGCGACGACACCATGATGTTCTTCGTCTGCAGCAGCCGTCGCATGACGTCGAGCACGGTCGTCTTTCGCACCGCCGGCTGCGCGTTCGTCTCCGTCAGCGTCAACGGCGTGTACCCCGTCATCAAAAAGTGGCACCGCGGCGTCGGGATCAAGCTCGCGACCAAGCCGACGAGGTCGTTGTTCATGTACCCCGGGTACCGCAGCGTCGTCGTGGACGCCGCCATGACCGTGGAGACGAGCGAGTTGGTCTGCGCGAACGTCGGGTTTTGAATGTGCAGTCGATCCACCGCGATACGGTTCAGCGCGGTGTTATCCAACACCACGACGCAATCCGCGTTCAGCGTGAGGCGCTTCAGCGTCAGCAGCGAGTTGTACGGTTGCACGACGACGTCCGAGGTCTCGTGCTGGTTCGGGAACACGGAGTACGTCTGCACGAGCTTCTTCCCGTAGCGATCGTTGAGCGCTTCCAGGAGGTACGATCCCATCCCCGAGCCGGTGCCGCCCGCGATGGAGTGGCACAACACGAACCCCTCCAGGGAGTCCGACCCGTCCGCCTCGCGGTCGATCATGTCCATGATCTCCTCCTGCACCGCCTCGGCCTGGGAGTAACCGGACGCCCAGTTATTCCCGGCGCCGCCGCCGTGCGAGGAGATGAAGACGTTCTCCGCGTTGTACAAGTTTCTGTGGTCGCTGTTTTGAATCGCGTTGATGACCCTCGGCTCGAGGTCGAGCAGGAGCGCCCTCGGGACGTAGTGCTCGTCGTCGGCTTGGTAGAAGAAGACATCCTTGCGATCGCCCGCCTGGTTGTTCGCGGCGTACTCCTCGAGGATGCCGTCCTTGCCGATCCCGTGCTCCGCGCAGAGCTGCTTCCAAAACTCCGTGCCGATCTGGTTGCCGCACTGCCCCACTTGGAGCGTGATGACCTCGCGAGGCATGGCGCGCGATGATCTCTCTCGCGGTCGTCCCTCCTATAGCGTTCTTCTCCTCCTCCTGCGACGCGGACGCCGCCCGCCCGCCTCCTCGAGCCGCGCCCCCCGCCGCGACGAAAGCGCGCGCGTCTCCTTCCGATGAGCCGACCGCTCGCGCGCCTCGTTCGTCGCGCTTCTTTTCCCGCCCCTCCTGCGCTGTTGCGTGGAGAGAGCGCGCGACGAGATGCCGAGATGCGGGGAGGAGCCGAGATGCGGCGCGCGAACCGCGTGCGCGCGTCGCGTCGCCGAGGACGTGCGCGCGATGCGCGCGACGGACGCGCGGCGCGAGACGGTGGCGTGCGGCGCGGTCTCGTCCGCGCGCCTCGGCGTGTGCGGACCCCGGGGGATGTCAAGTCGATTTTGAACTTCTGTTCGAGAAGAACGATGGAGGCAAAAAGAAGAGCAGGTTATGGGCACGACGACGCGACCGCCACTCACCGCGCACGGGAGTTCACACACACACTCACACACACGGCGAGGATGGCGACGGCGTCGCTCGGTCGCCCGCGGCGATCGGTCTTCTCCCTCTCGCTCCTCTTCCTCCTCGTCGCGCTGACGTCGTCGCTCCCGCGAGCGACGCGCGCGGACGACGAGTGGGACTCCGACGACGCCTCCGCGTCCGCGTCGCTCGACGACGACCTCGCTCCGAGCGAGGACGTCCCGCTGCATCGGTTCGAGATCGAGGTCGTGACGACCGGGAAGGCGTCCGGGAAGGAGAAGCGCGTGGACAAGCCCGCGTTCTTCTTGCGCGGGGACGACGCGAGCGCGGCCGCGGCGAGGTTCGTGTACCTTCACGCGCTTCCCTTGGAACACGTCGCGCACTTCGCGGAGGTGTTTCGATCGGAGTGGGAAGGGAACGTCCCGGACGATCGGAAACCGCGCGTCCGCGCGTCGAGGTCGAAGCCTCCGGGACCCGCGGCGCTGCTGGCGCGCGGGAAAGCGGCCGCGGAAGAGAAGGACCACGAGAGCGCGTACGTCGACTACGTCCGCGCGATCGTCGGCGAGGGCGTGGACGCGGAAGATCCCGCGCGCATCGCGCTCGACGGCGATGAGATGGACGAAGCGAAAGAGCTGTTGCGGGCGCATCACGCGTTGCACTCCCGCGCGCTCGTCGCCGCGGACAAGACGCGAGAGCAGCGCGCGGTCGCGCACGAGCGCGAGGTTGACGTCTTGCGCGCGAGACGCGCGCGCAGGGACCGCGAGAGGGAGGATCTGGAGGACCTCGTGACGATGCTGGGATCGGAATTGGAATCGTCAGAATCGTCGGCGTCGCCGTTCGACGCCGCGACGCGCGACGCCGTCGTGCGATCGATCGAAGCCGGAGACTGGGACGCCGTGATCGCGGCCGTCTCCGCAGCGGACGCCGCCGCCGCGCGCGCGGGCCACCCAGTGGACGCGCTGCGCAAGGCGACCCTCGCGTACGCGCACTACGCGACGGGAGCGTCGACGGGTACGTTCTATACACTGGTTCCCATACGACCCCGTTCGCGTGGTGAACGCCGATCCTTAAGGACTTTGCCCGTCGTCTCTCTCCGCCCAGGGTCCCTCGCTTTCAATCCCCGACACACCTCGACGCCTTTCAACTCCAACTGACGCCTTTCAACTCCACCCCGACGTCGCTTCGTATGGAACGACGCTCAGCCGCGGAGCGCGCGGCGGATCGATCGATAGCCGCGGGGAAGACGCACGGCGACTGGCGCCGCGGGCAGACGCGCGCGCTCGCGGCGCGCGTCGGCGCGAACGCGGCGATCAGGCGCGGCGACGTCGAGACCGCGCTGCGGTTCGTCGCGCTGCCGGTTCGCGCCGACCCCGACGGCGCGATGTTCAAAGGCGCGTACGAGGCGCTGAGGGGCGTCCAGAAGGAGTTGCGAGACGCGGACGCGAAGCTCGACCGCGGCGAGTCGAGGCTGGCGCTGGACGCGGTGGAGCGCGCGTCCGCGACGATCCGCGGGCTCGGGGTGCGAGACGGCGTCGGAAACGTCTTCGCGGACGTGGAGAGCCGCCGGTGCGTCGCGCACGCGCAGATGCGAGCGTTCGATCTCGCGCTCGCGGCGTGCGAGAAGGCGTTCGCCGCCGTCGGCTGCGGCGCCGGCGCCGCGTCGCCGGAAGCGGCGAAGCCGGAGGACTCCCGAGAGACGCGGCGGTCGTGCGACGATGCGGACGCGAGGGCGCGCGCGAGGGCGCACGTCGCGCGCGCGGAGGTGCACTCGCGGGATAAGTACCCGGAGGGTGCGCTCGCGGATCTTCACGCCGCGGAGGAGCTGCTGGCCCCGGACGCGCGCAGAGGGTCGACGGACGCGGCGAAGGCGCTGAGGGACGTCGGGGAGAAGCTCGCCGCCGCGAACCGCGCGAAGCACGAGCACGATAACTCGCGGGATCACTCGAAGATGCTGGACTTGCCGGAGAACTTGCACGAGCTCGAGAAAGAGCGCCGGTGCGAGTTCGTGAAGAAGGCGTACAAGCGAGCGGCTTTGAAGTGGCACCCGGATAAGGCGACGGAGGCGGGGAAGTCGAGGGCGGCGCGGAAGATGAACGAGATGACGGAAGCGAGGGATCACGTGAACAAACGGTTAGGGTGCGTCGCGCCGAAGCGCGACCCCGCGGAGGAGGCGCACAGGGCGGCGCAGCAGCAGTGGCAGCAGCAGCAGCGCGCGCGGCACTTTCAGCAGTTCCAGCAGCGCGGCCGACGGACGCACTTTGAGTTTTGAGCGCGGCGTCGCGAACGCGCGCATCTTTACGGCGATTTTTTTTCTCTCACTTCTTCACAGTCTCTTTCGTCGTATGTACATCGTCTCACCCTGTTCATCATCTCTTTCGTCTTATGTACATCGTCTCACTCCGTTCATCATCTCTTTCGTCGTACTGTAACCTGTAGTACGTCGTCTCACTCCGTTCATCATCTCATTCGTATTTAATTCTCCCACTCGTTCGACTCGTGGTTCGCGCACATGCAGTTCACGCTCGTCCAGATGCTTCGCTGGTAGTTGCCGTCGACTTTGCTGATGTGCGCGTCGCTGCCGCACGCGCCGCCGCCGCGAGCCTCGGGCGCGACCTTGAGCGTCCACGTGACGTCCTCGTAGTTCGGATACGCCTTACGGCTGGACGACGTTCCGGACATGATGCACCCGGCGGGAGCGACTTTAAACGCGCCGAGATTAGTCCAGTCAGAGGCCTGATCGAACCCGCCTTGGTACCTGGGCGGCGCGTTCTTGCCCACGATGTCGACGCCCGCGTGTATCGCGGCGCGCAGACACATCTCCTGCGTCGTGATGGTGCTGAATCCGTGAGCTTCGCACGTCATCGTGTCGATCTTCACGAAAGGTTGCTCGGCCTCGAGCGACGGCCGCGCCGGCGGCGCCGGCATCGCCGGCGGCAGATGCGGCGCGCCGACGACAAAGTTGCCGTTCGCCTGCCCTCTCGAGGTCGAGTCCACGTGCGGCCAGTCCTCCTTCGACTTGAACTCGTGTCGAATCGCGGGGAGAACGGTGATCGGCTGCATGATGACGGAATTCTTTTCGATGACTTCCACGGTGCCGCCTTCCCACCCGCCGCCGGTCCAGTGATCCACGAGCGTGATGGAATGCAACCCGGGTTGGAGGCACATCTTCTGTTCGTACGTCGTGTCCGGACCGTAAAACGGCAGCGAGTCCACGCCCGCGGGGAGGATCGCGCCGGGGGCGATGTGATCGGAGTGGTGCGTCTTGTCGGGCGTGTCGTCCACGTACCAGTACATGTTTTTCGCCGCGTGGTAGTTGGTCGTCTTCGTCTTCACGACGACGTCGACGCAACCGGACGACTCCGCGGTCGGCGGCGCCACCGGCGCGGGCGGCGCCGCGTCCGGGGGAGCGCTCGCGTCCTTGCAGACGCACTCGATGTCCGTTTTTATCGTGTCTTCGATGCCCGCGCCTCCGCACTCCGTGATGTTGCCTCGCTGGTCTTCCGTGACGTGAATCGAGTACTTCCACCCGTTTGGCTGCGGAAACACCGTTCCGTATCCGACGCAACCCGCGGGCTTGTCCTTGAACATCGGAGGATCGAAGTCGATCCAGCCTCGGCCGTTGTACAGGTCCATGCCCACGGACTTGGCGCCGAGGACGCACTCTTCCTTGTCGGTGACGATCGAGTACCCGTTGGATTCGCACGTCCCTTTGGTGACTTTGAAAAACTTCTTCGACGGCGTCGGCGGCGCCGCGGGCGGGGGCGGCGACGGGGGATCCGGGCCCGCGACGTGTCCGGGGGTGAACACGTCGTTCACGTCGATCTGGACGTCGTAGCATCCGCCGTTGTGAAGAATCAGATTCTCGGACGGGTGCGTCATCGACTCGTACCCGGGCTTGAGAGTCGAGCCGTATTTTTCGTCGCTGTTCTCGAGGCCTAGCTTGTCGACGCCGCGCTGGATCCAAAACTCGCCTCTGCCGCTCGCGCCCCACGTGCCCCACGAGTTCAAGCACTTCCAGTACTTCATCCCGGACGGCGTCGTGCCCCAGCCGTAGCACGCGATGGCGTGCGATCCCGCCTTATCCTCCGGGTTGTTCGGAACGTCCACGAAGACGCCCTCGTCCGTCCAACCGTCGCCGCCGTAATCGGTGAACGACTTCGGGACCGAGATGGAGCATCCGAGCGCGCCGTATTGCTTCATCGCGCGCATGATGTTGTCCTCGCCTCGGAAGTTTCGCACGGCTTTGCCTTCGGTGTCTCCGGTGGAGAACCACGTGTCTCCGAGCTCGTGTTGAATCGCTTTCACGACCCTGCGCGTGTGACCCTTCGCCGCGGCGTCGGGGTGGCACTCGGCGCGACACACCGGATCGCGAACTTGGATGCCCTTCGCGCGAATGCACGCCGGGCAGCCTCCGATGTCGCCCGCGGTGTACGGATCGCACGCCTCGGTCGGGACGCCGTAATACATCGGGAACTCGAAGATCCGCGTCGAAGATCCGCAGCAGCCTTGACCGAAATTGAAGACGTTCAGCGGGGGAAGCTTCTTCTGTTCGCCGCACCCGGTGAACGCCTGCGCGCTGAGCACGGGCATCAAGACTTCGCCGTCGTGTTCGTAGCCAAACCCGCGTTCGTGCACTTCTTTCCAGTACTTCAGCGTGAGCATCGTGGACGCGGCGAAGGATCCGCACGAGCCGCACCCGCCTTGGTTCCTCGCCGGGAAGTGCGTCATGACATCTTCGGGCACGACTTGCCACGCGCTCGGCAGCGGCGTGGTGTCGTTCGAGCCGAGGTAGGACACGAACTCGTGCTCGTTCGGGTCGACGGTGAAGCCGCCGCCGCGACGAACGCCGTGACCCGTCTTACCCTCGCGAATCCATCCGCCGACGACCGCGGCTTCGTGTTCGCGCGCGTTGGCGTGGCCGAGGTGCAGCGCCCCGAGCTTCGCCTCCGCCGCCGCGGACGTCTTCATCGCAGCCTCCGCGGCTTTCTTCGCCGCGATGGCGGCTTTGAACTCCTTCGGTCCGCCCGCTTGGAAGAAATCCTTGCGAGCGCCGAAGAAGCGCCCGCGCGCGGCTTTCGCGGCTTTCATCGCTCGGAGGAACACCGATCGCAGCTTCGCGTACTTTCGCACCTTCGCCGTGGCATCGTCGAGAGCCTTCTGCTTCGCCGCCGCGTCCTCCGCGGTCGACGCCGGCACGGGCTCGGGCACGGGCTCGGGCTCGGGCTCGGGCTCGGGCTCGGGCTCGGGCTCGGGCTCGGGCTCGGGCGTGGCGTCGTCGAGAGCCTTCTGCTTCGCCGCCGCGTCCTCCGCGGTCGACGCCGGCTCGGGCTCGGGCTCGGGCTCAGGCTCGGGCTCGGGCTCGGGCTCGGGCTCGGGCTCGGGCTCGGGCTCGGGCTCGGGCTCGACCTCCGGCTCGGTAGTCGGGACCTCCGGCTCGGTAGTCGTGGAGCCCGGCATGGGGTGCATGGACTCCGGGCACTGGCATTCCGGTTTACCCTTTGCAATCTCCGGGGGGTACGTCGAGCACCAATGGGGTACAACGCAGTCCACCGTGGAGCCCGGCATGGAGTCCATCGTGGAGCCCGGCATGGAGTCCATCGTGGAGCCCGGCATGGAGTCCATCGTGGAGCCCGGCATGGAGTCCATCGAATCCGCGGGGGGGCACGGCATCGTTCCAGATTTCGAGCCGTCGGGCAGGATGTGGTAGCACTCGTCGTCGGGAGTGCCGACGGCGTGCAGCACTTCGATGACCGATCCATCCGGGTCAGGGATCTCCGCGCGCCTGTCGGGCGAGTCCGTCGTCGTCGTCGCCGTGTCAGGGATCTCCGCGTGCGTGTCGGGCGAGTCCTTCGTCGCCGTCGCCGTCACCACAGGAGTGAGAGACGCGGGCGCGACGCACGCCGCGTGCTCGCCCTTCTCGTCCTCGCAGTGCCCGAACCCGGCCGGGTACGTCTCCCGCACCGCCTTCGGGTTTAGGATCAGGGGTGGAGTTCAAAGGCGTCAGAAGCGGAGTTGAAAGGCGTCGAGGTGTGTCGGGATTGAAAGCGAGGGACCCTGGGCGGAGAGACACGTCGAGAAAAGTCCTTAAGGATCGGCGTTCACCACGCGAACGCGGTCGTACGGGGACCAGTGTGAGATAAAACCTTATCGTACGACGCGCGGTTGGTCGCCTCCAACGGAAGCGGATCCGCCTTCGCCGCCGCCTCCATCTGCGATCGGACGCACGGAGGGAAGAAGGAGACGTCGTACGTCGCGTTTGACGTCGACGCGGGCATCACGCCGGCGCCGGGCTGCATCGACACGAGCTCGTCCGGCGGCGAGCCGTCCGCGCCCGTCACGAAGACGGCGACGTGAGGTCCCTGTTTGAGTTGAAAGGCGTCAGTGGCGGAGTTGAAAGGCGTCGATGGCGGGGATCGAAAGCGAGGGACCCTGGGCGGAGAGATGCGCCGGGAAGTAAAGTCCTTAAGGATCGGCGTTCACCACGTCGACGCGGTCGTATGGGAACCAGTGTGGGATACTAGAACGCGCCTGGACGGGCTTGGTGACGTCCATCAACAACTCGAACCGCGTCGCGGTCGGGTCGTCGTCGGAGCGTCGCGCGCGCGTCAGCGTCGCGTCGAAGCCGTCGTCGAGCCAGCGCTTCGCGTCGTCGTCCGCCGCGCACGACGCGTCGGTGAGGTACGCGTGAAACGACTTCGACACGCCTTCTTTAAACGCGTCGAACCGCGCGGGGTCGAGCGCGGTCGCGCGGAATCCGCCCATCGCGCGCGCGTCGTCGTCCGAGTCCGGGTCGTCCGCGGGCTCGGGCGCGGACGCGCGCGGGATGATGGGCTCGGCGTCCTCTTCTCCCAGGCGCGCGGCGTGGAAGCGCGAGTGCCCGCGCGCGCCGACGTGGAGCGATCGCGCGGGCGCGCCCGCGTCGCCGAGGGCGGCGTCGAGCGATCCCAAGCTTGAAGACGCGAGGACATTATTGAAGCGAGAGGACACTCCGGCGACGGCGACGGCCGCGAGGACGGCCGCGATCGCGACGGCGACGAGCGACGCGCGCGTGGCGCGCGCCGCGGCGGACGGTCTCTCGCGCCTCAGCAGAGGCTGCGCCTCGCTCGCGCGAGAGGCGGTCGTCATGCCGGGGCCCGCGGGGGATTCGATTCGAGAGAGAAAAGGATCGCCGCGGCCTCTCAGATCAGATCCTCGGCGCGGCCGAAGCGGGGAGCCGGCGACTCGCGCGAGGCGCCGTCCGAAAGCGTCGCGATCTGCCGACGACGAGGAGGGAGAGATCGAGCGTGGAACGCGTCGTCGCGCGCGCGTTCGCAGTGGCGCTCGCTGTCACGCCGCGTGCACGTAGGACTTACCAGACGTAACTCGTAACACCCTCGTGCCCGCATCTTTCTCAGATTTTTCAGAGATTTTCTGGAGATTTTTCTGCTTTCAAAAACGTTTCTTTGGTGCTTTTGAAAGCGCGATCGATTTTTTGAAAGCAGCGATACAGTAGTTGAACCGTAGTCTAGCCCTACGAACCGATCAACCGCGCGGTCTGGCCTCCGCGGCGGTCCGGCGCCGACGCGGCGCCGTCTGCACTTCCCGCGTCCCCCCTCTCTTCTTCACCTCTTCACGACCACATCGCCGTCGACGGCGTCTAACCCGTACTTCCCGAGGAACGACCGATGCGTCGACGCCTCCGCCCTCCTCCTCGCGGACGTCGTCGGCGGCGGCGCGGCTGGCACGTGCCCGCTTTTGATCATCCTCCTCCCGTCGCATCTCAGCGCCGCGCGTCGCTCGGCCGCGTCCGCGGCGGCGGCGTCGCGCGCGCTCGCGCTCGCGCTCGCGCTCGCGGTCGCGGTCGCGGTCGCGGTCGCGGCGGGTATCGCGGGCGCTCGCGTCGCCGCCGCGGAGGAACCAGCCTTCGGCGGCGACGACGTCTTCGCGGCGTCGACGAATTTTTCTTCGCGTCGCTTTCGCGGCGCCCACGCGCCGACGGCGTCCGCGTCGACGTCGACGTCGCGATGACGCGCGTCGCGCGCGCTCGCGTCGTTCTCTTTCTCTAACATCGCGCCCACGGCGGCGTCCATGCGCGAACCCCTGTTGAAAGGACGAGACGAGGGAGGTCGGAACGTTCAGACGACGGACGGACGGACGACGACGACGACGAGAGACGAGACGAGGAGGAGGAGTAAACGGCGCGCGCGGGGCGCGTCGTCGTCGTCGTCGCGTCGCACCTGTTCCCGCGTCCTATCCTCTCCGATACCGCCGCGGTGAGGTCCCTGCGCGCGTTCCCCGTCGCCGTCGCCTCCGCGGTCTCGTGCGCGCGCGACATGACGCCCCGCCGGAGCCTCGCCGCGCGGCGCAGACTGACAGCGGTCGTCGTCATTTCCCGCGGAAGTCGACGAGGCGAGGCGAGGCTCGCGTCGCGTCGCGTCGACGCGACGACCGGGCCAGCCCGTTCAAACAGCCCTACGATCTCATCACGTCTCGTCCTCGTCCTCTCGTCACGACGACCAGCGCAGAGCACGTCCGCGCGCGCCCGCGTTCACGCACGCGCGTCCGTGTGATCGCGTCGAGCGTCGCGCGCGTCTCGATCTCTCGCCGCGCGCGAGCGGAAGCGCGCCCGTCGCGAGATCCGACCGACGAGCGGCAGATCTCGCGAGCGGCGCGGCAGAGGGAATAAGAGAAAAAAGACTAAGACTCTCCGCGCGCGCGCGACGTCGACGTCGACGCGAGGATGGCACATGGGACGCGCGGGTTCGACGGGGATGACCGCGGCGGGTTCAACTTCGACAACGTTCAGAGGAACGCGATGCTTCAGAGCGCCGGCTTGAGCTTCAAGGCTGCGATGAAGACGGGGACTACGATCAGCGGCGTCGTCTTCAAGGGCGGCGTCGTGCTCGGCGCGGACACGCGATCGACGAACGGCGAGACCGTCGCGGATAAGAACTGCGAGAAGATCCACTACATCGCGCCGAACATCTACTGCTGCGGCGCGGGGACCGCCGCGGACACGGAGGCTGTCACCGGTGCGCGTCGTCACGTCGCCGCGAGATCGCTCGCTCGCTCTCGTTTAGGGTTCCCTCTCTCGTCCGCGCGTTTCCGCTCATTCCGCTCATCATTCCGCTCGTCGCGCTCGCGCCGCGCGACCTGACCGACCCGATGATCCCGTCCCCGTCCACCGCGCGTCACGACACGACACGACACGACACATTTCAGGCATGATCGCGAGCAACCTCGAGCTGCATCGGATGGCGACGAAGCGAAGCTCTCGCGTCGTCACCGCGTTGACGATGTTGAAGACGCACCTCTTCAAATACCAAGGGCACGTCGGCGCGGCGTGCGTCCTCGGCGGGCACGACAAGAACGGGCCGCACCTCTTCTGCGTGTACCCGCACGGCTCGTCCGACGCGCTGCCGTTCGCGACGATGGGCTCCGGGTCGCTCGCGGCGATGGCGGTGTTCGAGGCGGACTTCAAAGAGGACATGGCGGAGGAGGAGGCGAAGGAGCTCGGTGAGACTGCTTCCCATACGACCCCGTTCGCGTGGTGCACGCCGTTCCTTAAGGACTTTTCCCGTCGTCACTCTTCACCCGCGTTTCCCTTTCAACGTTTGACCGGTAAGACGTTCGACTGACCGATCGCTTCACCCACGCAGTCGCGCGGTCGATCCGCGCGGGGATCTTCAACGACCTCGGGTCCGGGTCGAACGTGGACCTGTGCGTCATCACCGCCGACGGCGTCAAGTATCTCCGCAATCACGAGACGCCCAACGAGCGGACGTACGCGCGGAGTAAAGGGTACGAGTTCCCGCCGGGGACGACGCCGCTGAACCGACGGAACTTCACGACGGCGACGAGCGCGACGCTGCCGCTGAACGAGACGGTGGACATCTTCGTGGGGACTCCGGAGGACGTGACGAACGGCACGGCGCAGCCGGAGTCGAGCGTTGGGGCGGTGCCTATGGAGGCGTGAGATGGGCGTGAGAAGGGAGTTTGAATCGGGTTTGAATCTGAATCTGACGAACGAACGCCACGCGGGCACGAGGCTAAAACCTACCGGTACCTTCTATGATAGAGTGTCTACCTATTCTCGTCTCGTTTCCTCTCCCATCCGCGGCGGCGCAGCTCCGTGTCCCTCGCGAGCGCGCCGGGGTCTTCCTCGCCGTACACGACGTCGGTGAGGACTTCCCCGCCCCGCGCGTCCGACGCCGCGCACACGAGCGCCGCGCACATCGCGCAGCACTGCAGGCTGACGAAGAGACGCGCGCCCGGCGGCAGCGATTTCCGGGCCGCTTCCCCGTCCCCGTCCCCGTCCCCGTCCCCGTCCCCGTCCCCGTCCCCGTCCCCGTCCCCGTCCAAACGCATCAGCCACGGCATCAGCAGGTTAAACTCCGCGTGCAGCATCGCGTTTTCCGCGTTCGTGTTCACCGCCGCGTCGACGAGGACGCCGTCGCGGTCGACGACCATCGCGACGACGCGGCGGTCGCGCCGCCACCGCGCCTTCTCGTTCTCGTCATCATTCTCGTCGTCATCATTCGTCCGCGTCGTCTCCTCCCCCGCGCGGTCGAGCGCCTCGCGCGCCCACGCGACGCACGCGGCGTCGTCGTCCACCCGCGTCGCAGTCGCGGTCGCGGTCGCGACGTCGACGCGCGCGCGAGACGCGCTCGCGCCTCGTCGCGTCGCCGCGCGCGCGAACGGCGTGGCGTCTCGTCGCTCGAGTCGCGTCAGGGCGCCGGCGTCGTCGTCGTCGTCGTCGTCCGCGGACGCGGACGCGGACGACGCGTTCATCGTCCCCGCCGCGGCGCCGCCGTCGTCGACGCCGAGGTCCAAGTACGTCGCGCGCTGCGCCGCCACCTTGACGATCGCGCGGTCCAGCGCGCTCATCGCTCTCGTCGACACGATGCGCCTTCGACACCACGCGTTGGCGCGCGCGCGTCCGCCCGCCTCGCGCGCGCCGAGGACGAGCCTCGCGATGGGGGAGTCCCACGCCGGCGCGTCCGCGGGCGCGGTGGCGTACCACACGACGTCGTCGGCGTCGGCGTCGGCGTCCGAGCGCGCGACGAGGAACGCGACGTCGCGGCGCCGCGCGGAGGAGGAGGAGGAGGACGACGACGACGACGACGACGACGACGACGACGAAGACGACGCGTCCTCGAGAAGAGAGATCGCCAGCCGGCGCTCGTCCTCGCGCGGGACGTACGGTCGGTTCAGCTCGCGCTTCTGCCGCTTCGTCAGGCCGTCGTGCGGGCCCTTCGCCGCCGCGAGCGGCCATCGCGCGCCGCGCGCGGCGGGCCGCGACGCCGACGCCGCGCGCATCGAAGTCGTCCGCGCCGCGGTCGTTGTTAGTTTCTGACCAAATCATTCAGTTCAGTTTTCTAAAATATTTCGCGGCGACGGGGCCCGCCTACGAGGACGCCGCCCCCCCGCCGCTCTTCTCGCCCCCCTCCAGCTCCTCCACCGCGGTCGCGGCCTCCCCGAGCCCTCTCTCCCTCAGCGCCGCGGCGAACCGCGCCGCGTCTCCCTCCCTCAGCTCGTACGGCGAGAACGCCACGCTCGGAAACGACCCGTTTTCAACCTCCTCCCGAAACGCAGCCAACGCGCCGGTGATCACCTCCCCCACGTTGGCGTACCGCTTACAAAACTTCGGCGTCACCGCCGCGTGGTGCGGGTGCTGCGTGAACCCGAGGAGGTCGTGATACACGAGCACCTGGCCGCTGCACGCGCCCCCGGCGCCGATGCCGATCGTCGGCACGCGCAGCGCCGCCGTCGTCGCGGCGGCGACGGCGGCGGGGACGCACTCCAACACGACTGATGAGGGTCGAGGGAGGGTCCGTTCAAAGCGAGGAAGTCGGGGTGGAGTTGAAAGGCGTCAGAAGCGGAGTCGAAAGGCGGGCGTCGAGGCGCGTCGGGATCGAAAGCGAGGCGTGGGCCGGGAGAGAAAGTCCTTAAGGATCGGCGTTCACAACGCGAACGCGGTCGTATGGTGACCAGTGTGAGATAGAACAGAACGCGCCTGAGAAACACCCCGCGTCTTGCAACGCGAGCGCGCGCTCGACAATATCCGCGGCCTCGTCGTGGCTGCGGCCCTGCGGGCGGAACCCGCCGAGGACGCTGATGGACTGAGGCGTGAGGCCGACGTGGCCCATGACCGCGACGCCGGCGTCCACGAGCGCGCGCGCCGCGCGAACCCTCGCGGGCGACCCGCCCTCGAGCTGCGGCGGGGGGGTCGAGGTCGCCGGTCGCGGGGTGGCGTCGAAAGGCGTCAGAAGCGGAGTTGAAAGGTGTCGTAGGGTCGAACGGTCAATGAAAGCGGCGAGGGGCGGGCGGAGAGAAACGCCCGGATTAGAAGTCCTTAAGAAACGGCGTTCACCACGCGAACGCGGTCGTATGGGAACTAGTGTGATCAGAACAGAACGCGCCTTCACCGCGTCCATGCCGCCCTCCTTCATGATCCTCGTCGCCGTCTCGATCGCCTGCGCGGGGTCGCGCTCGTACGACCCGAACGGGAGGTCGCCGATGAGGAGCGGCCGCGACGCGCCGCGCGCCACCGCTCGGAAGTGCGACAGCATCTCTTCCAGCGTGATCGGCAGCGTCGTGTCGTGCCCGTGGACGACCATCGCCGCGGAGTCGCCGACGAGGCAGACGTCGACGCCGGCGAGGTCCACCTGCGCGCAGCGGCGGCGACTCCGCGGCGATGGTCGTCCACGGGCACGACACGACGCTGCCGATCACGCTGGAAGAGATGCTGTCGCACTTCCGAGCGGTGGCGCGCGGCGCGTCGCGGCCGCGAGGGAGAGAAAGTCCTTAAGGAACGGCGTTCACCGCGCCGACGGGGTCGTACGGGGACCGGTGTGAAGGATAACGCGCGAGGGATCGAATTGAATTCCGGGAGGCGGAGGGTCGGGGCGCGCACGTGCACGGCGGACGGGTAGTCGTACGCGGTCACCATCGTGATGCGCTCGCCGCGTCGGTACTTCGCCGCGAGCTTCCGCAGCGTGAACCGCTCCACCGGCGGCTTCGGGCCGCCGTACACGACGTCGCGCGGCTTGCTCGACATCGGTCGCGACGACGACGGCGTCGTCGTCGTCGTCGTCGTCGTCGTCGTCGTCGCGCGCCAGCTCGACGGCGACGCCTCCCCGCGCGCGACGCGCGGCGCGATCGCGGCGAGACGGTCGCACCCCACGTCGCCGCCGCCGCCGCCGCCGCGCGTCTCGAGCGCGCCGAGCGCGCCGCGCGTCAAGCGCGACGCCGCGCGTCGGAGCGCCATGGGCAGTGCGAGCAGGTTTTAGGTTTCGGAGAACTCGTCCTTCCTTTCGAAAACAAGACTTGACACTCGCCCCCGCGCGTCTTCTCTCGCGGCGGCCGCGCCCCGATCCCGATCGCCATGTCGCGAAGTCCGCCGCCAATCGACGTCGCCGACCACGAGGTCTTATACTCCGCGGACGCGATCGCGCGAAGGGTGAGCGAGCTCGCGGCGTCCATCGCGTCCGACTACGCTGAAAAGTCGCCCGCGTTTCTCATCACGATGACGGGCGCGTTCGTGTTCGCGTCCGACCTCTTGCGCGCGATGCACCCGAACACGCCGCGCGGCGCGACGATCGATGCCATAAAAGCCAAGTCGTACGTCGGGACTACGTCGAGCGAGCGCGTGACGCTGTCGGACGGCGCGGCGAGCGCGGTGGACGTGCGAGGAAGGCACGTGGTCGTGATCGAAGACATCGTCGACACCGGCGTCACGCTGAGGGAGCTGCGCGCGGCGATGGACGCGCGCGGCGCCGCGAGCGTGACGTGCGTCGCGCTGCTGAACAAGCGCGCGCGGCGACGCGAGGAGCTCGCGAGCGACGGGCCGGAGTACGTCGGGTTCGAGTGCGAAGACCGATTCGTCGTGGGGTACGGATTAGATTTAGACGGGCGGTGCCGTGAGTGGCCCTACGTCGGCGTCTTGAACGGGCACTGACTAGACGCCGCGCGGTCGCGAGGGTACGGTGCGCGCGCTGCGGTACGTCTAGGGTTGTACGGTACTTTTGTATATCGAAGTAGTATGCACACGCGTAAGTAGAGTACAGTGGCCTCTCGCTCGCTCGCCGCGTCTTCTTCCGCTTCCGTCGTCGCGAGAGGTGACGAAGGGTACATGATCACGGTCGTCCGTCGTCCATCGTCGTTCTTCGTCAGTCGCTGTCGCTGTCGCTCGACTTTTTCTCCTTCTTCTCCTTCTTCTCCTTCTTCTCCTTCTTCTCCTTCTTCGCGCTCTTCTCCCCCTTGGACTTTTTCTTCTCCGCGTCCTCCGCCGCCGCGGTGGGAGACCGCTCGCGCTTCGCCTCCCCTCCGTTTGCGGTGCTCCCTCCCGCGGCGTCCGGCACGGAGCGCAAGTACTCGCTCGGCGTCTTCTCGTTCGGCTTCCCAAACTTATCCAGCTTCCCCTCCGCGATGAGCTTCTTCTTCGCCGTCGCCGTCGGCCCGAGCCCCCATCTTCGCGGGTACGTGTCCCTCTCCATGACGACGCGCTTAATCTTCGCGACGCAGCCGTGATCGCACGTCGCCATCACCGCGGTGTTCATCTGCGCGACGCCGACGGCGATCGCCTCGCCCTTGGTCGTCATGAGCACCACCTCCTCGCCCACCTCGATCCCGGACGCGTATCGCAACAAGCCGGGGATCATGAGCTTGGCGCCGTAGCAGATGGCGTTCACCGCGCTGTCCTTCACGACGACGCGCTTGTAATTCGTGAGGAGCACCTCCAGGGGCATGATGACTCGTCGCAGGTAGTCCTCCTGCTTCAGGTTATCGTTCACCCACATCGCGTCCATGACGTCGTGCATCGTGCACAGATTGTCGTTCTCGCCGAGTATCCCCGAGCGCACGCGTCGGAGCTCTTGCATGTGCCCGCCGACGCCGAGGAGCAGGCCGAGGTGCACGCACATCGTTCGCACGTACGTCCCAGCCTCGCACGAGATCCAAAACACGACGAGGTTCCGCTCCTCGTCGTACTCGCACATCTTGCTCTCGTATATCGTGCGAATGCGCAGCTGGCGCTTCACCGCCGAGATGAGCGGCGGCCGCTGAAAGAGCGCGCCCGTCAGCGTCTCGATCGCGCGAAGCACCGCCTGCTTCCCGCCCTCGGGCTTGGAGTGCAGCCGCGCGACGCAGACGTACTCCTTCCCCGCGCCCTGCTGCGCCTTGACGAGGCGCGTCGCGCGGTCGATGCACACGATGAGGCCGCCGGTGACTTTCGGGTCGAGCGTGCCGCTGTGCCCCGTCTTCTCCACTCGAAGCATCCGCTTGAGCCACGCCACCACCTCGTGCGAGGACGGGTTCGCGGGCTTGTCGAGGTTGATGACGCCGTATCGGATGTACTCTTGCAGAGGGCGCTTCAGCGGCGAGTGTCCGCACGGTATGGGGGTGTAGTGGCCCGTGCGGACCATGAGCTTGTCGTAATCTTTCAGGAGCAGCGGCCACTTCGACGCGTCCAGGGTCGGGGTGACCTTCTCGGGCTGGATCGCGAAGTCTTCCGTCGTCTGCGGACGGACGGACGGCGAATGAGAGGGTGGCGCGAGCGGGGAGAGGGGAGAGGGGGAGAGAACGTCAGATCGATCGAAGGAAGACGCGAAGGAAGGAAGGAAGGAAGCGCGGGGACGGACGTGGGCGAAGAATTCATTCATTCGTTCGACGGCGGCGGGGCGATCGAGCGCAGAATTCTTGATTCCGATCGCGGCGTCGATCGATCGTGAGCGCGACGCACCTGCGCGAGGCCGACGTCCTTCTTGGATTTACCCATCTCGAGGGGATTCGCGCGCGTGGGGAAATTCCCGACGTGTGCGGCGGCGCGCGTGGGAGGCGCGCGCGGGAATGCGAGGCCGACCTTTCGCAAACCTAAAATCGGCGGCTGCGCGGCGAGACGGTTAGGAAAACCAATTTTCCCGAGCGTGATGAGACGAGTAGTTTTCGCCGTAGTACGCGCTCGCGCTCGTTTTCGTACGAGGAATCAGTCTGATGAAGCGAACTGACGAAGCGAGATCCGATCTGGATCCACGCGAGCGGACGCGAAAGCCCCTTCTTGTTGTTCGCCGACGCCGAGTCGCGCGGCCGCGCCCCCGAGGGCACTCGCGAGGCGCGCGGCAGGGCGAACGACGGAGATGTCGTCCTCCGCGCCGGCGTCGCGCGTTCCCGTCCTCGCGGCGACGGGAGAGCGCGCGCGCTGCGCGGTCTACGCGCTCGCGCGCGGAAGCGCGCGCGGGGGATGGGCCGGCGCGGGCGCGCGCTCGCGCTCGCGCTCGGAGTTGACGTCGGAATGCGAGGGAGGAGGCGGAGGAGGAGGAGGAGTATTCGCCGCGGGGACGGCGCGGCCGCGACGGCGGGGCGCGCACGCGCGATGGGTCGCGCTCGCGACGACGCCGACGCGCCGCGGAGGCGCGCCGGAGCCGAACGACGGGGAGTCGTCGTCCGCGGGAGCGACGCCGTCAATGCGCGTGGCGGATAACGCGTCGAATTTGACGAGCTCGTCCTCCTCCTCCTCCTCCTCCTCCTCCTCCTCCTCCTCCTCCTCCTCCTCGCCGGCGCCGACGCCGCCGAAGCGCCGACGCGGCCGCCCGAAGGGCACGCGCAAGGTGACGACGTCGCCGACGCCGGGCGACGCGATGGGGATCGCGTCGCTGCTCTGGCGGCTCGCGAGCGAGGACGAGGAGACGCTCGGACGCGCGCGCATCCAACCGCACGGCCTCGAGGCGGTGGTGCCACCGAGCGGCGCGTCGTCGCGGAAGAAGAAGAAGAAGCTCGCGAAACGGCGCGGAGACGACGAGGTCGGCGGCGGAGGAGCGTCCAGCACGGAGGAGGCGAGCGCCGCGCTGGACGCCGCCGCGAGAAACGCCGCGAGCGACGCGCGACGCGTGTCTTCCTCCTCCGCGACGACGACGACGACGACGACGACGACGGATGACGACGACGACGACGACGGCGGCGGCGACAGCGTGGAGAAGATAGTCGAGAGCAGCATCCTGAGCTCCCTCGGCGAGACGATCGAGATGCTCGACGAAGAAGCGCGCGCTCGAGGAGCGCCACGCCGCGCGGACGACGCGGGCCTTCGCGAAGACGAAGAGAAGAGGGACGCGCGACGTAAGGAGGCGGCGGCGACGGCTGGGAGAAAAAACAGCGGCAGGACGCGCAGCGCGGAGACGCGTCGCAAGATCGCCGGCGCGGCGAGGGAGCGATGGCGCGCCGCGAGAGAGAACGCGACGAACGCGAAGACCGCCGAGGTGGCGGCGACGGTGCACGCGCTCAAACGCGGCGCCGCGGCGGCGGCGGCGAAAGCCGCCGCCGCCGCGGGGCGAGACGCCGTCTCGCGGGCGGAGGGCGTCGATCGCGACGACGCCGTCTCGCGGGCGGAGGGCGTCGATCGTGACGACGCCGTCGCGCCGACGCCGCGAGGCGTCGTTCAACCGCGGGAGGCGCCGTTCAACCCGTCGGCGCCGTGGGAAGCGCTCGCGCTCGGCGCCGGTCAACGCGCGTACGAAGAGACGATCGCCGCGATTCAATCGTTTGACGAGGACGACGACGACGACGACGACGACGCGTCCTTCGAATCGCCGAACGCTTCCTCAGACGACGTCGCGGACAGAGCCGCGGCGTTCGCCGCGTTGCTGACGCGGTCGGGAGAGGTTCCGAACTCCATCGCCGCGCGCGCGTCGATGTCGACGTCGACGTCGTCGATCGCGAAGGCTGGCGTCGGCGCCGCCCCCGCCCCCGCCCCCGCCTACGCCGCGTTTGAAGACGACGACGACGACGACGACGACGACCCGGAGCTCAAGGAGACGAAGCGGAAGATGAAGAAGCGCCTCGCGGACCTCGCGAAGAAACGCGCTGAGCTCACCGGGTCGGGGGTGAGCCCTTCGCTGACGGTGGCCAAGTTCAGCGCCGATCTCCAGCGGTACAAACGCCTGAGGGACGACCTGAAGGAATGGAGCGCCGCGTTCGTCGCGCGGCGCGGCCGGATCCCCACCGTCAAGGACGTCGAACGGACCGGGATTGACTTTCTCGTGAAGAACTTCAAAGACTACGTCGCCCTGCGGGATAAGCTCATGTCTCAGACGCCGTATCTGAGGGGGCAGATGGAGGACGTCGCGAGGGAGACGCTGCCTACGCCGCGCGCCGCGGGGTGGAACAAGAAACCGCGTCAAGGAGGAACGACGAGGGACGGCGGTCAGGGTCAGGGTCAGGGTCAGGGTCAGGGTCACCCTGGCGCTTCGTTCCAGGGTAAACCCGGTCCGAACGCGCCGCGGTATCCCGCGGCGTACGGCAGCGCGTTGAAGTGGCCGGGCGTCGCCGGAGGGGGGCCGGGCAAGGCGCCGAAGGGCGTCATCGCGATCAAGACGCGGTCGTCGTCGGCGGCGGCGGCGGCGGCGGAGAAACCGACGGCGAAACCGAAACCGGCGGCGTCGGACGACGGCGACGCGATCGCGGCTGATTACTGGGAGAATCACGCGAGGAAGAAGGGCGAGGTCCCGCAAGGGCCGTCCTCGCCGCTGCCGCCGCAGCCGCCGCCGTTGAAGAGGCGACCCGCGGAGTGAAATTTTTTTTGTGCTAAAAAAATCGTCACGCGTCTCTACTCACGAACTCGCGCCGGCCGCCGCCTCGCGGAAGAAACACGCGCGCCCTCGCGAGCGCCTCCAGCGCGGTCGCGCGCATCCATCGCTGCTCCACCTCCGAGACGCCAACGCCCATCTCGTACGTCTCGACGCCGACGAAGAGGTTCAGCGTCGTCGTCGGGACGTCGTTCACGTGCGTCCGCGTCACGACGTTCAGTCCCGATATCGCCCCAAGCGGGCCATCCGCGCGCGCGAGCTCTCGCCCGAACGCCTCGCGCGAGTAGTGAAACCGACCGAGCTCCTCACGAGCGGGCGGCGGTCGGAGTCCGCGACGATGCACGTCGCCGGGCGGCGGCGCCGCCGGCGCCGCCGCCGGCGGAACAAAATCCACGCGCGTCGACTCGAACATCGCCGCGGCGACCGTCTTCCCGAGGTGCGCGCCGACGCCCCAGAACGGCACGGAGAAGAGTGCGAACAGCGGCGACGGACCGATCATCGCGCCGTACGTCCACGCCGCGGTGATGGCGGTCCACGCGCCGGTGAACGCGGTCTCCGCGACGGCGCCGGCGTTGAAGACGCCGCCGGGGGGGATCAGAATCGCGAGCTCGCCGTGAGGGCCGCTCATGGCGCGTATCCGGCTCCCGTGCGGCGGCGCGATGGGTGCCATGGTTTTGAAACGGTCCTCCCCGAACCGTTCTATCAACGCGCTCTCCCATCGCAGCCGCGTTTTCATCTCGCGATTCGTCGACCCGCCGAAAAATAGCCCCGAGTCGCCGTCGTCGCCGCCGCCGCCGCCGCCGCCCGAGTGCGGCGCGCGCCATCCTATCGACCGCCGCCACTCCCAGCCGCGCCGCCAGGCGCGTTCGACGGCCCCGGCTTGGAACGCGACGATGACGATCGACGAGACGACGAAGGCGACGGCGATGGTCGCCCACCGCCGCGCTCCTCCTCCTCCTCCTCCTCCGTTTTTGCTCCTCCTTCGCGCGTCGTCCGTCGTCTCCTTCGCGGGAGGGACGTCGTCGCGCGAGGCCCACCCTTCCGGGACTTTGCCTTCGTTTCGCGAGAGCCACGCCTGGACCTCGCGTCGCTTGTCCCAGTTCGTGAACAGCGACGCGTTGGCGACGCGCGCGTTCGTGAGCGGGTCGCGCTTCCGTCCTCGCGAGCCTCCGCTGCCGCGCCAGAATCGTTCGATGGCGTCGCGCTCGTACGTGTTCCCGCTCCCGGCGAGGAAGACCGGGTCGCGCAACATGACCTTGGTGATCGGGCAGCACAGCGCCTCGGGCTCGTCGTCGTCGTCGGCGGCCGCCGCGGCGGCAGCGGCGGCGGCAGCGGACGCGTTGGACGCGTCGCGCGCGTCGAAAGGCGGGGGCGCCCCCGCGGCGTCAGATCCCTCCTCGCGTTCGACGACCGCGTCGCCGACCGCGTCGACGTCGCCGTCGCCGTCGCCGTCGCGCGCGCCCCGGCGACGACGCAAGTCCGCGTCGCGCCGCAGCGCGTCGAATATCGACATCGCGCGCGCGCGCGCTGAGAAGTGACGCCTCGGATGACTCGGACGTCGCGTGGTTGTCGAAAGGTGCGCTGTCTCGGCGAATCACGTGCGTTCGCGCGTTCTTTTCTTCCTTCACACGTCGTCCGTCGTCTACAACGTTGTACGTACGCCCCTTCTCTTCTCTCGCGCGCGCGTTCTTCTACGCCCTCATCATTCCCAGCGGCGAACCTATCGCGCCCTGCTTCCCGAGCTTCCTCCTCCCCTTCCCGGCGCCGCCCGCCTTAGCGGCCGCCGCGGACTTGTCCGTCGCGTCGCGTCTTCGCTCGCGCACCGAGTCGAGGAGGCACCTGAGCGACGCCGCCGCCGCGTCGGCGTGTTTCCCGCCAGCCTCGGCGTTTTCCTTTCCGTCGTCGTCCTCCCCGCCGTCCTTTCCCTCGTCGTCGTCGTCCTCGCGCGCGCACTCGTTCGCGCCGTGCATCTTCGCGCCCTTCCCCGCGAGCGCGTCGCCGTCGCCGGCGCCGACGCTCAGCTCCGACGCCCTGAACGCCTTGAGCTCCTCCGCGCCGGGCGCCGCGGTTCGACGCTTGGGCCGCCGTCGCCGCGCGTCCGGCGACGCGAACAGAGACAGGTCGACCGTCGGCGCCGCCGTCGTCGTCGAGGGATTCGCGTTGGTTTCGGCGGCGTTTGTTGGGGTGCTCGCCGACTCGCCGCCGCCGAGCGGGATCGAACCCGCGGCGGCGACCGCGACTGCCGCGGCTCTCCGCGCCTCCGCGAGCTCCCTCCGCAGCCGTTCGTTTTGCGCCGCCATCGCCTCCGACGCTTCGTTCGCCTCGAGGCTCGCCTGCTCGAGCTCCTCCAAAAACCGCACGAGCTCGTCGTTCGACTCTCTCAAGATGCGCGTCTCCATCGCGGCCGCCTCCGCGATGTCTTTAAACTCCGCGATGTTCGCCTCCGCCTCGAGCGCGGCTTCGGACGAGAGACGCATCGCGGATTGTAAATCGAGCGCCGCGTCGTCGGCGCGAGCGCACGCGGCGACTTCCCCTGCGGCGGCGGCTCTCGCCGCGGACCGAGCGGCGTTGAGCTGCGTATTCGCGCGCTCCGCCGCGGCTTTCATCTCGCGCTTGTGCGCCTCGAGGTCGATGCGAAGGCACTTCACGAGCTCGTCGTTCTCGGCGGTCTTTTCCGCAGCGGCGGCTCTCAGTCCCGCGTTATCGCTCTCGAGTACGCCGACGCGAGCCTCCGCGGCGTCCAGCGCGCTCTTCCGCGTCGCCGCCGCCTCGCGCGCGGCGGCGAGCTCGCGTCGCGTCGCTTCCTCTCGCTCCGTCTGCGCGCGCTGCGTCATAGAGTACTCGATCCTGGCGTCCTCCAAACTCGCGAGGAGCTCCGCGTTGGCGTTCGCGTCGCTCGCGGCTTTCGCGCGAAGGTACGCCGCCTCGGCTTCCAACCCGTCGCACGTCGCCTTATACTTCGCGAGCTTTCGTTCGACGAGCTCGCACCTCGCGCGCGCTTCGTCCCTCGACGCGGACGCGTCCGCGCAGACGCGCTCCGCGAGCGCGACTCGCGCGCGCGACGCCGCGTCCGCGTCGGAGAGCTCGACGACTCGCCGCTCCATCGCCTCAAACGCGGAGAGCGCTTCCTCGAGCTGCGTCGTCATCGTCTCCGTCGCCTCGCGCCGCCCCGCCTCGCGCGCGTCCGCGATTTCGTGCTCGACGCCGGCGCGCGCCGCCTCCGCGGCGACGCGCGCGCGCTCGCGCTCGCTCTCGAGGTCGCGTCGCGCGCGCGCGATCGCGTCCGCTTTCTCCGTCTCGATCCGCTCGAGCTCGCGCGCGGCGGCGGTCAGCGCCGCGTCCGCGTCGTCCCTCGCCGCCGCCGCGTCCGCGAGCGCCGCGCGGACTCTCGCGTCGTCGCGCGCGCTGTCCTCGGACGCCTTCGCGTCGGCCGCGGTCTTGGCAGCCTCCGCCTCGCGCGTCGCGGCTGCGGCGAGATTTTCAAACTCAGTCGCCGCGCGCCTCGCCGCCGCCGCGTCGTCGCGCGCCTCGCGCGCCTCCGCCGCCGTCCAAGCGTGCTTCTCCTCCCATCGCGCCGCGCGCTCCGTCGCGTCGTCCGCGCGCGCCTCCGCGTCCGCGGCGGCGCGTCGCGCGTCCTCCAACGCGCCGCCCACGCGGCTGAGCTCCTCTAAGACCACCTCGTGCTCCTCCTCCACCTCTCTCCGGCGAATCGCCTCCGCCGCCGCCGCCTCTCTTAACTCGCACAAGATCGCGTCGTCCTCGCGCGTGAACCCCCCTCCGAGCCCGTGCGCGTTCACCTTCGCGGTCATCTTCACCGTCTTCGCGGTGGACACGAAGTTCAACGTCGAGTGCGTCTCGTTCATCTGCGACGGCGCCGGGTTGATCGCCGCGACGACGGCGGTTCTTCCGGGGCCCGCGAGCGCGGGCTGGAGGATCCGCGTGAGTTTGCTGTCTCTGTACGGCACGTGCGTCGGCGGCGGCGGCGGCGCGCGAGTCTGATCCTCGGCGTTCGAGTTTGATCCTCCTCCCGCGGCGGCGGCCTCCGCCGCCGCGGCTTTCGCGAGTCGTTGCACGCACAGACGGAGCGTGAGGAGCGACTGGTTGATGCTGCCGCCCTCCTTCTTGATCGCGTCCGCCCTCGCGGTTCTGACGGCGTGCGCGTCCGCGCGCTCGCTTCCCGCGAGATCGACGACGTACAGCGTCGCCGCGAGCGTCGCGCTCGCGCTCGACGAGGCGTCGGCGGCGGCCGGGGCGTCGGCGTACTCCGTCGTCGTCTCCCCCTCGGCGAGCGGCGCTGCGTGAGGACCGTTCCAGCGTACAAAAAAGTGCATTCATCGGTCAGTCGAAAGGGGACGGACGCGATCGATCAAACGTTGAAACCGATGGACGGGTGAAAACGTATGTAATGTGGAAAGGAACGCACCCGACGCGACGACGATGCGCAGCACCGCGTGCGACCGGCTCGACGACGCGTTCATGGACGTCTTGTTCGTCGCGCGCCTCGCCGCGCCCTGCTCGACGATGTCGATGACCTCGGACGCGCGCGTCACGACCCTCTCCTCGAGCCCGCGCACGCGCGTCAGCCCGCTCGAGCCGACGACCAACTTGACGCCGCCGCCGCCGTCCCTCGCGTTGTTTGGCGCGTTCGCGGCGGCGGCGGCGCCGCCGTTGTTGTTGTCCCTGAGCAAGTCGCGCACGTCCTCGTTGTAAATCTCCATGTACGAGCACCGCACGTCGTACCTCCGGACGTCGCGGTCCCTCTCCACGCGCTCGAAGATGTCCTCCACGGCGCGTTGCATCACCCCGGGGTCCGACGGCACCCCCGACATCGTGTGCGTCTTCCCGCTCGACGTCTGTCCGTACGCCATGACCGTGCCGTTCACGCCGCGGAGGACCGCGCGGACGACGGGCCGCGCCGCGCGCGCGTACACCGCGGCGTTGCCGTCCTCGGGCGCGAACACCGCGTCCGCTTCCCAAGCCGGGGAGGGCGTCCCGCGCGGGAGCCACGACGGGCGCGATTCCGCGACGCGAACGCCGTCGCGCGCGAGGAACGACGCGGGCTCGGGGCCGTCCGTCGGGCGCAGGCGGACGGCGACGAAGACGCGGCCGAGGTCGGCGTCGTCGTCGTCGGCGTCGCGGCGATCCGACGACGACGCGACGGCGCGCGGCGGCTTCGACGGCGACGGCGCGGGAGGAGCCGTCGTCGGCCCCGCCGTCGTCGTCGTCGTCATTCCGACGACACCAGACGCCGACGACGCTAAAATTCCGGCTGTTCCCCTCGCGTCGGCGACCGCGCGCGGCCGTCCGGCGACGCGCCTCCTCGATCGCCGAGCGACGCGGCGGCGTATGGACGATACGCGAGCGATGCCGTCGCGGCGCCGAGGGTTCCGACGACGTGCGTGCGCGCGATATCCCGCGCGCGCGACGAATGCTCGGTCCCCTCCGGCCGCCTCCGCCAGCTGTCGTGGTTCGCGTTGAACGAGTCGCGGGCGCGATCCGCTGCTTTCGGCGATTCCATACAAAAAAGTTCATCGGTCAGTTGAAAGGGAAAGCGATCAAATGTTGAAACTACAGTACGGGATGAAAAATACCTTCGTACCATCTGAAGCCGCGCCGCGAACGCCCACCTCGGCCTCGGGGGACACAGATCTAACAGAGCTTAGGGTTAGATCGACGCGCGCGCCGGTCGCGGCCGTCGTGACGATGATGTCCCGCGCGTCGTCGTCCACGGCGGGCGTGCTCGCGTTCGTCCGCGCGCGCATCGCGTCCGCGTGGACGACGACGCCGCCGCCGATCGCCCGCGCCGCCGCCGCCGCCGCCGCGTCGTCGTCGTCGACGTCGACATCGCGCGCGCCAGGGTGGAGACTCGCGTCCTCGTTCGCCGCGTGGGGATGGCAGAGCGCGCGATCGATGGCGTCGCTCCCGAGCAAAAACTTCCCGCCGAAGCAGCAGCCGAAGCGCAGCTCGCACGCGATGTGGGCGGCGGGCTTGAAGAAGAAGAAGGGACGGCCCGGGGCGAAGGCGTGGCGCGCGCGCGTCCTCACGAAGCAAGCGCGAAAGGCGCAGAAAGATTTGATCACGAAGTGGAAGATCTACACGGGCGACACCGTGAAGATCCGCTCGGGCAAGGACAAGGGCCAGGTCGGGGTCGTCCAGAAGGTATTCCGCAAGGAGAACCGATTGATCGTGGAAGGGTTGAACCTCGTGAAGAAGCACGTGAAGCGCACGGAGGAGAACAAGCAGGGCGGCGTGATCACGATGGAGGCGCCGATACACTACAGTAACGTCGGCATCGTGGACCCGGTGACGGGCGCGGCGACGCGCATCGGGATCCGGTTCCTGGACGACGGCACGAAGGTCAGGGTCACGCTAGGGCGGCTCGCGTCGGGGGCGATGGTCCCGAAGCCGGACCACGCCATAGTGAAGAAGCGCGTGAGGGAAAACGCGCGGAACAGCAAGACGGGGACGCGCGACACGAGCTGGCAGGACGCGTTGCGGAACACCTACGCGCCGGAGCCCGAGGCGAGGGGGTTCTTCGGTGAGCAGTAGGCGAAGGAAGTCCTTAAGGAACGGCGTTCACCTCGCGCGCGCGGTCGTATGGGGACCAGTGTAAACCGGGACGCGCTGGAGCCCGAGGCGAGGGGGTTCTTCGACGAGGGGGCGCGAGGAGTCCCGACCGGTAGGCCCGACCGTCGTCGTACTATCGCGCGTGTATTACTATCGCAGACGTCGTCCCCCGTCGGCGTGCTTCTTCTATCGCGTTCGTTCGCGATGTCCGCGCTACCGCGCGCTCTTTCGCTCGCTCCCGCCGAACCTGCGGCGGAGGGTGCCGAGGGTCTTCGCGAAAAAACCGCCGCCGCCGCCGCCGCCGCCGGCGGCCGTCGTCGCGTCGTCGCTCGCGTCGCCCGTCTCGACCGCGACGCCCTGGACAGATCCGTCCACGTCGCCGTCCACCGCCACCGCGTCGTCCATCTCCGCCATCGTCGTCTCCGCGTCGCGCGTCGCGCCGCCGCCGCCGCCGCCGCCGTCCGCCGAGACGCGTCGCCGCTTCGAGCACGCCTCCGTATCCTCCTCGACGCTCTCCTCGTCGATCGCGTCGCCGCGAATCGCGCGCGCGCTGCCGCCGTCCACGCTCGACCCGTCCACGCCGCCGCCGCGCGGGCCCTCGAGCGCGGTCGATGACGGCGCGAGCTTGAACGCGCGCGAGCCGTCCGCGGCGCGCCGGCCCGAGTCGCCGTCGTCTCTTAACAACACGCGCCGCGCGTCGTCGCGCCATCCGCGGCAGACGCGCAGGCAACGCAGCAGCGTCTCGCGGCCGCGCGGTTCGCCGTGGATGCGTTCGAAGACGCTGACGAGGATGCCGTCCGGGAGGTCGTGCCACGAGGGCGCGGGCGGCGGCGACGGCGGCGGCGGCGGCGTCATGCCGGCGGGCGGGCGGGCGGGCGCGCGAGATGTGATTTGCTGTGATTTAATTTCCGGGGGTGCCAGATCTCGTCGAGACGGCCGTTCGACGCGACGCCGTCGTCCGCCGCGCCGCAGGACCGCGACGCGCGCGGCCGGTCGACGAATGCGCGGACGAGTTCGGGTCGTCGCGGCGCTCGCGCGCCGCGAGGAGTGCGCGAGCAGCGACGCGCTTCGCGAGCAATTCTCTCTCGGAGTTGACGCGAAAAAATCCAGAAAACTGATGACCGGATGCATCGAGGGAGAAGTCGCCGGCGCGCACTCCGCGTCGCGCCGCCGCCTCGGCAGCTCGCGCGCGAGATGGCGTCGCTCCTCCGCGCCGCCGCTCGCGCGCGCCGCGGATGCGTCCTCGACGCCCTCCGCGTCGCGGCCGCGTCGACGACGGCCACGTCGACGACGGGAGCGAACCCGCCGTCGCGGCCGTCGCTGACGCGCTGGACGTCGTCCGCGCTCGCGTCGTCGTCCTCCCGCGACGCCGCGCGGTTTCCTCCTCCTCGTCATCCTCCCGCGGCGGCGGCGTACGCGTACACCACGCACGCGCAGATCCTGAACGCGGACGGCCAAGACGCGGCGCAGATCAAAGCCGGCGTCAGGTTCCGCAAAGCCCTCTGCGCGGTCATGGAGTCGAGCTCGATGCGCCATCGCTTCGGCGGGCGCGGGCGAGACGTCGTCGTCTTAGAGTGCCGAATGAGTTCCGACTTCAAGACCGCGCACGTGCGATGGACGACCGCGTTCGACGACGACGACGGGCGCATCGCTGAACGTAACCTGCGCGCGAACGCGACGCGACTGCGAGAGATGACGGGCAGACTCCTGCGCTCGAAGCACACGCCGAGGCTCGTCTTCGTCAACGACGACGCGAGATCCCCGGCGGAGATCGCCGTGGACGAGAAACTCGAAAAGGTCAGGAACGAAGAGCTCGCGCACGAGGCGGCGAGGGCGGCGTACGACGCCGCGACGATGGAGATGCCGAAGTTCCCGGAGCGCGCGCGTTCCAGGAAGCGGAGGAAGAAACCCTGGGAGGAGGAGGAGGAGGAGGCGGCGGGGGAGGAGTCGATCGACGCCGCCGACGCCGCCGCCGCCGACGACGACGACGACGACGACGACGAGCGAACGGGCGCGGCGTACGAGACGTTCGACGGCGGCGAGGACTACGCGCCAGAGTTCCCGGAGGTGCCGCTGGTGACGCGCCCGAGAGGGAGCACGCTGTCCACCTCGAGCGCGCGGGCGATGGAGGACGACGGGAGCTTCGACGATCTCTCGGACGAGGACGTCGCGAAGTTTGTCGAGGACCTCGAGAGGAGCGCGATGATGGGGATGGGGGCGGGGGACGACGACGACCCGACGCCCGCGGACGTCGTCTCGAGAATAACGGATGGTGTTGATGCGTTTCGTGGGCGACGTGTCGACGGCGCGCGCGGCCGGGACGGCGACGAGCGCGACGACGACGACGACGCGTTGGACGCCAAGTTGGAACGGCTGTTCGACGAACTCGGGAGCGACGACGACGACGGCGGCGGAGAAGGCGGCGAGGACGTGTGGCGACGCGCGAAGGCGGCGGGCGACGACGACGATCTCGACGACGACGACGACGACGATTTCGACGACGACGACGACGACGACGACTTCGACTTCAAGAAGTTCGACGATTGGCAAAGACGGGGGTCGAAGCCGTAGCCGCGCGGCGCGCACAGGTTTAATAATTTAGTCTCGAGAAGAGACGAACAAGACAGAAACGATGACGTGTTCGCGAGTGCGAGTTTCGCCCTTCCCGCCTCGCCGCGTCGCGCACATCCACCCGCGCGCGCGATGGCCGGCATCGTCGCTCGTCACATCCTCGCGTCCACCGCGTCCACCCCCCGCCGCGTCGCGCTCGTCGGCCGCCGCGTCGCGGCGTTCCCGCGCGCGACGCCCGCGCCGCGCTCGCCCGCGACGACGACGACGACGAGACGCGTTCGCGTCTCGTCTCGCCCCTCGACGACGACGCGCGCGTCGTCTTCCGACGCCGACGCGGCGAACCCGCTGACGGAGCTCATCACGGGCAAGAACGAGTCCAACGCGGTCACGGTGTGGAGCAAGTCGTGGTGCCCGTTCTGCACGCAGGTGAAGCAGCTCCTGGAGAAGGAGGGCGCGAGCTACCTCGCGATCGAGCTCGACAAGTTTCACGAGGCGGAGGAGATTCAAGCGTCGCTCGCGGCCACGACGGGGCAGCGCACCGTGCCGAACGTGTTCGTGGGGGGGAAACACGTCGGCGGGTGCGACGACACGATGGCGCTGCATCGATCGGGGGAGCTGAGGAAGATGATAGAGGCCGCGGGAGGGTTCAAGTAGAGCTGCTACTAGAGAAGGAGGCATCCATCCATTTCGTCGCTCTCAGCACTTCTTCGTTCTTCTCGACATCGCATCGCTCGAGAACGCGCGAATCCGTTCCGACGCGTCACTTCGCCGCACGCGCGCGCGATGGCCAGCGCGACGATCGTCCGCCCTCTGGTGCGCCCCGCTCGACGTATCGCGGCGCACGCCGCCGTCGCACGTCGTCGTCGTCGTCGTCGTCGTCGTCGCTTCGGACGCTCGCGCCGCGCCGATCCCGCCGCGATTCGCTTATCCCTCCCGCGCCCGAACCCTACGCCCTCGCCCCGCGTCCGTCCGCTGACGGCCTCGCCGTCCGTCCGACCCCCTCCTCCTCCTCCTCCTCATCCTCCTCCTCCTCCTCCGCAGGGAATGACCTGCCGGCGCGCGGCGCTTCGGCTCGCGCCCGCGGCGGCGTCGCGCCTCGCGTCCTCCGCCGCGACCCCGCGCGCGTGCGCGCTCGCCGCGCGACGCGCCGCGACGCCGTCGTCGTCGTCGTCGTCGCTCGCGTTCGCGTCGTCGGCCATTCGATGCCGGGGGACGAAGTTCCCTCGCGCGCACGCCTCGATCGCGCGCGCCGCGGACGCGTCCTCCTCCTCCTCCTCCTCCTCCTCCTCCTCCTCCTCCTCCTCGGTCTCCTACGCGGACCGATGCGTCGTCGACGTCCTGCGAGAGCGCGGCCTCCTCGACGCGTGCACCAACGAAGACGAGCTCCGTGAAGCCGCCGGCGACGGATCGCTCTCGGTGTACTGCGGCTTCGACCCCACCGCGGACTCGCTCCACCTCGGCAACCTCCTCGGCATCGTCGTCCTCGCGTGGTTCCAACGCTGCGGCCACACCCCGATCGCGCTCCTCGGCGGCGCGACCGGGCGCGTGGGAGACCCGAGCGGGAAGAGCGCGGAGCGGCCGGTGCTCGACGACGTCACGATCAACGCCAACGTGGCGGGGATCGAAAAGATCTTACGCGGGGTCCTCGCGAACTCGGCGTCGTTCGCGCCTCCGGGCGACGAGCTCAAGCCCGCGCGGGTGCTGAATAACCTGGACTGGTTCGGCGGGATGGGTTTTCTCGAGTTTTTGCGCGACGTCGGGAAATACGCGCGCGTGGGGACGATGGTGGCGAAGGACAGCGTCAAGTCGAGGCTCGAGTCGGAACGAGGGATGTCGTTCACGGAGTTTTCGTACCAGCTGCTGCAAGGGTACGACTTCGTGCACTTGCACAGGGAGGAGAACGTCATGGTGCAAGTCGGCGGGAGCGATCAGTGGGGGAACATCACCGCGGGGACGGACTTGATACGGAGGATATCGCAGCGGGACGGTGGCGCGTACGGTCTGACGTTCCCGCTCCTTCTAAAGGCGGATGGCAAAAAGTTTGGCAAATCCGAAGACGGCGCCGTGTGGCTGTCCCCGGACCGCCTCTCCCCGTACAAGTTCTATCAGCACCTCCTCCAGAGCACGGACGCGGACGTCGTGCGGTTCATGAAGACGCTGACGTTCGTGCCGATCGAGGAGATCGAGGCGATGGAGGCGGCGATGAAAGAGGACGGATACGCCCCGAACACGGGTGCGTTAGTTCTATACAAAAGTTTTTCACCCACCGCTCGGTTTCAACATTTGATCGCGTCCCCTTTCAACTGACCGGTGAACTTTTTTTGTATGGAATGGCCCACAGCGCAAAAGAGACTCGCGGAGGAGGTGACGAGGTTCGTCCACGGCGAAGCCGGGCTGAGCCAGGCGCTGAAAGCGACGGAGGGGCTGAAACCGGGCGCGGATACGGTTCTAGACGCGGACACGCTCGAGGCGCTCGCGGGGGACATACCGAGCGCGGAGCTGAGTTTGGGAGAGGTCGTGGGGCGGACCGTCGTCGACGTCATGGCGGCGACGGGGCTGCAAAAGTCAAAGGGCGAGGCGAAGCGGTTGATCAAAGGCGGCGGCGCGCGCGTGAACAACGTCAAGGTGGAGGACGAGGGGAAGGTGATCGAGGAAGGGGACGTCGTGGACGGGAGGGTGTTGCTTCTCGCCGCGGGGAAGAAGAACAAGCTGTTAGTGCGCGTGAAGTGATTATTAGTACCTTCGTGCTTTCGTACTTTCGTGTTCGTAAAGCGAGAGACTCGAGTTCTTCTCACGCGAGAGGTCGGACCGAGAGACCGGCGCGCACGTCCCCGGCGCCTTGTTTCTTCCCCATCTCGCGCTCTTCCTGCTTGAACGTCTGCTTCAGTCCCTTCTTCGCCGCGCGCGCGTCGCGCCGCCCCGCTTTCACGGCCGCTTTCCTCGCTCTCTTCTCCTCCGGGGTCTCGCCCTTGCGTCGGATGTTCTGCCGCCATTCCTCGCCGAACGCCGCGCCGCCTTCGCCGTCGCCTTCGCCGTCGTCGCCGTCCTCGTCGTACTCCTCCCACTCGCCCTCGCTGTCGTCGTCTGACCCTGGCCCTCCTTCGCCGCCGCCGCCTCGGTCGTCGCCCTCGGTGATGATCGCGAGGTTATCTGCGGTCAGCATCGACCCGCCTCTCCCTTTCCCGCGTCTACGGGTCGTTCCATACAAAGCGACGTCGGGGTGGAGTTCAAAGGCGTCAGTTGGAGTTGAAAGGCGTCGAGGTGTCTCGGGATTGAAAGCGTGGGGTGTGCGGAGAGAGACGACGGGAGATAAAGTCCTTAAGGATCGGCGTTCACCACGCCTACGCGGTCGTATGGGGACCAGTGTATAGAACGCGCCTCGACATCACGTAATCCACCGGCAGCCCGTTCGTCGCCGAGAGCTTGATGACGCCCGGCCCGACGTCGTCCGGGTTGTACCCGCGCCCTGTTCCGCCCTTCCCCGCGCGCTTCTTCTTCCCGCCGGGCGGGACGCCGAAGTCGTCGATCATCGCGGGGTGGTGGTCCAGGTTACTGTACGTGCTCACCACGCTCTCGCAGTCCCAGTCCTTAGGGTCGTTCCATACGAGCGATTGTCGGGGTGGAGTTCAAAGGCGTCAGGTGGAGTTCAAAGGCAACGCGGGCGGGGATCGAAAGCGAGGGACCCTGGGCGGAGAGATGCGCCGGGAAAAGTCCTTAAGGATCGGCGTCCACCTCGCCAACGCGGTCGTATGGGGACCAGTGTATAGAACGCACCTTATCCTGCCGCGACGTCTTCTCCGCGAGGTACTCGTTCGGGGGCTCCTCGTCGCGCGCGTCCGGGTCTTCGATCTCGTACCGGCGCGCGTGCTCGTCGTCCGCGCCGTCGCCGCCGTCGCCGAGCGTCATCTCTCGCATGAGGTGCTCCGGGAGGGGCAGGCCGGCGCGGCGGCGCGTCGTGATCATCGCGCGCGCGGCGTCGTCCGCGTCTTCGCGCGTGATCGTCGGCTCGTCCGGAATCGTCTCGCGTCGTCTTCCGCGCCGGAATCCGGCGAGGAACGCGTCGTCGTCGTCGTCGTCGTCGTGATCAGCACCCTCGGCACCCTCGGCACCATCGGCACCCTCCTCGCTGCCGCGTCGCTCGATGACCTCCGCGGCGGCGCGGTAACGCTCCGTGCCTTGCTGTTTCCTAAACTCGTCGAGAACGCCTTCGAATCGATCAATCTCCGCGTGTCCGAATATCCTCGGGTCGTCCTCGTCGAGCTCGCCAATCTCGTCGCTGTCGTACCCGCCCGCCATCGCTTCGAACGCGTCGTCTACATCCCTGGCTTTCGCGCCGAGGCCGTCGCGTCTCGGTAACCCGCGGCGTCCGTCGTCGTCGTCGTCGTCGTCGTCGTCGTCGGGTCCCCACCAATCCTCTTCGTCTATGTCGCGGTCCGTGCCGGCGTCGCTTCCGTCGTCGCCGCCGCGGTGTCTACCGCCGAACATCCCGCCGCCGCCTCTGAACCACGCCGGGCCGTTCGCGAGCTCTGCCTCCTCCTCCTCCAGCGCCTCCTCCTCGACGATCTCCTCGAGCGTCGCGAGCTCGTTCTCGACCTCGGCCTCGTCGTATCGCAGCCGGATCGGAGGAAACGTTCTCGGCGCCGCGGAGACGCCGTAGTCTCCCCCTTCTCCGCCCGACCCCCCCATCGCCTGAAGAATGAAGTCGTCCTGCAAATCCCCCAACCCGCCGTCGCCGAACTCCTCCAGCTTCGCGAGCGCGTCGTCCGTCGCCTGCTCCGCGTGCTCCATCACCTCGATCATGTCCTTCAGCTCCGTCGCGGCGACGCCCTTGTCCGGCGCCCTGAGGGTCGTTCCATACAAAGCGACGTCGGGGTGGAGTTCAAAGGCGTCAGTTGGAGTTGAAAGGCGTCGAGGTGTGTCGGGATTGAAAGCGTGGGGTGGGCGGAGAGATGCGCCGGGCAAAGTCCTTAAGGATCGGCGTTCACCACGCCTACGCGGTCGTATGGGAGCCAGTGTATAGAACGCACCTCGGCAGCGCTCGCGCGGCGATGGCGTTCATCGACGCGTCGACGGCGTCCTTCGCGACGTACGTCATCTCGTCCGTGATGGCCTTGACGCGCTCGTGCGTCCACCGCTGCTCTTCCTCTATCGCCGCGGCGACCGTCTCGATCGGCTTTTGGTCGACGCCGATCGGCTGCGCGAGGTCGCCGAGCCTCTCGACGTCCTCTCGGAGGAACACGTCTTGATCGTCCTTGCCGCGTTTGCCGCTCCCGCCGGCGGTGACCGCGCTCTGCGCCCCCGCGCGCTCGTTTTGCGCGTGCCCCTCGCCGCCGCCTTCGCCGCGCGAGACACCCTTGACGTGGTCCTTCTTCGTCGGTACGAATATCGTGCCGCCGCCCTCGCCCGTGAGCCGGAGATGCCTGGTGTAATCGTACCCGTCGTTGGGATCGAATCCGAGCTCTCGGAGCTCCCTGCGCTTCTCGCGCGACAGCCGCTCGCGGCGGGGCACCGGCCCGTTCGGCCCCATGACGAAGGTCACGTCGCTGTACATCGAGTACGCGCTCGTCGCGTCGCTCGCCCGCGACCGCGCTTCGACGATGGCGTCGTTGAACACGCTGCCGTCGTCCGGAAGCGCCTCCATCGGATCTCGGGCGCGGTGGTTGTTGTCCTTGCGCATCCACACCTGCGCGCCGCCGCGTTCGCTCCCGCCGCGGCCGCTGAGAACGCTGCCGCCGCCGCCGCCGCCGCCGCCGCTCGCGAGGGACGACAAGTCCCCGCGCTCGTCGCTCGCGGCGTCCTCCTCCGCGCCCGGGCGCGCCATGAGCGCGTAGGTCACCGCATTCTTCTTGTCGATGAAGCT